TTTTTTGTAAATTGGGACTATAACACGGGTGGTCATCGAAAGATTCTTCCGGCTTGGGGAGCAAGCTATTTTTCATAAAAACACTAAGAAAAGTTTATTAATTATTTCTAACTCATGTGTCGTTCTACCAAAGAAAATGAACTATTCCATGCAATGGGTATATCATTTGCGGATAACCTTCACTTCGACTTTGAAGTCGAATAACGTTAGTAGTAAAAGCTATTAAAAACGGTGTCAGAGTATCATACTCTAAATTAAACCATTTCTTTAAACACCTTTTTAATGGCACAATACAGTGACATGATAATTTTTACATATGTTTTCAGCATAACTTTGAAGATATTAATGCGAGAGGTGTTGTGTCTTTTTATATTTTTTTTATGAAAAAAGTAATGTTTAATTTTTTCCCTTCTGCTTGGGGGGGCATTTTTTATTTCACATTTGAAACTGCTACCCCAAGCCGGACAACAACAAAAAATTAAACGTTATTTTCTTATGAAAAAATAAAAAGGCCCAATATGATTTCATAAATACCTTCAGAAAGATACACGATGAATGAATACGATTTTATATGTTGCCATAGAGCATCCTCCTAAGCAGGGGTCCAGAATCCGTACCTCCTTCTTCCCCCTGCTATAACCAATTTGGAAGCACCCGACTTAACTGAATCAGGTGATCTAATTATGCGCAATGACTTATGCATGATTTCTGTCGCAGTGTTGCGACAGCCAATCAGAATGTGAGTTCTTAAGCGGGGAAAGGGCAACTGCTTATCGCAGGGGGTATAGAGAAAGAATATATTCTGGATATTGAAGCCCTGTGATCGGAGGATGCCATAGAGTGGAACATTTTGTTTATATGTTTGATAAATTTTAGTGTTGATATTTCTATAAAATGTATATATGGGCCATTTGTGATAGATATATATTTCCCCATTTACCACAAATGCTCTTTATGGTGCCTGAAGTGCATCCATTTGAGACCTTCTATTTCATTATTTTCCCATTTTTGAACTTTCCAGCTAGAAACCAGAAACTTTCTAATTGAAAAGGAGAATATAATACATCAGGTACTTAATGACTAATTTAATCACCTCTTATCACTTGGTCTTATTATGTCACCACAACAAATGATGACATATAGTTATGTGGACGGTGTTTGGCGTTCGGCGCCTCCCAGACGACGTTCGGAGTTTGGCATCTGTAACAAATGACAGGTGAAGACATTTTGAATGTTAATGCCTTGTTTTATTAAGTGTTTTCCCTTTTCAATGTACAATGCTAATGACTTTGGGAGTATTGCACCGCTGATCGCAGCGGAGTTTTTAGAATTGTCAATTAATAGTTACTTGTAACTAATTTATTAGAATCTCACCTTTTATTTCTTTAAAATTGTTTTCAAGTTTAAGATACATGTATTTTCGTCTGGCTACCAACATGCCTTTTATAGTTCCTGCTTGCCAATGTCTTTCGAAGATATTTCGCGCATAAAATATTCGAAAATTGTTGTAACGCATAAAAAATATCAAACGCTGGAATGTTCACACGACTGTTTCCAAACAAAACATCTTTCGAGTCTTCATAAAGTAGGAATTGTAGTTAATAATGAATTTCATTATCAATTGTCTCATTGTTGCATATGCATAGACTTTCGTGAAAATGTATATTGCTGATACGTCCCGTTTAAACTTTTAAAGGGAGATTTCCAGCACGGAGCTGTGATATGGCCCTATGTTCTGTTCGCGACATATTGGTCGCATAATGTTCTGGTACATTTATAGATAGCTTGAGTAGTATGTACATCTACCCTATCTTGAGAAATTTTGAAAATACGGCAATAAATATTCAAAATGTTTATAAATTATATTATTGTTATGTATGCAAATGTGACAGTCAGATGTCAATGGTATAACATAATCGTGTGTAAGGGCAGACGCTAATCAAAACATATGTCAAGCTTGCGATTGACTTAAGATAATCAGAGTTTATCTGTGGAGTTATCTTAACAAAACTGGATTGAAATCAATAAGCGTATGATACCAAGACTTGATAAGAGGGAAGAAGAGAGTGTGTTTCTGACGTCACTATAATATAGCACCAGAAGATATTGACATTTCATGTATTCCATTGTATTTTCCGATGACACCATTCTAAACAAACTTACAAGAAAAATAAAGCTATCGATGTAAAATAGTTAACGATTCATTTTGTCCAATGGCAATCAATTGGGCAATGTCAATATTTGGTTTAACTAAATCGATATATCGTTTTGGGAGGGGTATATAAGAATTCCTTAAAATTGTTGGCCTACATCGATTTCTAACGTTTCTAACTTTTAACTTGAAAAAAAGCTCAATTACATTTAGGGAGATACAGGGTGTTCAGGAAATAGAGATAATAATGTCATAGGGTTAATGTGAAATGTAATTAATTAAAGTTTTGGGAAAAACAAAATATTGATCCTGATTTGGTCCTTTGGGCAATGCTTGGCTAATGGAAAAACACAAAACAACGTCCTCGCAGCACTGGGTAAGAGCAATTTTAGAAAACCTAGATAAAAGAAGGGCGTATTAATTTGACGACGTTGCAAAAGTGGATTGGACACAACTCACAAAAAAGTGATCTAACCTTATCTACAGAAGAGTCCAAATTATTTGAATAAACAATAAATTGAAAAGTGAAAAGTAAAGATTCTTTCTGTCCTGGACATTTAATTGGTGTTACTTGAGATCCGTCATTAATCTGTTTTTCTTGTGGGCTATTAAGGTCGACATCAAGCCTAATCACACTATTTCACCAAAAAGGGGGGGATACCCCGGGGTTCTCAGAGATGACCATATTTTCAATTGAAATATATATATGTGTTAACCAATATTATACCTTGTTATTATTTCACGTTATGATTTCACGTTCACGTTAAGATGGAAGGAATATACTTGCATCGATTAAAAGATCACATCGACGTGCGGTATTCGGAAACGAGGATGGTGGAAATTCGGACAAACGAGGGTGGTAAGCAAGAAAATCAAGAATCTATCTCTGCTCTTGGGTTTCTCTTACTTCAACAAAACATGTAAATTATAGCTAAATTGATTCTATTTACTGTGCATGCACATTAAAACCTGTCTAATCCGAACGCCATTGGGCTTAAAGCGTCCGGATTAGGAAGTGTTCGGATTTCGAGCTTCTTGCATCCCAAGATTCTGGATTTTGAAAAAATCCGATTCAAATGAATTTAGCCATGCTGAAAGACCCATTATGATTGAGACCATTCGATGTTTTTTTCAAAATTTTTGATATCATATCAAATCATGATCAGTGTTAATTGAAAATATTTGAAAATATTTCTAAATTAAATGTTTTTTCTTAGTGCCTAATTAAGGTCAAGGTCAAACTTTAAAACGAAGTCAGTCATACTACTTCACTCATAACAAACAACTAATAGCTAGAATTCAATTATTTACTGTCTATGTACTATTACTTCGGTAAAATTAAACCTAATTCCCTATATCGCTATATGGTTAGGTTTTCATGACCGTTGCGTGCGTGCTTCATTAATTACAGTCATTAAAAGAGTATGTGGAAATTATTTTAATTGATATCAAGAGCTTCAGTATCAGCTTCTTGGAATGTTTCCCAGGATCAGCTTGCTCACCTGATAAACCAATTACCTCTAAAAATTACGTGCATTGTGGACAACATATAGACTTCCTGCAAATGAATCTTCGGATGTAAACATCTGAGATGCAGGGATGCAGCGTATATTAGAATTGAAGCTGGGCTGGCATAATTTATGTCGGTGGATGCTGGCTTACTGGTTGGCTGTAACACAATACCTTGAATGTGTTTAAAAGCCAGAGTAGAGCCAAATCAACATGAATTCGTATATGTCAATTGATGTTGTATATTCTTTGTGGTCTGATTGAGGTTGAGGCAATATATGTTTGATAGGTGAGAGATGGGGATACCTCGAGAGAACGGCGTGTGTATTATCGACACTAGGTGCAGATAAGAGCGGGAATATCGACCGGCAGCTGCTTATGATAATGTAGCTCCCATATTGGATTTTACAATATATTCGCTCCGTCTTGAAGTAGCTCTCTCGACTTTAACCTCATTTTATCAGTGTTTGAGCTGGAAAACAGCATAACAGAGGCAGCTACACCGGACCGGACATATTGGATATACACCCGGAATCAAGTAAGACCAAACAAGACAGGGATGGTTGCGTTCACGATGACTTAAGATGCTCGACCGTCTCTCTTCTGGCATACAATATTGCTTTTATTATTGCACAGCCTTCGAGTCCGCATAATTACATGTGCTATACGTTCTGTTATTAAAATCATCAATGATTTACCAATGACGGGTGCTATCTAACTATCATGTTTATATTATATCAAACGAGATGATAACAACGACTTGACAGTAGATGGTGATAATAAGCACAATGGTGACGAGGACATTCAAACAAGTGAAAAGATGTTTCTTCGGGAGAACATCCGCATCAACATCCCCCTATCTAAAATAATATCAGCTGTGTGGCACTAACAAGAAATAAAGGATTTACAAACTAATCCACGGAATGTTGCCGCGATCAATAAGGCCAAGAATGGAGCTATTCACTCAACCCAGTATTTTATGTTGATACGTTGCCTGGTGGTGATTAGGCGAGATCTGCTAAGTGTATTTTTATCACTTTATCCTGCAACTATTTCTCTTCAAGTGTACAATCGTACAGAGCGTCTCTAAAATCAAGGTCAGTAGTTAGATGAAGCACTGTTGATGCCGGTTCAGTGTTAACAGTGCCAGGAATGGATAAATACTCCAACTGTATAGATAGATAGATACACTCGCTCGGGAGAGCTTATACACAAATCTTTCTATACATGACCATAATCCTAGACTTACATTGATAATTCTAAATCAATTCATCACCTGAACACAACTAGTGTTTCCTCAAGAATCCACTGTAGACGTATTGTCAGCGTGTCAGTTCTGATGAATTCACGCCACCGACATTTGCCACTTGGTCTCGAAAGTACAGAGCACGTTTTGGAAGTGTACGAGGAAACGGTAGATCGCTTACCCCGCTTGTTACAGGGTGTAGTAGAGACGGTCACGGCCTTAGTGTTATCAGACAGAGAGCTGACAAGGCACCTTTCTTCTGAGGTAAACAGTCAGTTTTTCTCATTCTTCAATGCTGTCACCCAAAATATTATTTCACATTTTGCCACTAATCACATTGTTCAGCTATACAAGACGTAAGATGATTTGATTTAGATTTATTCGTTTTATGTAAAATCACCTAAAAGGAGGGCTGTAGCTGTTACCATGGGTCACGATTAGTCAAGTTACAAGCCTCTGTGACTCCCCCCCCCCCCCCACATCTACTTGACTAAACACCTTCTTGAAATGGGGGGGCGTAGCTAGACTAGGTCATGATTATCATACATGTTTGTTATTTCCTCTACAGTCCATACAGTTCATAATAGGCATCACATTCTGTTGTCTCTGCCATATTAGGTATACATAATCATAGATAAAGGTAGTCACGTGATCCCCTCTATTTGTATAACCCCAACTAGTTAATTTATCAACTGAGATGAAAAATCTAAAAATGTTGGATTTCAAGATTTTTTCAGTCCCATGAATCCCATACATAACCTTACATCTTGTTCCAAAAGTAACAGGACTGGTGCTGGCATTTTGTCAATTCTGCACCGGGTGGCTTCAAATTTCCCAAATTGTACATTGAGGTATTGCAACTACAATTGTAAAGTTTCAGAAAAAATGATGTAATGGGGGTAGAGTTATGGTTTCTATAGTAACATGACATCACAATACCCGGGGCAACTTTTTTATGAAAATATAATATCTCTATCATTTTTATATTACTGACTAGAAAGTATCTAATTCACCTATTAAAATACAACATTTCCTGTTTGCTTTATTAGTTGCTTTGTTGTAATGGTGTTGCTATGTATCTCAGATTCAAGTATGATTATCAATAGTAATATTCATTCAATTTTCTGGAATATCACTTTGTATAACAGTCTGCACAATTCATACCCTGCGTGCAGAGTCTAGTTAAACTACAGACGAAGCTCTCTTTTAAGAATTGAAGTAAAACGAATGCAAAGGGTACACAATTCATGGTTGGGCTTTTGAAAATACCCAATTTGAAGCCAGTCATCCACCTTAATAACGCGCCTGCCTCATGTGTTTGAGTCATGGATACAAAGTGCTACTCTTGTTCTGACCAATGAGGAGCATATTTTTCAAAGTAGAGGATCGAGGAATATCTAATGATGTAAACCAAAATGTAATATTGTCACCAGTAGTTGCATTTCAACTTTTATATGGCATGCACAAAATGCTTAAAGTCTCTGTAACTTTCTATGAGGAATGTTGCCCCGGGTATTGTGATGTCATGTTACCATAGCAACCATAATTAACTCTACCCGAGTTTCATAATTTTTGTCGAAACTTTGCAGTATTAGTGACAATACATGAAAGTACATTATGTAAAATTTTGAAGACGATTGGTGCATATTAAACAAAATACTACCACCAGTCCTGTTACTTTTGGAACACCCTGTATACCTCTGGTGTTATTAGTTACTTGATATCCACGGTCAGGTCCTGAACGTGTAGCAATACTTGCATGTAATCTGAGAAAGATTCAATATATTTTACGTCAATGATGTCTCTTTCTTTTCGATTCATTTTTACGTAGTAGACTAAGTAGAGTCACACATCAATTTATTAACGCTCTATTTAGGGTATTTTATTTACAGTAAAACCTGACTTAGTGAACACCTCTCTCTGGTGTTCACCCTTCCTCCGCACATATACTCTACTAACTTCTGTATAAATTACCCTTTCTATTGTGAACACCTACCAATACTGTGTTTTTCCTTTGCAAAAATGTTCAATATACACAGGTTTTACTGTATGCAACAAGTCATTCTCGCACTAAGAAGGGTACTTAAGCTACTTAAAGCCATTCTTTGATTATTTAGGCTATACTACTTTAGTTACGCATCAGACAATTCTCACACGAATCAGGGTCCTTAAGTCACACATCAAATCATCACCTCAATAAACAGGGTCCTTTAGTCATACATAATGCCATCCTCACTCTATGTGGGGTTATATTTTGTGTTAAACCATTCTCATATTACCAGGCTCCTTTAGTTACGCACCAGGCCATCCTCATGCTATGTAGAGTCATATTATGCGTTAGGCTATTTCGTACTACCAGGGTCCTTTAGTCATGCATCAAGCCATCCTCATACCACACAGGGTTATATTATGCGTTAAGTCATTTTACCCTTTTTACGCATCAAGCCATCCGCAGATTATTCAAAGGTCCCTTTAGTTACCCATCAAGCCATCCTAAAACTATATGTATGTTCTCTTTTTACGCAACAAGTCATTCTCATATTATGTAGGCCCCTTTAGTTACCAACCAAGTCATCATCATACTATGTATGGTCCCCTTTTACGCAACAACCCATCCTCACACTTTGTAGGCAACTTAACTTATAAATCAACCAATCCTCATACTATGTATGACATTATGTAGATTACTTAGTTACCAACCAAACCACCATTATCATACTATGTATGGTCCCTTTTTTCGCATCAAGCCAACCTCGCATTATGTAGGCTCCTTTGGTTACCCCTCGAGCCATCGTCATACTATGTATGGTCCTTTTTTACGCATCAAGCCATCCTGAAGCTTCGTAGGCCCCTTTAGTTACCAGTCAAGCCATCGTCATGCTATATATGGTCCCTTTTACGCATCAAGCCACGCTGATATTACGTAGGCCCATTTAGTTACCCATGAAGCCATTTTATACTATGTATGGTCCCGTTTTACGCACCAAGCCATTCTGGCATTATGTAGGTCCTTTAACTACCAACCAAGCCACCATTATCATACTATGTATGGTCCCTTTTTCGCATCAAGCCACCCTCGCCTTACATAGGCCCCTTCAGTTATCTGGCAAGCCATCCTTATACTATGTACATGCATGGTACCTTTTTTACGCATTAAGCCATCCCCACTTTATGTATGCCCTTGTTTACCCATCAATCCATCCTCATTCTATGTAGGCCCCTCAAACCATCCCCCCACTTTGTATCATTTGCAACATGTCAACCCCTCCTTATAATATGAAGGATCCCTGGGTTACGCATCAAGCCATGCACATATTTTTACTAAATATAGAAAGGAGTGAACTGGATATACCTTGGTTTATCTTGATGGCATCAAGCATACATATTGCTACATGATGCCATGGTAAAATTGACTATGCATTGTACAGGTAATATTAAAGGAACTGGGAATGTTTGCAATTATCACCACTCAGCTCCACTCACCAGATTCAGGTACAGAGAGTGATTCATTGATCAATGATGCTATAAGGAATACCCTTTACAATAACTTGACGATACCTACACTCTGAAGGTAACGAATTGATTTAGCTGTATTATAGAAATTACAAGTGATGTGATACTGATTGGACCAAAATGGTGCCTTAATATATTAGCCTTTGTATTAAGGCTATTGCGGTTATGCTATCAGTACTATTTATATACCACTGGAAAGAAAATTCAATTTCAAATAAATTGATGTATCACTACGTCAATCAAACTTAATTCAGATCGCATGTAACTGATATGTTGTTTATCTTTATCATTTTGATTTAATTAACCTACACGTGATATAGCACTCATAGTTCTGTTAGGATTATAAAGACAACGTATGATATAAAAATGAATACTGTAATGTGGAATGAGCATATACGTTCCAAAAATCATTCTTTCAAGGTCCCTTAATATTTTATATCCGAAAAGTGAAAAGATTTAAGTTGACCGCATTTCCATCTTCAAATCACGGCATTTGGGCATGCATCAATGGAAATGGACTTCAAGTCAGTACGTGAGCCTTCAAAACGTAGACATGGTAGAGTGAAATGTACTTGATGTTTATTTTACCAAACAAAAAAATACACTGTCACTTTGATGTGTTGTTCGCTTGGTTGCAAGGGGTATTGTGGCTGCTCTATATACTACTATAAGCGATAGGAGGCAATGCATTTTATGTGGTAATATGTCCTTTACAAAACAATAAACATAGTGTGCTTGATCGAGGTTTCGTGATCATTTTTCATCATCTATCACTAAGTGTCATTATACAAGCAGGAACGTCAAAATTCAATATTAAGCATCTTGCCATACATACATTATATTACTCAGGGATATCATGTTGGTGGCTGTCTCGCGAGCTATATCAGGCGATGTGATACAGAGTTCGAAAAAAGAGTGACTGGACATCTGATCGATCCATAGCTCGATATCGCAGAGTATCAGCGTTCAGATGATAATCGTCGCAGGAGAAAAGATAGAAAATGATGTATCGAGTTATTTAAGGTCACGAATCAATTCTATACAATTGTAATATTAGCCACACGCGGTATAATGACTTATAGATGAGAAAACGGGGGTGAAACGAATGACGCTATTTGTGATCAGAAGGTTTTAATATACCATTAGAAATTCTGCTTGTAACAAAATTGATTAATTTACTGTCTTGAACAGGGGACAATTTTGGCATTTCTGAGTTCAAATCTTTTTAATGGGAAAGGGATCTTTGAAAGACTGGTTTGTTCAAATGAGTTTTACCTTAACTTATTCAAAAAATGTTTTAAAATAAATTTTTAATTCCCTAAATTAAGCCCCTGGTGATAAAATAGTTATTTAGACAACTTTGTAACTAGTGAACCTGTGTAAGAAGCCAGATCTTCTAAACTGACAGTCCAACCTTTCAAATGGTACATCGAAATCCCAAGCGAATTGTGTCATTTATTTTTGATTAATAAATGGACGCTTGGAGGCAAAAGTTTGCTTGGAGGGAATAGAAGGGGTCATTTTATATAATCATTGTTTGTCTATTAGCTAGCTCAGAGGAATCGAACTTTTTCGGTCCGTAAATCGGTTGTTCTGAAATTTGCACTTATCTAATAGTTAAATAATTAGAATAATCGCATTTAAAAAAGCATACAAAACCAATTATATTTTACCATACCATGGGTTTAATCATTTTGCGTTTTTTGTTAACATTCTCATAAAACATAAATCTGCAAATGTTTAATATTTTTGCAAAAATCGTATCTTATCTACCATTTGTACGTTTTATATGGGCGTTCTATGTATTTTCAATTAGGTGTAAAGATCAAATTATACTTCATGCCAATATGATATAACTTTTTTAAACATTGGTTATTGAAAAATGGGATAAGACGTCGTTTTGTACGTTTTGAATATTGGGATCTTGTTAGACTCTTGCAATACATTTCTTTTACATGTATGCCCTTTAACATGAACATTGGAATCGTATCGCTCAATTTCCAGTTTTTTATTTTTTTTATTTTTTTTTTATTTTTTTATTCATGTAATATAATTATTATCAAGTGTTACATTGACACACAAGATACCCATAGGGGGTATATCAGTGCATTATCAAAAATTGGAAAAAACATAAAGGTTTACACGTTATGATCTTAATTAAGGACTTCAAATTAAGATACATCAACAACTAGAACGTAATTCTCTTTTCTTAAACATTGTACAACATAATGTCACAATCATGTTATGTACTTCGAGTTCTTTGCTATAATTTACTAAAACGGTGAGTCAATTATCAACATAGCTTGTCATATGTACAATGTATGTAATATTATGCATGTATACCTTACCAGTAGGTAGTTTTATCATTTTTGAGACGTCATATAGACGCATATAAAACAGTTTTTCTCAAAGAGAATTCGATGAATTCACAAAACATGTGATTATAAAAATGACTCACACTAACATTGTACTCAAAAAAGAATCATTCCTGATATGCAACTGGTGCATGAAATCGATCGCTTGTTGTCTTTTGGACAAACGTATTACTAGTAACGGTATTCTGCAAGGCGTGTAGTATACACATAGACATAAACATATTCTGACTTGAAGACTTAAGTCTTGGATTTTGACTTTTTAGACACTGTCACTGTCATGTCGCTGATATGTGGAAGAAATTAGATTGATTGAAAGTCAAGCAAAGTCATTTATCATGTAAAATTTTTTTCTTAATCTACTTGATATTCGAAGACATTCAGAAATGTCGTCTGGATGTCCAGTTATGGATTTTGTATCAGTAAGTGGCATTAACTTGCACCCAGGCAGAAGAATATAACTGAGATACAATTACGGCACAACCAATTCTATTTATCTGTGTTAAAATTGTTCTATAATTTATCTGTTGAGTTTACAATTTTCCTTAAAATTGGAGATATGGGAGTCTAACCTCGCATCTTGGTGTACCTTTGATGCAGTGCTTGCAGTTTCTTGAACTGGAATAAGAAGATGTTATAAAAACAAACAGATATTAATTAGATGGGGCATATAAAAAAGGCCCTGTCTAACAAAGGAGGTGTTAGGGGATTCGGACGGTGGGAAAACAAAATATATGCTTACCTAAATGCCGTGTATCAGTGGTAAAAACAAAAACAACAGCCTTACGAAATCGTGTTGCGTCTTCCTATTGTTGAAAACCCACGCTATCTAATCCTTTCTCCTCGGTCTCTGATTGGTCAGAAGTTTAGGTCAAGGGCTGTCCTGATTGGTTAGTCAAGCGACAACTTCCCAGCGGGAATATTTAAAACCAACTTAAGCCTTGAAAGAGACTAGGCTCCAATTTCTCTGATAAAGCCATTATAAATATATTATATATATACTATATATATTACTACTCTGTTTAAATACAGGTCAATAAATGAATAATAATAATGTTTATTTATCTATGTTAAAATTGTTCTATAATTTATCTGTTGAGTTTACAATTTTCTTTAAAATTGGAGATATGGGAGTCTAACTTCGCATCCTGGTGTACCTAAGATGCAGTGCTTGCAGTTTCTTGAACTGGAACAAGAAGATGTTGTAAAAAACAAACAGATATCACTTAGATGGGGCATATAAAAAAGGCCATAAAAACTAGTGACTGTTGCTCCATCCAAGTTTAAAACTAATTCTATTTCTCGGTCTCTGAAATCCCTAGGGTGTAATTGTGTACTCATTGTGTAAAACGCCTCGCTGGCACCCTACACCCCCCCCCCCCCCTAAAATGGGACAAGAATTATAAGGCCTAAAGTTTATTTGTGCCTCGTTTTCAAATAACGACCTGAATCCTGAAAACAACATAAAAAGCCAAAATTGTTATTTCATGTATCTCGGTTTCAGACCGAGCTGGAGTTTAATGGGTGGTTTTAATTGGGAGCTATTATTTTTCAAACTCAAGTATACAGATTAGAACTAATATCGTTAACACATCGTATTGATTAACTCTGCATCCGGGTTTTGCTCACCTGATATTACAAGCGTAACAAATAATGTTCAACATGTTGAGCGTAGATAAATGCTAATCGAGTAATATGGCCCTGATCATCACACCAAGTAGTAAGTACACTACACACCGTTATGTTTATCTTGCTACCCTTTCCGTTTGAGCTGTTTTAATTATATCTCAGCGTTTCTCACAAAATGATATCAGGATTAAAAGGAGACGTGTTGCTTGTAGCTTGAATAAAAGCTGGTTCCTATTATTACCAGACGCGTTTTCTCTGTCCACGGGCAAACGTTACACCCAGTATTACTCATTGATTTTGCCAGAATTCTACCCCGTTATCAATATTCAAAAACATATGCTATCTTAAAAAACTTGGCTTTTGCAAGTTTTGGAAAACCCGTTTTGAAATTAAAATGTCATCATTTATTTATTTATATTATGGACGCTGGTTGACATTTGAACGTATGATATACCACATCAAAGATAAATAAATTCCCTATCCACTGGTATATAATATGACGTGTTTCCAACAAGAAAATCAATATTTATTTTTGAAATACAAGTGTCCCATTTTTGGACCACCCTGTACATAATCATTTCAAAAATCATTTGTTATTTTATTCATGAAATCAAAAGAGCTACATAGTTTGTAGGATTACATTCTACAATCCTGTGCAATTTTCCATTATTTCACTTTACGTCAATTTGATCGAAAATTAAATTTTTGAATTTTCCTGTAGTATGGTCAGATATGATATACCTGCCCACTCAGTCGAAACGTAAAGCTATGTTCCTGCCCATTGTTGAAAAGAGCCCATCGTTGAAAAGAGAACTGTGCTTTATATTCATCAAACACGTCCAAATATAGGATACTATGAATATCCACTGGGTATAAAAACATCACACTTGATCTTTAAGTAATGGGGGGTAGGAGAAAAGCAAAATGTTGATTTGCTGATGAATGAACTTCCCTTGTGTACCTGACGTGGGGTTGGATCTATCAATTATCCAGGTACATTGAAGATATCGCAGGTGCAAATCAACCAATATGATTCCTGTGCCACTAATAACCAACATAATTCGCATAGTGCAATCAACAAATGTACAAACGTCATACGTATATTATATCATTAAGGTCGCAATTATTATATATCACTAAATACGTGTATCTGTCCTTAATTTACTTAAACTGGTATATGATGGGTTCTTAGATAAACCACTTTAATTGTACTTTTAGGTGTCGCAAATATAACAGATTTTGACCATTTTTCTGCAAATCTAAATTCGAAGAAATGGTACATAAACAGCTTTAAATCAGCTATGATATGAATATGTGCCAAATGCTTTTTAATCGACATGCAAAAATCCTTTCACAATCAGATTACATAATTACTGTTCAGAAAAAAATTACGTGACATTATTTTGGGATTCGTTAAGTACAAAAAGAACTGTAACTTTGTCGACTGATATAAATTCACATATATTGAATACAGGGTGTTCCATGTTATTACCTTGGTATTGGAACTTAAATTGTACTTCCAATGATATGTAAGTTATAGTAAATACATTTTTGGAATCCGTAGTAAATGCTTCGAGTCTAATTCATTAGCCCACTCTGTATATTTGGGAACTTTTTGGACTTTTTAGTGTCATTATATTATATCAAAAATGTCCAAAGTAACAGTTGAACTCCTATCTTCAAGTTCAAAACAATCCAATTTGGACTACCTTATTTCCTTGAATCCATCAGCCATAGTTAAATTGAAATCATAGAAGATCGTGACGATACATGCTTGTAATGTGAGGTTTGTTTTACAGGTCGTCGTCTTGATATATCAATGAATGAAAATGTTTCTATTATTATTTTCATAGATGAGTGGTATCTCGTCCAAGGCCCAACCCTCAACTACCGAGAATGACAGTAGGTTGAGGAGTAAGCTTCACGGGAATACGATCACCACTACCCAGACACAGCAACTCCAGCAGCAGTCTGGGGCAGACTCACCACCCCCATCTCCCTCTCCCTCGTCAGAGCGGGGATCCAAAGCGTGTTGTTTTTGTTGGTGCTGTTGTTGTAGTTGTTCATGGTAAGTGGAATCACCGTGACAACAACAGTGAACGGTAGAAGCTGGCAATGCTGTCCCTCCTCCTGTTTTCCCTACCCCGTGGGTCCCCTCTATAAGGTCAATTTATGTGACGCGCCCCTGCCCTCATAATCAGCCAATCAAAATCAATATCTAATTGGATCGATTGATTTGTTCTAGACACGTGCTAACTGGCCAGTGAGATTGCCCCACCCCAACAAGCAAGAATAATTGCATGAATGATTCGGGCAGGGACTTGACCACCCGTCAGGCCGTCAGGCTGTGGGCGTCTACGTATGGAGTTTTTATTCAAGTGGTGAGTGATCCTATTGGCCCTATTTCATATAATAAAGAATGCAAGAAAACTGTTTAAAAATTTATCTGAATTCTATTTTAACTCTACTCCAGCACGTATTTAGAATTCATCAATCTCACTTAGAATTAGATTGTCTCCTCTTACTCTCTATCAATAAACCACGATCGACATCATTGGTTTTACTTTTATGTAATACCTCAATCGACCTAGAAGTTTACTTTTCACTCGCCACTTCTCTATATTCAGTTAGATATTAGATATCACGTGACCTTATATTGCCAGTTTTTGCTAGTTTACTGTTGTTGTTGTTGTTATTGTTGTTTTTGTTGTTGTTGTTATTTTGGGCTTTGATATCATTGCACTTGTTGTTTAGTTTTCTGTTTGATATTGAGGACCTAGTAAAACAGCGAACTCTGCATATTGTTGACTCGTGATCTGAACTGGAATCGCTTGTACGGCATTTGGAACTTGATGTATTGTTGGAGAGAGGGCACCCAATAGAGGAATTTCTATATCTCTTTGAAAACTTGCTATTATTATCTTTTTTTCATGAGATTTTCAGAGATTTGCATATTAACTGATGACTAACTTTTCCTTCTTTTTAATACCATATTTGAATTCAGTGAAAAATTATAATTATAATTTTGATCAGTACATGATATATAGAGTTATGTTTTTTAAATCATTATACATGACTTTTCAAACTTTCAAAATATGGATCAAATCGCCATTGATGCAATGTTTTTATTGCAACTTTTTACCATTGAAGCCTATGTCAGTCTGTCGCAACCAAAACAAATAAAAAACAAGTGCCGACATCTTTTTATTCATATAGCAACTTCCTTATTATCTTCGAGCCTGTTGGTATTACCAGTTGGGAAAGGTGATTTCGGATAGTTAACAATTCACAGGAAATGGAAACGAATTTCAGATTGTCAAAATGCACGTTGCACGCTTTTTCGTTCACTTCGATAAACTTTCTATCGGAAATTAAAAAATCATGCTTTTTTCGTTTTGTATTTCTGGTATTTCTAGCATCTTGTTTTTATTACATAATAAACTTAAGACAATATTCCAATTTTTGGTCTATACCATCCTTGGTCCAAGGGTGTTTCACTTTCCATAAATGAAGTCCTTTAAATGAAGGATGGTCTATACTTGTAGAAAGGGCACAGGATGCAACGACGTTATTAACCCCGCAAATGTACAAGATTCATATTATCACCATTTCTATATTTATCGATATATATAATACATAGACACTGAAAACTAATAAGAATGATGATATTCTTGCTTGTTTAACATCAGAATGGGAACATGTACGAGTATCTCTAATCATAGTTCTATTGTTCAAAATGAGACTAAAATAAGTACGACTTATGATAGGGGAGTCACGAATGAAAGGATTTATAGTGGACTAGACAGGTAACCTCAAGCGCGGATTCAGATTTTTAAATTTGCTCTCTATTTGGAGTTATGCCATTGCAATTTTTATCACAAGGGAAGAAAATGATCTTTAGAATTTTTACTCTTTTTATTCGATCCTTGCATTCGTTTTGAAATCTCTTTCAAGTTTTTATTGATTGGAGGTCTATTTATAGGCTGAGGTTTTTTTTAATTAAAAAAAATTCTACGGTATCTGGTTAGATGAAAAAATTATAAATTATCATTTCACACTGTAACGTGTACTTAAAATGTATGTGCTTCATTTGACTACCGTTAAAAGAATTTAAATTTTGGTGAACAACGACAAAAGAATTAACCAGAGCAAGAGTACGTAATCCTGAAGTTATCTGTCTAGTCTACTATTCTAAAGTGAACAAAATGGATCCAATATCACCACACCATTTGCGGGTGTTAAAATCACTACAACAACTGGAGTTGAAACAGTCAGGAAAACGTCGACTTTTAGCGCGTCTTCCACAAGAAGGGCCGAAGTTTCTTTTTGCACTGCAAACTCAATAGAAGTCATATCGGAAACTACTACAAAATCCTGGTAGGACAGTCGTACGTGATGTGGATTGATGTACAGTTTGTGATGTTGAGGGTCTAAAATCGTTTCCTTTTGTTGATTTTTGTGATAAAGAGACTTTTCTTTTGACAAATTGCATTTGGTTGCAAGATATTGGGGTTTATTCTATCGGCCACTGTGCTTACTTCATAACGTTTTTATGGGGGAATTGTTTCTTTTTATTGATAAACACATAATTTCAGACATTACATATCTATGCGAGAATCCTCGCAATTTTCTAACAAGTTCTATAAGACTGCGTTCTGTTTCAGTTTATTCAATCTTGTAAAACTATTCTTCAAGAACTTGGTTTTGAATTCTGTAATGTGTATTTCTACTATCAGTCTACTTTTATTTTTATTAAGCAAGTAGTAAATATTGTTGCCTGTAGAGAGAAAATAGGACAATTTTTCTGAGCTATCAAGGCAACATTTGGCTTAATATTCTTACAATTTGAAAATGGACTTTAACAATACTATCCCACGTGAATCTACTTGTTGAGACTCGATCAACTTGAGTTCTTCTGAAAAAATGTGGATTTCAGCAAGGGTGTAATGACTTAATATGGGCTTAACATGCGTATACAATAATTGATTTAAAATCTGCATATATTCATGGGGACAGATAAAAATCTCAGATTCATGTGAGAGGGTATTGGCATAATCCATTTTCAATAGCAAGAATAAGGGTTCCTAAATAGGACATTAAGCTTAACTAAGGCCTTTTGAAGATTTTTGTTAGTTCTTACACGAAAAAGATAATCGCTCATTTTGGAAAAATGATAATTCGTTTCACGTTGTAAGGACATACACATAAAATAAATATAACATGATATGATACAATGTATTGTCCGTTCTAATCAACGTTGACCAATATAATAACTATTTGATAAAAACGACATTCTTATATATTCTGTGGCTGTGTATATATTGTACATTCATGCATATTTGCTTTTATTCCAGTTTAACCGTACGAAATGGTGATGAAAACAAATCTTCAAAAGATTCAAAGTTAGAAAATATAAATGAAAAGGACGACCCGTAAGTTTGTCACATTATTTTATACTGTATAACTACGCATATACGAGGGTTGTCCCAGAAGTAATGCACTATATGCTCTAACTTTCTTTAATAGTCTTCAATTCAACTGAAATTTGTGTACTATAGATTTGTGTGTAGTATATAACAATTGAAGTTTTATCTCTTATATCCTGAAGTCTAAGTCTATTAAGTCTTTAGGGGTGGGCGGGGCAGTATAACTACAATTATGAGGTGGCAGAAGAGATTTTAAAAGTGATGACTGGACCCTGGATGACAACTCCAAACATGGGAGACAAAAGCTCCACAAGTCAAAGTGGAAGAAATTGCTAAGAGTGTTTAACCCGACAGGCATTAAAAGTACATAACATGCAAAGGGCAATATTTTGAGAAAATGTGAAATGGAACACTGTGCAACATACATACATTAAATCTAGGCTGTCCTCATAGTAATCTAGTATCTTAAAATGTATTTTTGAGCATACTTATTACAGCTACACAAAATGGTATTTGTTGATTAATTATTTCATATTTTCAATTTGTTATTCCTTTTGACGTTACATTTTAACCTGCCCCACCCTACCCAAACTCACCAACTTGATTTTATTATAACATCAATATAGTTTTATCAGTCAACATGAAAATTTGTAGAATAATCAAGATGTCTTTAAGGGACATTTACTGAAAATTTCATGGAAAAATAGTACAATAATGTCATTTCGAATGGCAATATAGTGAAATATTTGACCGAAGGTCGAAGGCCCAAGGTTCAATATTTCACTATATTGCCCGCAGAAATGACGTTATTAGTATTATTACCACCATTAATGACCAGGGCTGAAATAATACGAAAATCTTACGCACTGAACGATATCTAATTTCCCGGGGAAAATTGCCGGTCATTAATTGCATTATTGACCGCAATTATGGACTGCCATTATGACGTCACATATTGCTCAGGTCGATATCAAGGAGGATTGGCTCCCAGAATCGAAGTCGATATTTTCCAACAATGAAAACGCCGAGATGTCGTTATTTTCTGAAATTATAACCGATTATAAATTCAAAATAAACAGTTCAAAAGATTCGAACCAATATCTCGATCATTTCCTGTGAGTTTTGGAATTTTTCGTTAGGAAATAAGACCAAAATTCACGATTCAAATGTTGAAGTGAACAAAATGGCGGCTGTTGGAATTCAAATTTTGTAGCACGACATGCCCATATATGGGACAGAATATCGATGTTGCACTCTGGGAGCCAATCCTCCTTGGGTCGATATAGTAAAATGAATGCCTTCTAAACTAGCATTAAAACCCCTAGAACAGGCCCGGCAAGGTGGTAATAATATCAATTATTGATAAAGTTAGAGCATATAGTGCATTACTTCTGGGACAACCCTCGTACTCAAATTAACACATCGTCTTCCTACATAATATGTTTATCTCATCCCGTATGTATATACTGCAATAGTGAATTATGAGTAATACATATTCATGTGTGGGTGGTGCGTGGCAAAGGGGACCAGCATTTCATGCATTGTAATTTATTACCATATAGAAATCATCCTCCGATCACAGGGCTTCATGATCCAGAATATTTTCTGAAGGTACGGATTCTGGACACCGGCTTAGGAGGATGTATAAGAAACAGTGGATACCGTTAATGCACGTGAAATATTAAGTTATTATAATGTTTCGCTTGTTGCTTTCCAGGCCGACATTAGATGAGATAAAGTCATGGTCAGATTCATTTGACAAACTAATGACTTGTCGAGGTAAGAATTAAAACCTTTTAAACCATTTTAAAGGTATTATTACTGTTTTTACAATTTTATCCTGAGAACGGAATTTTATATTTACCTAGAATAAGTAATAAGTTTTGCTATATATGAATGAAGATTATTGGAATTATTTTGTTGTTGACGTCAGATATAGTATATATCATGGACCCCAATCCTCTGTATCCAGCACCAACAAAGTATTATATTCTTGAACATGTTCACCAGGCTGGATTATTAAATCTTTACAAAATAAAAGTTATGTGAAAAATTGTTTTAGTAATTTATTATATTGTTGTCAGCGTTATAAACATTCCTTTATTCCAGAATATAATTTTAACGACAGTAGTCAGTTCTAAATAATGTATTCTTTCAGGAGGGAGAAAATCATTTAGAGAATTTCTACGGTCGGAATATAGTGAAGAGAACATGCTATTCTGGCTCGCTTGTGAGGAGCTTAAGAGGCACGACAACCCAGAAGTCGTGGAAGAAAAGGCTCGAATCATTTATGAAGATTACATTTCAATATTATCACCAAAAGAGGTACAGAAAATACACATATTGGCTTTAATGTTAACAATAATTAACTTGCTGACTATTAAGATATAAGCAAGAATCATTTTCGCTTGTGTATCCCAGTTACACAATTTATGAACCATTTTATCATATCCATCGTGTAAATAGAAAGATGGCAGAGTTGTCGTTTCCCTAAAAAAACTCCAGCTTTATACGTAGTTACCCACTTGATGATATAAACTACCAATGTTGTTTTTACTTAAAATGATGAATATGACTTCAAAACATAAATTATGGAAATGGATAAAAACATTTTTCTTGAAATGCATTGTCTTGCCCTATCAATTTAGAATAAACGATACTTCAAAATCAATGTAATACTGAATTGCAAATTAATTTTTTTATGTTTTTAATGAATTAAGCTGATTACGTTCTGTACTTTCAGGTTAGTTTAGACTCTCGAGTGCGAGAAGTTATTAACCGCAATATGGTTGATCCGACTCCGCACACGTTTGACGAGGCCCAGTTACAGATATACACTTTAATGCATAGGGATTCATATCCCAGATTTCTCAATTCTCAAATATATAAGTCACTTCTACAGCAACATTGATAAAGAAGGATGTATTATATGGAATTTTGTAAAGTCTTCTTATTTATCAATTTATTATATTGGGCAATATGATTCAAACGAAGGAAAACACCAACTGTCGTGTGTTTTCGCATATGGCCCACCAAGTCAGAGGCCTCCCTTTGTGGATACTAGGCTCAATTGGTTCCAGCGACACAACAGTATGGCAAGAACCATATTCTTCTAGGTCAGGTATGACGTATGGCAGCGTTATAATAAGATATATATTACTTACGCGCCCTGATCTATCTGAAATTCCAATGCAAATATCGCGCATGATCATATACTATCAGAGTTATCATTCTGGATATATCCAACGCATATGATAGCATGTGGATTATAGTGGAGCTAAGCAAGGAGGTAGAATTTCATTGTTATTGTTTGTACTCTGTTGAACTGCCTAAAGGATTAGCAGTATGTGTCTGTTGTCAACTAGCCGTGGTGGAATTGTAACACTACCTTGTTGGACTTGCTACAGGGGACTACATCACAATATGTTCTGGTTTTGATGGCATTCTGTTATAATAAATGATTCAAACAATATGTATTTTCAATACAACTATGTAGTATAGTAAGAGATTATAAATGCATACGAATCTATTTTCAAGGTTAGTGTCAGAACTCAGAACCAGAAAATATTGTTTTTCTTATTTGTTATGTATTTTTAAGTCATCATTTAGTGTAACATTAGAAAACAGTTAGAACTTTAGAAATAAGATTCCAAATACAGGAAAATATGTCATTTAGTTCTTTATATTTAAGTCGCTCAGACTTATATAAGGCGTAAAATTGTTCAGACTTATATAAGGAAAGAAAAGGTCACGATGTGATGATTCATGAAGTACATAAAGATGCATCGGGTCAGACTTGGCCATGGTAAATTAGATTTACGCCACCATTTCAAATAATTACAAAATGAACATCAATATGCAATCTACGTTGAATGGAGCTATCAAAAGAGAGAGAATCAAATTCAATTTAAATGTCTGTCTGCAAACTATCTAATAAAGATAGACACAACTATCATGCAGATTAGCCAACATGAGCAAATGATTGCTATACTTTAAATATGGAATAATAGGCTACCTGTGATGATGTCCAACCTTACCTCCGAGTGCAAACGGACAAAACACGCGCTACATCATATTGATACAATTGATGACACCATCATTTTGGTTTACATTGATCTCCAGTTGCAGTTGGATAAACTGATCAGTATCAGTCGCAATTAACGCTAGTCATGTGAGGTGAAGATATAAGTTATAAGTTGTCTCTAAATAATGTACATCTAGTAAAACAAAAATAAGTGAACGTATGTGAAAGACGTTCGAGTCTATACGAACTTACTTATCTTTGTAGTATATTTTTATGATATTATACTTAATGCATTTGTTTAGTTAGGTCATCTCTTTTATTTCACTTTATCAGTAGTAGTGTACGATACAGAAAAATGTATTTTGGCCATGTGCAAATTGTTATAGTATTTAGAGCGAATAATCCAGACTTGAACGCATAATGATTGGTGTAAAATGACATACTAGTACCATTCATGGTTGGTTTGGAAGTCTCCATTCCCCAATTGAATTTAGTGTCAAGGTATATGTAAATATGATAATCTACCAAACCAGGGATAATAAGCTGAAAATATCAATTGTCCTCATTATAGAAACGCCCCCTGTGTAACCCCCCCCCCCCCTATTCTCCCCAACTATTGCACGATACGTTCTGTCGTATGTGTCTAAGGTGCTTCCCACATCAAGATCATTAAAACTATTATTTTATAGTTATTATTTTTATTTTATTCATTATCATATTATTCATGAATTATTTATATAATTTAGTAAACTAATTAGTGAGAAATTTCGCTGAATTTTTCTTTCTCATTGAATTAAATGATTTCCCGATATTAAATATTCTTCAAACTGTCAAATCAATTTATCTTTAGGATAAAGATTTAATGAATATGCTGTAATGAGGTAAATTGATATTTTCTGCAACACATATGTTTGATGGGAAATCGGGTTTTCCAAGCTTATGAATGGGAACGTAACTTGATTTGATACATCTAGACAATAAGTAAAAAAATTGATATTCCGATTTTCTCTATATGTGTACCAGATTTACTTTGAATGTAGAATATAGAATATGTAGAAGGTATAGTTATGAATACCGCCAGGAACTCTCTGAGTACACACTCTACATGCATTCACAGTATTCCAAATGCACTCATATTTACACTGAATGCTGTCATGTGTGGACTGAATACACTCATGTGTAGACTGAATGCACTAATGCGTAGACTGGATATGAATGCATTCATATGTACTTACAAGGCATAACATGCACACTCAAGATGCACTCAAGTGTATACTGAATGTATTCATGTGTACTAAGTATATTTGAAGTGTAGTCTACACTCAGGTCAACACTGGATGCACTCAAGTGTACTTTGAATATACTACTGAATAGTACTGTGCAATCAAGTGCACCTTGGGTGCACTATAGTGCACTTTGAATGTATTAAAGTGTAATCTGCACTCAAGTGTACACTGGGTGTATTCAAGTGTACTTTGAATGTTTCAAAGTGTACTTTGAATGTTTTAAAGTGTACTCTGCACTCAAGTGTACACTAGGTGCACTAATATGAACTTTGAATGTATTAACGTGTACACTGCACTCATGTGTACTCTGGATGCTCTCAAATGTACACTGACTGCGTGCGTTCAAAGGTACTCTGAATGTAAAGTTTGCCCAAGTGGTCTAGCAATGTTAAGGTACTGCTATTAAAATACTTTGCATCGAGTTAACGTTATGGAAATCATTTTCAATGAGTCAGAAATCGTGTGTATCCATATGATGTTCAATCAAAAAGGGATCTAAACATTTTCTGGGTTTCAATTTTTAGAGATTTATTTTCGCCTTGGGCTGCACAAAAATATTTTCCTCGTAGTCCTTGTATGTTCGAGGTGTTTCAGAAAACATTAGATCAGCGGCGGATGCTTGACATTCCAAGTCAAGACGCAGCTTATGACTGCGGTGACGATAGTCGAATTTTAAAAAGTTATCTACTTCCAATACCAGATATTTTGATTATTAAAATCAATATTTTCCTTGATATAATGATCATTTTTGTTAATTGAATTTTAGTAAGTGAACTTGATGGCCGTCACAAATATATTGAATTATATACAGTTGGGTCAAAAAAGCAGTACACGTTTATATTTTTTGAAATACTAGCAAAAGTATGCATGTGGATAGATGATTTGATTCCAACGAAAATAATACACACTTTGTAGAATGCATGCTATTTGAATGAATTTTTACATTTTACACAACATTAAGTATCATAGAGGCACGTTTTGCCATTGGGCTGTGTTGCATAATTGAATATTTCTTTCACTCACGAGTTAAAACTGGTTTTTAACACCCATTCATTATGTTCAAATCACCCCTATGTGCCCTAATTAGCATAACATTATACGAATAATTAATCGTTTTGATCAAGTATTTAGTATCGTAAATAAAGATTTTATATGAAAGTGTGCTCCATTTCTGACCCACCCTGTATTATATAAAAGGTTAGCATATTGTATGTTATATGAGCATTTGTTGTGTCACATAACAACCCAGTAGGGCTATGTAATATGAACATTTGGTGCGTTACAAAAACATCCAATGTGTTACATGAACATAAAGTTTGTTATATGAACATTCAGTGTGTTACACAAACATTCGATGTGTAACATGAACATTAAGTTTGTTATATGAACATTCAGTGTGTTACATAAACATTCGATGTGTTACATGAACATAAAGTTTGTTATATGAACACTCAATGTGTAACATAAACATTTAGTGTCTTATGTGAAAATTCAGTGGGCCACATGGACGTTTAGTGTTACATGAACATCCATTGTATGACCATTAACAATACATTATGTGACATATGAGCAAACGTTACGTAAAATACAATTTGTGATACATTCATGGCCGACCATATACAATGTACGAGGGGTGATCAATAAGTAATGGACGCTTTTTTACACAGATACTTTTTATAGACCAATCCCTTTGATTTTCCTACCAGTGATACATCATTCAATTATCTATCAACTCTGAAGATTTGAAGACAAAATATCTAATACAGGTTGATATATCCTTATGTCTGTGAAGGAGGTACAGGTACCCCAGGACCGACATTTACGTCACATATTCTGAAGCTATTTTAGCTTGTTTAACATGCAGTGCAGTTGAATGCAGGCTGTACAAAACAAACCATAATGCTCATGAATTACCCCCATTTTGTTTTGCCATAGTTGATTTTAAATATTTTATCATCACTATGTGGTATTCATGTCATATTCATTCCACAGGGCACTCTATATAGGTTCCATAAAGTGCTACATGTACACAATTCCTCATCCTCTTAACTCAAGATTGTGAGACAAGGCTGAATCCATTCTCTGACATGGTAGCAAGATGCAGTTGCATGGGTTGTTTTATCATGTTTATTTCATCAATGTCAATAAACCTACATCCTTTCTCTATAGAAATAAGTAGTATAGAAATTAACAAGTCACATGTGAGCAGATCTGGACAATATGGTGCATTGGCCAAGGGCTCGATTTTGAGTTCCAGGGATATTGTTTTCCGAACATTTTGAGATCTGTTGGCAGGTGCATTGTCCATATGGAGTAGGGTGTTCCCTTCTCTCACCACCCCTTTCTTCCACAATGCTTTCTCAAATTGACCTGCAAACCCCTTCCATACAACACTCTGACATCACAATACTTTCTGTTTATGTGTTACCAGTCAGCAAAAAATTTCAAACAACACAACACTTGTTGCACATAAAAAGTTCCAATCTAACTGAAATTTACCAAACTGGCTAAAAACTGAATATGTGACGTAAATGTCGGTCCCGGGGTACCCGTACCTCCTTCACGGAAATAAGGATATATCAATAAGTATTATATATTTTGTCTTCAAATCTTCAGAATTGATAGATAATTGAATGATGTATCACTGGTAGGAAAATCAGAGGGATTGGTCTATAAAAAGTATCTGTGTAAAAAAGCGTCCATTACTTATTGATCACCCCTCGTATTACATGAGCATAATATGTGTTATATTAGCACGTATTGTGACCAAACCTCGCTGTTATTAATAAGTCTAGGATTATGGGCAATCTCTCTTTTGACCTAGTGAATGTTTTAGCCAATATGATTTCAACTCTATATATTGTCATCAATGTCCGACTTTGTATTCTAGCGTAGATACATGTATGTCTGTCATGTTTTATATAATGGTTAATTTATTGTTACACAATCCATGTATTTATATTTATATTTCAATTGTTTCAATGACATGTGTACGTTTTGTTTAGATTTAAACATCCATACGGTTAACACGTATATTAATGTGAAATAAAAAAGACAAAAATATCTATACAAAAGTTTACTTTTAAATTATTTTCTAATTTCAAAAATACAGGGTGGGCCAATAAAAATTGGAACATTATTCTATTTATTCAATTATCTTTATTTTTGCAGTTCAATCCACAAAAATTCAGATAATGGTAAACTGATTATTTGTGAAATTTTCTGCATGTGTCATAAAAAATTCTCAAGCAGAGAAAATTTGGAATATGTTCATGACTTACACAGTATACAGATCATGACCATGAGAAGCCAAATATAATCATACATACATATTTGTATCATTGACATTTTCACAAATAATCATTTTATCATTATCTGAATTTTTGTGGACTGAACTGCAAGTATAAAGAAAATTGAATAATTAGAAAATGTTCCAATTTTTATTGGCCTACTCTGTAGATGTATTTGTTACAGGGTGGTCCAGAAGTAATGTCAAAGATGTTGCCATTTCAAAACTACTAGACCAATCTTCTAGAAACTTGGTACCGATGTTCCCCAAACATTATTCAGTGCATTCCCCAAATATAAAGATTCTACTAGTTGATTGGTTAATTTCATGGTAACTACAGCAACCAAATGTGACGCAGGAAAAATTTAATAAAGACAATATTACTGTCAATTTTAAACACTTTATTTTATCAAAATCATGAACACTTAATTGCTCATTTATTGTATACATCGGATTATAATATATCTAGTGCTGCTATATAAATGAAGAAGAAATGGTCTTAGCGCCTGGCAGGGGGCACATTTCATGTTAATGAATGCTCTTTCGTGGGAGTGTTGTTTATAACAAGATCAACATTGATGTAGAATTTGGTTCCGATCAACAACAAAAATACTCGTATATACATATAGAAAATACAATAATATTTAGATAATAGTTGTATAATGCAACAAATAACAATCAACAAACGTTGAGTAAGGATAAAATACCCCTGATCATCATTACTATAATGAACATCATTGTTTGAATAGAGCAATTAAAGTACGTGACATTAGGAGTTATAAAACATGTAATTTTTAAATGCAATCTTCACAATAATACATTATGATATCTAAAATACTATATTTAAAGAAACAATATCTTTCAAATCGGGCTTTTGTTTACATTGTTTGATTGGATAATATATGAAGGCTCCTATGTACCCTGAATAAATTGAAATAATACCTAAAACTAACGCATGTTCATATTTATAGATTGCAAATTGGCAAGTTTCATATACCGACACAATCATATATATTATATATATATCAATACTGTCATGCCATCAAAATAATATTCATGCATGATTGATCATCATGTGAAATAATGATTAACAAGAACAAAAGATGGCACACTTGTACATATTATTTAGAAACTGGTAACGATTTTTGGACCGCTCTTTACATCGGTTCCTTCAAGCATTTACGGCATCTTTGTGATATAAACATCTTCGGTTGTGGCACATCGGTGCTCCCCCAATAAGAAACAATGTGTTTGGTGCCCTGTTGACATTCACCCGAACATGACTATCAACCCTTGGCTATCAACACTCCGCAGATACCATAAATTGGCCACAATAATCATAAAACAAATAACAAAAATACATCAAATTCAAAATGTAAGGTTTTACCTGTCATGTATGAATAAAATATAATTCACACATAGCTAGGCCTGATATATCAAATTCCAAGGATCACAGTACTTCTAACAATCTGTATTTCTGAAATTACAACCAAGCATGGCTATTGGCTATTTTCAGATTCTAGTGTTTTTTCCCCTTTTAGATTTCATCAATTTCATAATTGGTTGGTGGATGCTGGTTTTAGATTTCTGCAGAAAAATAATTGATTTAGCTATTGTTTGGGGTGATTAACTTTGTCTGATTAAAAGTTTTAATATATCTTGGTAAAATAACGCTTTACTTACTTACTTATTTCCCCGTGATCTTATTTCTTTGACATAACTAAATTTTTGAGAAACGGTGTATACTTGGGATTTGAAACTGCAATTGTAATTTTAGATAAAACATAATTTTGAACCCTTTGAAATGAAACTGGCAATTCTAATTATTATGCAGGAGTATTGATTTAATCGAGATGTTCATACGATTTCAAGTGGCGAAAAACGCAACAAGTTATATCATTTTAAAATATATTTCAACTTTCATAATTTTTTACAATAATATACATTAAATGTTCAATATTTTACAATTTAGATCATATCCTCTGATGGCTCAAATTAGCACCTACATTATTGAAAAAACATCAATCCACCATAAATAGTTGGGTTTGTATAAAATGTGGATATGTCTAGTCAAAAGTAACACATATCCATTTCAGATTACTGAATAACATGGACATTTATTAGCAAACCAATGAGTATTTTTGCTATCTGAGTAATCTATATTTTACATTATTGAACATGTTTTCGAGGTTTGGTTTATATACAGTACAGTGTCCGACTGGGGCCGTGTTCTGGGTACAGGTTTCACTTTCCTTAATCTCTCCTTATCTCTTGGACCCAGACTCAATACTGAGGGAGGTCTTGAATATGGCGGATCGTCCCCTTGGTCCACTTTATCCCAGGTTCTTGACATCCTGCCGTCATCCACGGCCTCTAATTCTTGTGCCCTGCTTGGAACTTTAGCGAGAACTTCATCTATGGCATCTCGTTCCTCATCAATGATGACGTATGATACTATGGTACCATCTTCACATCCTATCACAAGTGTCCGTTGATCCTCACAAAGTTCAACACATGATATAACACTATGAACATCGCATCTTGCTATTTCTTTCGCAGACGATCTCTGGATGATGATCACTTCTTGCCCCTCGCAGTACACGATGACCTCACCGTTTAAAGCAATCTTCTTCGGTTGACGTTCTTGTGGATGGACATTTTTAACGAAATAACCATTGGTTGTGTCGTATACATTTGAGAGGTTGTCTAGACAGAATTTTGTATCTTTGCTGAATAGGATGCGATCATCGGTGGGAGATGATTGGGCCAAAAAGTTGTCACATATTTGGGTAACTACTCCACTTCTGATATCTAAGATCAAGAATCCATTGTATTTCACATATACGCTATCGTTCAGTGTTGAGCGTTCTCTTTGCATGAGATCACGATCCTCTGGTTCAAACTCGTTGTTAAATAGAACGAGGATGGAGTAAGGATTCATGGGAATGGGACGGGCGTGGAGGATACGTTTTACATGCTGGAATGCTGTAAAGTCTTTGGCGTTAAACTTATTCAATGGGAAGTCACGTTCCTCCATACTGACTGCACATATTGTAGGCCTACTGTGATGGGCGTTCATTTGGTCATAGTCGTCTGCACTGATGATCACCAGGTATTTATCCTCTGGTGTAATGAAGGGCTTGATCAGCACATACTTGATCGGCTCTTTCAAGGTTTTCTCTATCACCCTTTCACCATCAAACGAATACAAAGTGATGTGATAAGGTTCTTTGAAATTCATCTCTTTCTGGCATACATGAGCAATTGAGTCCTTGTTTGTGAAAGAGATACAATGTCCCCCTACATTACCGAATTCCTTGATCACCTTCCTGTCGCCAAGATACCATATCTTGTTACTGCAATTTGGTTTCTTTGGCTTCAGGGACACAAGGGTATACTCTCCATTTGGTGATATTGCTAGATCTGTTACTGGACTCTCGTGGGTCAACAAATCCTGGAGTTGACCGGTTGTCATATCAATCACACCGACCTCGTCACTGTCATGGCATCTTACAAACGCTTGACTGGCATCCTCGGTGAACTGAATTTCAGCTACGGATCCAGTGAGTTTATCTAGAAGTCGACTTTGGTTGATTGCTGCTTCGAAATTCCAAACATGTATGGCACAGGAATCCTGTAGGTGTGTCAAAATCTGCTTGCTATGCTTTGGAATCATCATATCAGCAATAATACCGACGGGGGCTTGAAGCGTTGTGATCAACTTCCCATTAGAGATACTGTAGACATAGACATTTCTGAATATAGAGAGCAGTACGAATTTGTCTTCACGTGAGAAATCTGCTTGTGTGAAGGCGATGTCAGTGTAGTGTGACTTTGGCAGCTTGAACTCTTTTGGAATGTCGTTTGGCCTTTGGAATCGATGTACCAGCTGTTGGATCTCCATGTTGTAGAGCGCAATGTTGTTTAACCCACGGACCAAGAGATACTGCTCATTGTTGGATAACTTGAGATGTTTGATACGATCATCAGGGAGGCAGTCTTCAAACGCAATTTTGTACGTAAGTTCAACATAGCCATTGTTGATATGGGCAACCATGACTTTGTTTTCTGTTGGGGTAAAAACGAACGCCCTAGTACTGTCCTTAGAATATATAATACCAGATGGTTTGTACTCAAGTGGAATCGTTGAGATGTGAACCAGTGATGTAAGATCATATGACATCAAGTGCTCATTTGAATTGCAGAAAACACATTTGGAATCTGGCGTAATCTCACATATGGTGGTTTTCCCATCAAGTCCAAGAATTTGTAAAAATTTACACGTGTGTACATCTGCTATACATAGATAACTGGACTCTGTGGTGACGATCAAGCAGATGAAATCATTGGAAACACTGATACAGTTCATTTTGTATTTTTCCTTTGGAGAGAGTTGAATATGATTCATTGGAATCAACTGTCCCAGAAATTCTCCACTGTTAGCTTTGTGTACCTTCACAGTTTTCTCCGTGACGTGGTCGACAATAACAAGATAGTTGCCATCTGGTGTTGTAAACATGTCGCCGCTTGATGCAATAATGTCATTCTTGTGCTCTCCGGTTGCAATATCAAGGACGTGGACATTGGCAATGTTTCTTGCTTTCGCAAGGAGATATCGGGAATCGGACGTCAAGAAGAAATCCTGGATACTTGATGACGTTTGTATGGTATATTGTAAAGGACTGCCGGGAATTTGGTGGTATGGGAAATTTGGAATGAGGGCACATCTCTTCAGGCCATCTTTGTCACACTGTCGAATTAAGTCTCGTATATTTGAATGTGTGGCATAGTATGTCATCAATCGCCCGGATATTTCTATAGCCATATTGTCGATGTTACTCTCTATGATTGGTTGAGCGCCTCGCATAGCATCTTCAAGCAGACTGGCTTCTGTACTTGGGTTGAGGGCGAAATCTTGAATGATATGCTGAAGAGATAATGCTTTCATCTTGTTATAAAGCCACTCGTAGTTAAAAAGAACCAGTTGGTTTAGCTCCTTTCGCCTCCCTGACATAAGCAAATGGAGTGGCACTTGATCGTACTTCCGTTTGTTGAAACGAGTGGTCCCTTCACTGCTTTGGAATGTCAGGGGCTGGGATGGTACGAATCGATCAGCCTCACCATGCGGTTGCTCATTAAAAGTGAGTGTCGCATTTTCTTCATCTATGATGTCGTAGGGTTTAGGTGTACCATGCCAAGTACCTAGGAAGTAGTCAGCGAGACAAGAATGTGTGTCCTTAATTACCTTATCAGCGGAAAGATACCTCTGTTTGATGGTTTCACAAAACAAACGGTGACTGAAATCAAACACAGTAACACCATCAGCTTCTTTTTGGACCATAAACGCATCAATGTCACTTCGCAAGTGAAGCCAGAGAAGTGGTGGTAAACGACGCACTGTTGGTGTGGACGTTTTGAGAACCTCATTCATAACAACTTCATCAAGGGATAGAAGATCTTCTATCTCACAATCACTAAGTCCTGTGTGCGACGCTGCTATATATGCTATTGCGTGCGAAGTCAGTATGGAACCATGTTTAAGCTCTAGTCGATCAAACATAGCATTGATGAACGACGTGCAGTCGCTATATGGTATTTCCTCGATTTTCTCATACGAACTTAATGTCTTTACACCGTTTGCTACGAGCTTGACAAATAAAGGAAGGCCACATTTTGCAAATGCTTTCTGTACTGCACTCGTTTGTTCCATGGTAAGTGAGCGCTGATCAACGTTCAAAAGAGTTTGTAAAAGATCAGTACAGTCTGTAACACTTAAATTGTCCACATGGACAAAGCTGGAACCATCTTTGATGACTTCGTTCTGGAGACGATGAAGTATCTGTGTTTCATCTGGAGTGGATGTCGTCACAATAATCTTCACATTGAAGTTCAAGTTCTTTGGTATCCAGTAGAGGAAATGGGCATTGTATTCCTGGGCAAGAACATCGAGGTTGTCCAACAAAATAACCAAATATTGGTCCTCGGGGAAGGATCTGAGTCGTTCTTGAAAGTAGGACAAAAGATCCTTGTATTCCGCCGGTATTTTTGACACGTCAAATCCGAAGAGACACGCCAGCTGGGTGCAGATATTGTGGAGTATTTGTCGAATATCTGAGCTAGCAGGTGTTAAACCGATTTGTCGTACGATCACAGTGACATTTTGGAGACACTCGCCAATCTGAAAAAATAAATGATATGCATTCAATTGCCTTAAAATCACTACTGTAATAGCATTATATAGAGCAATGCCGATCAAACAAAGTACCAACCTACAGAGGCCACAATACTGTAGTAGATTGTCTGTTCACAACTAATTTAACCAATCCTTCATAATCTCGTCTTTCTTACCTCATCTATGGCCTTTCCAATGATAGCACTTTTCCCGGAACCTGCATCGCCGTAAAGGACCAACGGTTGCGTGTCACCTTCATATAGAATATATGAGTGAATTTTGTCCAGGATGTCCTCTCGACCAAAAAAACTTTGGCAGCAGTTTTTGTAATGCAGCATGTGTTGTCTGACTTCATCAAACACTGGGAATGGACTGGATATGTCGGTTTGCTTAGTAACCACGTCATCGATTAGTCTTTGTAGGCATTCATGAGCGGTATTGCTAAACTGATCTAAGTAAGACTTGTGGAGGGTTGGGTTAATCCCTCCTTCAAATCTCCACAAAACTTGAAATGTCTGAATTGTTTCGGTGGCAGACCATTTCTGGAGCTTGTTCTCAATTAAATCAGTGAGAAGATCTTGAACTTCACTATCAATCTTGGTCTTCTCTTCTTTATCATCGTATGTGACTTCCATGAACTTCGGGGTTATTGGTTCATTGATGTAATTTTTTAGGTCGACTATTTTTCGTACAAAGACCTGGCACTCGTGTTGGGCTGTAGACGCTTTACCAATGCCTTCGATTACTTCACTTTCTAGTTCTGGAAACAAAGTAAGCATTTGGTAAATAATCGCAGAGCACAAACGGCAACATTTGAAAACAAGAACATACTAAAATTTGAAGAACAATTACACATCAGCCTCGATAGAAGCAACATTTAAATTTGTGAACAGTAGGGGTCAAACATGACTTAGAAAGCAAAGGTGACGCATTAAATGTAACTTGCGAGGTTGTACTCAAGACTCAAGACAGTACTCGCCCAGTGCAATACCAGGAGAGTGAAGATGACAATGTCGGACATTGAGAACAAGGTAGTACTGTTTTATGTAATATCAAACAAAATTACTAGCTTAACTGGAGAAAAATATTTTCTGTACCCGATCTTACGATGATAAAGAAGAGAAGACCAAGATTGATAGTGAAGTTCAAGATCTTCTCACTGATTTAATTGAGAACAAGCTCCAGAAATGGTCTGCCACCGAAACAATCTGCTATTTCAAGTAAAGAGCATACGGTTTCCTATGGCATTTAGAGGGAGCTATTTGATTACAATACATCAACAATCAATATCCTTTTAAACAGTGATCGTATGCATCGATTCAGTAGATGTGTTGCATAAAATAACATACCAGATATACAATATTTGTGTTTCGATTCTGCGGGTAATTTTTCTTCAGTAATAGCATACTCGACACCAAGCTGTAGGAGTTTTCTCAATGTAGTTTGGACACCCTCCCATCTTTCTTTTCCTTGCTTTTGCATTTCCTCGTTATCCTGAAATACAAGAAAAACGTAAATATTGACTGAATATCGTATCGTTATTATTAAAAAAGAAACAAAAAGGCAGATTAAATCAAGATATTTAAATAGTAAAATAAACATGAGAAAAAAATTAAAAATCAACCAAAAAGATATATGAACAGCTTCACGTAGGCAATCTCAAGTAATATAGAGCTTGGCAAAACTTACATTTCTTACACTTACATTATTATTGAAGTCTGTAATGACACTGTTAATTGGTTGCAGAATGTAGACATGTGGGTTGGCGTTCGTATCTTTCTTATACCAGATGTCCAGTTGTCCTTGCTCTCTTGTATCTCGGTTCTTGTGATGTAACAAACAGTCCCTGATGATGTCATATTCTGCACCAACTATACGGGCTGGTAAAGGCCGTCGACCATATCTCTGACCAAAAAGTACCTAAAGGGGATGACAAATTATTGAATAATTCGTGCAGGCTACGCCGTGTATAGTATTTCAATTACGAATTACGGTAATGCGATCATTATTTCCAAAACTAACATTAGTAATTAGAGGCCTATGTCTCACAATAAAACCCGTCTTTATATGTTGCTTTAGCATTAATAAAGTCTGGGCTAGAAAGGTTGGTTATCGAAACCCCATTGTAATAAATCATAGCATTGCTGAGTTATTGCATGGCAATTACCACTTTGATATCGACAGTTTGCTTCAGACTCAGAGGATAGACACAACTCGATTCATTTCATAAAAAATATACTTGGATTATACTTATACTTCTCGTTATATCAAGACCAATCTCTGGAGATATCTAAAGTTGTAGTACTTTGTTAATTATTCATAAAGGGGTGTCGAATTGAGCTGTTATTGCTTTTTGTTTTAATACAGTTATTAGTAAGTAGTGCTCTCACCATGAAGTTTGGACCGGAAGACAGTTGTTTGCATCTTTGTATTTCTTTAATGTGTAATTGTAAGGCAGAGTGGTCGTTCCACCAACTCTCCTGTACACCCCATCGTAGGTCAACAACCTGCAAGTGACAGTAGATAAAGACTGAAATATTTCAATGCTACTGAGAATTTGATTGGAGATAGATTTGAATATTTCGAGAATACGATACGCACATGTAACTTGAAAATCAAAATTGAAACAAATTTGCCAATAGTCATTAAAATTGAATGACTAAAAATATCATCAATCGTACATTTATATTGATATTAATTAGTACGTTATTAACTAACATTAATTACTAATTTACATCACCCATGACTCCCAAGGGAATCGCAGGGGCCACTTATATGGTATACTGTATAATATACACCACTTACCTGGAAATCGTGGCCATATTTTTCACGGCAATATTCTCGTAATTTTGGATAAACCCTCTCCACCAATGCATTTCGTTCTTGAACTGTATCTAAAATAACATAAATTCTAGATATAATTCTATGAATATAAATGAAACATAGTACTATATAAGGCATATACACCATGTAGGCTTATATACGATACAGTACGCTAGATGCAGGCAATTCAACATTAATAGTCTAGACATAGGTGACGTGATTCGCGTTTACGTTCGATTTGTTTTACAATGGGCTCTCTTGAATGCCCATGGTTTTACACAGGTGGCAGGATTCATACATTAAGAGTTGATTTGTTTTTATTATTACAAAATTTCAAAATTTGGGATTTAAGTTCAAACCATCATTTTGAATAAATGAGTGTCACACGTTAGGTACTTACCAGTCCACGTAGCACTCATGTAGACCCTGACAACCTTTGCTGGGATATCAGGTACATCCTGCAGGCGACATTTCCCTCCAAGTATATCATGGACGAGATCATTTTCCTCAAGAACTAAACTTTTTAAAAGTTCCATTTTAGTTTAACATCTGTTGATTAGACTATTAGATAATTCATTCTTCCAGTAAATCCAGTAGCAGATTTAACAAACATGTGTAAACCTTGTTTTAACCATTCAGTTAAATATGCATATGGTTTTATCGCCAATAACATGTAAGTTGTATTTCCAATGGCTGCTTATTGCTTTTACCATTCATAGTGTAAGGTCCCTGGTTACCCATAGCGACAGTAAACTAAGTCTATTTGTTCGTACACTTTGCTCTTGATTAAGTGGGAGCGTTTGTTATTTATTAACCATTTCTATATACTTAGCGATAATTTTGCCAAGAATGGTAATCAATAACTACATACCCATAATTACATACTTCTCTTTAAGTTTAAGTTGACATCAAAGAGCTTTTTAATTAAATGCGCTTAAAATAAATCCGATACCTTTATAATGTTTATATTGATATCATTCGAGTGGTATATCGATATTCGAAGACATAGGTATATTTTACCTTACTATACATACTATACAGTCGCAGATTTCCTCATTGTATTTATCTTTGATACTAATTGAACCAATGCCATTCAATCAATATAGCCTTGTAGTACATGTAGTATTACTAACACGGCTAAAAGATGACAATATTCCAAGCAAGAAAAATGTTATTAAATTGATTATTGCGAAGTGTCAAAAAGTGCCGATCAAAGAGGGCCGAGTGAAGAAGACAAATGGAAGTGTTTCAATGGGTGCGATGTGTAAATATGTGTGTAAAAATATACACATAAAATAATATGTAATGATTTTTTGTTGTCAATTTTGATGTCTTATTGTCAACTTTGATGTCTCGTATAACATAGCGTCCGTCCGCTTAATATGGAGACTTTAGTGTTCATTGGATTAAGGTTTAAGCTGTTTTCATACCTGAATGGAACACTGGTATTACAAAATGATTATTTCAAGTATATTGACAATTTTCTATAATTTATTTTAATGGCGTTTACAAAATTCCATTAAATACAGTGTGTGTCATATAGACATCATTTTTATATTTCTATTCCCAATTTATGATTCATGGATTTCACCGTTTCCGAAATCCAGGAATAATTACAGGCCTAAAATGTTGGATGTAACGTCTGAGGTTTGGCCGAATTATCCAACTCCATAATCTCTACATTGTTTACATTCAAGCTTCCAGTTAATTACCTACACCATAAAATCAATGTTCTAGCTTCTAGTAAATTACCTATCACCATAAACTGTAACGTTCAAGTTTCCAGTAAATTACCTCCCACAATAAAATTAACGTACAAGCCTCGGGTAAATTACCTACCACAATAAAAGCAATGGTAAGCTTCCAGTAAGTTGCCTACCACCATAAATTGTAACGTTCAAGTTTCCAGTAAATTACCTACCACAATAAAATTAACGTTCAAGCCTCGGGTAAATTACCTACCACAATAAAAGCAATGGTAAGCTTCCAGTAAATTACCTACCACCATAAAGTGTAACGTCCAAGCTTCCATGAATTGCCTACCACCATAAAATGTAACATTCGTGTTTCCATAAATTGACCTATCACAGTGAAATGTAACGTTCAAGCCTCAAATGAATTACCTATCACAATTAAATTTTAACGTTCAAGCCTCTGGTATCTGCCATCATAAAGTGTAACGTTCAAGCCTCCAGTAAATTACCTGCCACCATAAAGTGTAACGTTCAAGCATCCAGTAAATTACCTGCCACCATTAAGTTTAACGTTCAAGCCTCCAGTAAATTACCTACCACCATAAAGTGTAACGTTCAAGCATTCAGTAAATTACCTACCACCATAAAGTGGAACGTTCAAGTTTCCAGTAAATTGTCTACCACCATAAAATGTGACGTTCAAGTTTCCATAAATTGCCTCGTTGACCAATGTGACGTTCAATCTTCAAATAAATTACCTACCACAATGAAATGTAACGTTCAAGCCTCTGGTAAATTACCTGCCACCATAAAGTGTAACGTTCAAGCCTCCAGTAAATTACCTGCCACAATAAAGTGTAATGTTCAAGCATCCAGTAAATTACCTACCACCATAAAATGTAACGTTCAAGCTTCCATCAATTACCGACCACCATAAAATCTAACGTTCAAATTTCCATAAATTGCCTACCAATGACACGTTCAAACTTCAAATAGATTACCTACCACAATAAAATGTTACGTTCAAGCCTTTGGTAAATTACCTGCCACCATAAAGTGTAACGTTCAAGCCTCAAGTAAATTACCTACCACCATAAAGTGTAATACGTTCAAGCTCCCAGTAAATTACCTACCACCATAAAGTGTAACGTTCAAGCCCCAATTTCCATAAATTGCCTACCAATGACACGTTCAAACTTCAAATAGATTACCTACCACAATGAAATGTAACGTTCAAGCCTTTGGTAAATTACCTGTCACCATAAAGTGTAACGTTCAAGCCTCCAGTAAATTACCTACCACCATAAAGTGTAACGTTCAAGCTCCCAGTAAATTACCTACCACCATAAAGTGTAACGTTCAAGCTCCCAGTAAATTACCTACCACCATAAAGTGTAACGTTCAAGCTCCCAGTAAATTACCTACCACCATAAAGTGTAACGTCCAAGCCTCCAGTTAATTACCTACCACCATAAAGTGTAACGTTCAAGCCTCTAGTAAATCACCTATCACCATAAAGTGCCAGATATTTAACTTAATTAATTTCGATGTTAAAACCTTTGCCATCATATGCGTACCATATACGTATAGCTATACCATCACCAAGCCTCAGAAATGTCACAAAAGGTTAACCCACAACCAATCACGTGATAAAAAGGCTTCACCGACCAAAGTATGTATCACCACACCCAGTTTAAATTTGATCCCATTCACCACCATTTTTAGATAAAATCATCACAAAGAATCTTCCATATATAATGCATACAAGTATTTATATTTTTATAATTTACATGCATATTGTTTAAATAATTGCTTAACAATGGTGACACTGCACAGTTAAATAGAAATGTTAGTTTTGTTCTTATTTCTTAATGTTGCCATTTGTGCTTCCTTATGATGATCTGCAGCAAATTCTAAATGATGATGATAATACCAAAGATGGAAACAAGTATGCAAAGAAAGATGTCAGCAACCATAGAAAATTGGAAAGCTCGAACAAAGATAGGAGATAAAGATAGCTGTGTATGCAAAATGTAATTATAGAAGCTGTAGAGTATATTCAAAATGCTCAAAACTAATATAATGAATATGTATAATCCTAAAAAGACAATCAGGTCCATAAACGTTTCGGTCATTGATGATGTAGTTTACCAGCATCATTAGTTTATATGTTTACGTGGATTCGATTTATTGAATCACCCACTTCGACCAATTTAGTCAAAGTTATCATATTTTCAAATCAGTGTCTTTGTTGGTAACACTTTTTCATGGATGTACTCCTATACTGGTTGTATCGATTCAGCATCATAAGGCAAAATATTTTCATTGTGTCAGGTTTCAACACTGTCCACATGCCTTAGCACAATTCGCTTGCATCCAATCTGGATTTGCACTGCATTCACCATTGGCAGCCCAAGTAGAGCACTTACTCTCATCAAAGCTGTTCACACAGTTACCCCCTTGAAGGAGAAAACCAAACTTACATGTTGTGTTTAGGGATACGATGACAAGGCAAATTTTGAAAACCGAACTGACAAACTATATTTATGAACATGCATGAATTTAGAAAGTATGTATGTATGAGTCTATGAGAAATTCAAGTTCAGTCAGTGCCAGTTTGTATAATACAAGCAACAACAGAACTTATGGTCCTGCAAATATGCGTGATGTGTTATATGGCTGTGACAGTGAGGGGATCCAAATAAATCCTAACACCATATACAAATGCAAAAAAATATGTATTCTCGCAATATGTATCCTCACAATACCGAACCCTCACAACACAAAATCCAGACAATATCCAATATCTGCTCCATATCTCCAGAACACAGTACAGCACAAAATACAGGACCCGATACCAAATCCCAACAACATCAAATCTGCACAAAACACCCTTTATACATAAAATATGCACAGCAGAAATACTAATAGAGTTGTTTCAAACTCGCCGACTCCGACACCCGACACTCGATATAGACTAACAGCTACTGTAAATCATCATAGCATTGATATTTGCAATATTTATTTTCAAATAATTTGGATGTTATAAGAAATGATAACAAATACAGCAATTTATGATACTATCAATCAATCAATAAGCATTCAGATATAAATGTATATATACATTGCCACTTACATTTATTTTGATAACTAATGAAAACCTATACATGTAAGCTACAAGTTCAAATATCTAGTTCATGAAATAAACTGATTTTTCGAACACTGAGCCCTGCACAATTTCAACTATTCTTGCTAAATTTTTCCTGGGGTGTCTGGATAGAGTACCCATCACCCTGAAAGCCTTAAGATTACCAATGATGTTCAACATACACACGATTGGACCCGATAATCGTATTTAGTCGCTTGCATTTTCTCTTCAAATGCCCTGGCTTTGGTCTTAATTCAGATGATTTATATTTTCTAATTATAGGATATTTACACGCATAAATTTTATCTGCCAAAATTCTACAATCAGCTGGGAAAACTAAATGTTCATTTGGGCCAATCGAATCCATCATTGCAAATGTTTGGGCATCGTTCATATGTCCAAGAAACCCACTATGAATGTGTCGGATAACCTTGTTGTTATCAATGATAACTTGAGTATGCATGCAGTGAAAGCCTCTGTTTCCAGAATAGAATTCTTCTTGATTTTCTACCTTGGGCCGATAAACTTCATGTGAAGTGCCATCAATTGCACCTAGTGCAAATGGGAGATCATTCCATTGACCACGCATACCATTCCACTCGTCCAAGTTAGGCCATCGGACCTTTGGGGCATATAATTGATGAAGAATTGGCCATGTGTCATTTATCACCTTGCAAATGGTCGTCCTATGGACATCAAACATAAGTGACAGGAGACTGTAGCACGGATATGATCTTAACCATAGGAGTGTCAGTAGGAGTCGATTTCGTGGGGATAGACTCTGCTGTTCCTGATGTCTAATTTGTGGAAGAAATTCAAGGTACATACTTTGGAAAGTTTCAAGTGTCTCTCCAATGGACTGAAAAAGTTCAAATTCATGCGATGAGAACATTTTGAAAACATCCCGACCGTTCCAAACATTTTCCTCATGTGGAAATAAATGTTGCCGTATTCCCGGTAGGGGAGCCAAGGGTGTGATGGCCATTAGCAACAAAGGGATAATATTGGCATCCATGATCGGTGGTAGTGGTATTGGTTGGAGTACAAACATAAGTATCGTGATGAGAAGTTGTTTCTGAACCATTGTTAGATGTACCTGGAGATAATTCAAAATATTTTCAGCAAAATAAATCGATTTACAATATGCCTGGGTCACATTTGCTCCGATCCATCGGCCGGCGCCCGGCCGATTGAGTATTTTTTTCAAAAGTGTATTCAATTGTGAACAAAATACTCAATCGGCCGGGCGCCGTAGTGAAAATCGGAGCAAATGTGACCAAGGCATTATTTATGGATCATTTCACACACAGCTTTGAGTAGTGCTACTTTTAGAGCCGCTTGAATCACTTGTTTTATTGATCAGTGTGTAACTTGAATTTGGTACACGTGGACATGGCCTCAAAAGAGCAACATGCAGGTAAGTTATTTTGCTATGCACAACTTATGTAAACATGATATAAATGAACTTACGGGCATCTTGGAACGGTTTATTTCACCAACGTACGTATAGATTGTTTCCTAAATGCAAACACCGATATAACTGATCAAATGCGTTCACCAAAATTGATGAGAACAAGTAAACACTCATGCCTGGATCACATTTGCCCCGATTCATCAGCTGGCGCCCGGCCGATTGAGTATTTTGTTCAATACTGAATACAATTTTGAACAAATTATTCAATCGGCCGGGCGCCGGCCGATGAATCGGAGCAATTTTTCTAGATCTAGCTAATTTTTAGGATTAAAATCTTGCTCGCATGTACAAAAATGTAATTTGATATTATCATATATTGCTGTTTTTGTTATAACATTATAACTTATAACATCCAAATTATTTGAAAATAAATATTGCAAATATCAATGCTATGATGATTTACAGTAGCTGTTAGTCTATATCGAGTGTCGGGTGTCGGAGTCGGCGAGTTTGAAACAACTCTAATACCAGTACACCAATAACACTACATCAAATCCCAACAACCTAACAAAAAGACATCTGCAGAGTGCTAAAACATTGTGTATACAAACACAAAACGATGAACCTCTAAATCAAACAACACGATACCAAACCCACACAACGCTAAATCCCCAAAGCATTTAAACGTCATGATTACAAATCAACGCTAAATCCCAAAAACATTTAAACGTCACAATACCAAATCAACACAACGCTAAATCCCCAAAACATTTAAACGTCATGATACCAAATCAACACAACGCTAAATCCCCAAAACATTTAAACGTCATGATACCAAATCAACACAACGCTAAATCCCCAAAACATTTAAACGTCACAATACCAAATCAACACAACGCTAAATCCCAAAAACATTCAAACGTCATGATACCAAATCAACACAACACTAAATCCCAAAAACATCTGAATGTCACAATACCAAATCCACATTAAAGATAAATCCACACAACATCAAAACGACACAATACCAAATCTCCACAACGCCAAATCACAAAACATCAAAATCCACAGAATGGTAAATCCACACAACATCAAAGTACCAAATCAATCCAATGCTAAATCCACACAACATCAAAACGACATAATACCAAATCAACACAATGCTAAATCCACACAACATCAAAACGACACAATACCAAATCAACACAATGATAAATCCACACAACATCAAAACGACACACTACCAAATCTCCACAACGCCAAATCACAAAACATCAAAATCCACAGAATGCTAAATCCACACAACATCAAAATACCAAATCAACACAATGCTAAATCCACACAACATCAAAACGACATAATACCAAATCAACACAATGCTAAATCCACACAACATCAAAACGACACAATACCAAATCAACACAATGATAAATCCATACAACATCAAAGCGACACAATACCAAATCTTCACTACGCCAAATCACTACGACACCAATCCTACCTCCACTATGACTACCAGCATCATTACACGTACCTCCACTCGCAGGTTTATCATTGTTACCTGCAACCTTAGGCTGGTCTCCTTGCATATTATCAGAGTTATTTGCTTTGTCTCCATCTCCACCCTTGGCACCTACATGATCAAAAACAGTTTGGTCTATCGGTTGATGTAATTTCATTTGTACATTTACGTTTCATAGAAATAAAAAATGAGATATTCTATAGATAGGCCTATGTGTAAATTATTGTTATGATTGAAGGAACAGAAATGATATTATTTTGATGATGATATTTGAGTGTAAATGTTTTCCTGATATCTGAATCATGTAACTCAAAATGAAACATCTAATGACAATGTAATGATTAATGAGTACTTTGCTATATAGAAACGATGATTTGATAACTATATAACAACGAAACATTAGTTTGATGCAGGGATATAGACAATACATTAATATATTTTACTTTACTCTTCTGGAGGGGTGGATTACATGTAACATTAAATGGTCATCATAGTCCATAATGTAGTGCAAGGTCTCGTGTCCTTTGAACACGCCACTGTCATATCTACTTAGTACCTTTCACAGTTGTGTGCACAGCAATGTTGACACTATTCACCTTGTTTGGGTCGTCAGCTGGGTCTGTGGATAGAAAAAATTAAGATTATTTTATATTTATTGAAAGTGACTGTACTGTGGATAAGTACTTGAATATATTTTATTTTTATAGCATCTGGCTGCATTGTGGATTGTTATATTCTCTAATGGCCCGTTCTGTTTCCAGGTAGCTCTCTTCTTCTACATGAAGTAAAATAATTTCTTAGTTGCATGTTTTTCTTACCACACTTTTTGCAAGACTTCCTGCATACATCCGCCATCCACATCCACATCATGGCGTCCCATTCACACTGTCCCTGGTCCACAAAACCAGAACAATAGTCTATGCCATCTTTACATTCGACTACAATGAAATCAATATGTATTTCATTATAGTTCACCACGATTGCATACATATGTATTACGTAAGTAGGACTTCAATTACCGCTAAACCTACAGTTACCAGACTCGATACAGAAAACCAAAGTGATGGGTCCAACCATCAACAAGCAGCGAACGTCTAAAATTACTTCGAGGATAAATAAAATATTTTAATTTGTTCAGGGAACTCATAGATAGTCAATATCACTTGGAAGACCTTACCATCACATCCTGCTCCACTCCAGCCATCATCACAAGTACAACTGCACTCTTTCTTGTTGAACTTGCCATTCTTGCACCCAGTTAATGTGCATTCTAAATTAGTTATTAACAATGTACACCAGTTGTTAAATTGGGGACATGTTTCACCAGGGCTGTTTATAAATAAATTCAATCAGCTACTGGTATTATGGATAATTTAGTTGGTTTTCTTGGTCGATGCAGCTTTGTTGATTATTGGTTTTATATATATCTTATACTAGTAGTTTTGAATGCCTTCTACCTGTTTTGGGCTGTGAAGCTACATGGAGCATTTTAAATAATGTTATATGACATAGTACTCACTGCAGTCGCCACCACCAGCACTGCACGCTCTCTTGGATGCTATAAAATATAGAATATTTCAAGTTATCCATTTTGCTTTAGAATATACAGGGTGACAAAAAAAACTGGAACCCATAAATCATCAAATTTCTCGGAAAGTATAATACCTACATTCTTCATTTCTTCAGGGTAGAAACTAGACTGAATGCATGACAAAATGACACAATAATGAGTACTGTAGCTTAGATATTAATCATGCCATGGACGACAGGAGAAAATACTTATATTGTGAGAAAGCGTATCGAGACAAAATCCTATAAAGAGACACAGACTGCCTATATGAGAGATCACAGGGCAAGAAGAGCCCCTTGCAAGTCACAGATCTTTAGGCTTGTACAGAGGTTTGATTCGGAAGGAACTGTAAAACCAACAAAGAAGAAAAGTGATGGTAAACCAACCTATTCGGGGAGAGAGAGGTCTGTCAGAACTCAAGACAACTCAACAGTCATCTCAGAACGTTACATCCCTAACGTTCAAAAGTTTTGGAGAGCGCTGGGTAGACGACGTGACTTGAGAAGGGACCAGCAATGGCTCCAACAATATGGTGTCACACCCCACACCTCAAATGAGTCCATTCGATGGCTTCAGGCTCACTTTGGTGATCGATTAATCAGTCACCATACCCTCCACATCTGCCCCCCCCCCCACTCCCCTGATTTGAAACCCCAGATTTTTGTCTGTGGGGGTATCTCAAGGATAATGTGTATACAGATGGTCCACTGACCATAGATGACCTCAAAATCAACATTGGAAGATTAATTAGAGAGATAGACAGAGATGAATGCAGTCGGGTCATTGACAATTTTGCAAGAAGAATCAATCTCTGCATCCAATGTCGTGGTGCACATTTGGAGCACATTATCTAATCGTGCTTCATTTAGAGACTAATTGATCTAGAATGCTGAAACTTTTACATCTTGTCATACATTCAGTTGACTATACCTGTACCAGGTAACTAAGCTCAATATGCATAATTGACAAAGTTATTAAGACTTAAGTGGGTTCCAGTTTTTTTTGTCACCCTGTATTTAATAAATAGTGTCTGATATTATAAATGCGTCCAACGATCAAACGATCAAATACATACCACACAGAACATTGTCCATACAGAAGCTGTACCCAACAGGGCACTGGCTGCAAGGTTCTCCCTCAATGTAAGGTTTGTCCTCGATACCAGTTTCAGCATTTGCTGTATTTCCTCTATAAATAAATACACGATGTGTCGTTATTGATACCATTGATGTTGACATGTTGACATGTCTACAATACCCAGTGTGAGATATTGCTGCCATTGATATTAATGTTGGCATCAGTAGCTGAATCACTATTATCTTAATGAAGATTTTTCTTCAATAAGGTCACAACTGTTGAGCTTTTTGGAAAAAAGGCATGACAAAAAACGATAAAAACAAAGAAAATTGTAAAATTGTGACAAACGTTTCGAAACTAACTCCCAACTCGTCTCTATCACTGCTAGAGAAAAGAATTTATTGAGATACAATGCAAGATAATTCTTTATTTAGATGATTTATAGGAGTTTGTGTCAATCTTGCACAATATTCTTCTATATTCAATCAAAACAAAAGGTTATTGAGTTCAAACCACTAAAAGGACACAAACAACACTTGTTCCTGATGAATGGGTTGCAGACACACATGTTACATATAATGTGAGATTAGCATTATTAAAGTGGCAATTATTCATCTATATTCTTCTTAATGTGCAAATATGCATAATTTACCTTGGATGTAAACAAAAAAACATCGCCATATTGAACAATTGAAGGAATTGCCCTATGAGTCACTGTGAGTCTAATCTCCAAAAATGGATCATATCAGAAAACATGCGGGATGTTATAACTTAAAGATACATCGTCAAGTTCTTTGTTTGTGGTTTTCTCTACTGGCTATAATGTATATATGGACATTAACACATTCCACGTGACATACAGTATAATTAAAAGAGAGCATAGGAAATAACTCACTTTTCATATTGACATGTTCTTATGTTTTAGAGGGGTATATCCAACAGGAATGAAATTATGAAATAAAAATACTTGTGAAAATACGTTGTGATTTGCTTTTCAAATGTTGCCCTTGGTGTTTTATCATTGTACTTGCACACTGTTTGTTGAAAACAAATAAAAACAAGCCGGATACTATTAAAAATATTACACTGAATAAAGGTTCCAGACGAACCAACAGCATGCTGAGACCTTATTGGTGAACTTTGGACATTCAATCAATTAAAGTCCGTGTTTAACTACGGTATGATAATGACAATCCTCGAAGGTATCTACCCTGGATTAGTATTTTTACATCAGACTATACAACCTTATCAAGGCCAACATCATCAGCAAAACTGAGAAAACCCGTCAACATGAATGCGTTCATTCTTGCCCTAGCTATTATCATATTGATGGGATGCGGCAACACTGCTAGGATCCCATTGTGCAAGAAGCCACAGATTGTTGAACTAAATAAACAACTGACTCAGCGAAATACAGACATTGGGGAAAGCCTAGAAGTTTTCTCTGGAACTGTTACAGGTGTTATAAGCACATTAGAAGTGAGCCAATCTCTCAAAGAGGCAGCCTTCGGCCAAATGGTAGCCAAATATACAACCCTACTCAAATACTTAGAAGAGAAAATAGAACATCTTGAAGAAACCTGCAGCTGCTTCGGTAAGAAATTTAGATGCAATTGTAAATTAAAATATGATTATGGTCAACAGTTCTTGACAAACTGAAGTAATGGGTATCATAAAGGTTACAATTTTATTTAATATTATTGTATTTTTGGACTCTAGTACTAAAGATAACCAAGTATTTAGCTCATAAGTTACTGAGAAAATACTTGTCAAAAGTGTCTCATTTGTTGGGACACCCGATATATGTATCACGATAATCAAAATATGAACCCAATGGGGTGCTATTTTAAATGTATGTAGAGTCACGGTGGTCAAATGTCTGTCAAACATCTAAAACTGTGCTGTGACAATTTTTAAAACAAAATTGTTTTGTTCCAGCCAATCCAACAACACCAGCAGCAAAACCAGTAATACCAACGACACCAACACCAACATCATCTTCAACAACAGCAACAACAACAACAGAAAAAACAACAAACGGCACAGTAAGAGGGCTAGGGAGAGCGGGTGCAGAAACAACAGAAATGTATGACAGCTTTGATGTTAAGAAATGACAAACTCTATCTCACTCTATTTGGGGTATGACACCATTTCCATGGGAATGTCGTATTAACAAATAGCTGTGGTGTATGTTGTATGTTTAGACCTAATCATGATACCATGATACAACTGGGTCCTAGGAATAGCCAAGATAAGGGATGGGTTTGAACCTTTAAAATGTATGATAAAATTGCAAAAATAGATATATATATTAGAACATATATTTTATTTTTTGTTGCATGGGCCATGTTATTATGTTACATGTATGTGATCTAGGGCAACACTTGATTAAAGTCCACAGTTGGTAGCTACTGAAGTCAAATCCATTTTATGGGAAAGTAACCCATTTGTAAGTGAAATACCCAACCGTGCCTAATAGTTGGAAGACAAATGAATCTGACAGGATTGGATCTCTATAACTATCATTGAACAAGACAAAGCATATATTGTAAGTTATGATAAAAGAGATGACTTCAATTTTGATATTATAGATTTTCCACACTTGGATAGTAATATTTAATTGAACCCAGTATATGGGGTCTATGTTTCCCAGCCTATTAGATATAGCAGGACATGCTCGAAATATTAGTTTTGAATCAAGACATAATTATTTTAGGCCAAGTTTAAACAAGTAAAAAACGTAAACAACACTTTTTAGGCTTTATTGAAAAATATAGATCACTAGATCTAAGTTTTGCCACTTGACATGTTCAGGGACTTGGCACTTTTAGGGTGGATCCGACTTTGGTATTAATGGTTGAGAAATAGGGATCGAAACCAGCCATAGTTTTCTCCTGACGAGAATCGTGAAATATTGTTGCTTACTGATTATGGCGTCGGCTTTGCGGATGGATCTTGACACTTTGATAAACTTATGGATTTCGAGACAGGATTTTGTCTGTCCCACATCATTTGAGACTGAATGCTCTTGTATGAAAATAGTAGTACCTACAATTATTATTAAATGGTGGGGAGGGGGTATCAGACATTGTTTCTTTTAATGTTAGATATTGATTTGGGATAGTTGGGGCTTGTTTTCCTAATGACTGGAGTACTCTCAGATGTTTTTTGTCTTGCTGTATTCTGTAATAATTGTTTGTCATTTCCCTATGAGACTCATGCATACATATTCATTTGCGCAAAACCTTTTTTCCAATTTGTAATCCAATAAAAGTGTTTTCATGAAACTACTCATTATATCCTTATTCCTGACACTCTTCCCTTTCTTGCGGTATTTTGATAACCTTGGGGCAAATAGTGTTGACTCTCGTTTGCCCAACTACAAATCCCCATAAGCCATATTGATATGAGGAATTAACCTTCAAAACTACGCGCATGACATTTGTAATTCACAAAAGTGTATAAGATTTAGACATAATGAGTTAGCATTCGTTTAACAAAAACAGTAAAATTCATTGGGGTTTCAACATCTTCCTCACATTCTTTAAAATAAAATGATGCGCTTTATCTATTGATGAAAGGTCATTTTCTTTAAAACTTTTAGCATCAATAACCCATCTAGAATAGGATAGGCATGGCTCTAGCATGGATGCAGACATAAATTGATAGGTCATTGTCTTATGACTTCAAATGTTCATAATCATTTAATTTGACAAGAAAGGTTAATGAGTGTATACCTAATCTTCCCACATAATTCCATAGTCACTAAAACGATATTGTTTTATAAATCATCAAACTTGACAGTTTGCATGAGTCTTGCTGATTACAGAGGTGGAAAAACATAGCATGTTTTAACAATCTCCTATTGAAACAATTCCATGGTGATAAAATTGAGCTAAATGCATTTCAACTTGACAGTTTATATTGTACTGTAATGAGAAATTGTCATGATGACAATTCTGCATATAATAATAGATAGTATCATTTGGATGTATAAGTCAGATAAAATATAAAAATGCCATTCCTTGGAATGGAGGAAATGACGTGTCTTGATATGTCTAGTGACCTTTTATAGTTAATGAAAACACAAAACGATATTCTGCGCCAAGGGCTGATGTGAAAGAGTCAGTCCACCAATATAAATTATAATGCTTTCTTAATGCTAGGTTTTCTTCTCGGGTAAAGTTTAAAATCACCGTAAAGGTTCTACACTTTCATTATGGGTGTGAGGTACTATATATAATCATAAAAGAAACACATTAATTATGAGAGATCAAAACTTGTAAAGGAAATGGTTTTTGAGGTATAGGAATGACCAATTTCTGAGCCGAAGATGAGTTTTAAACAAAATTATCTATTGAAATATAGGTAAAGCAATGTTCAAGATGGATAAAATGCTCTAGATAAACAACCAAGATAAAGTCAAGCTAACCTAAATATGATGTCTACTGTCTGGGCACATCAACAGCATGCTGATAGCTAATTGGCCAGCCATGGAGAGCCAAAGTCAAGGATTGACGAGCAGATAGTCACTGTCTCTGTGTCAGCTGTTACAAAATGATGATGATCTCTAGCCTATATCTAAAGTCTGTATCAATAGCGAGTGTCAAACAGTCGGCGCTACAGAGTAACATCGGCAACAAAACAAAACAAGACAAGAAGTCTCAAGATGAATGTATGCATTGTTGCACAAGTTGTATTAATCCTGGCATGTACCAGTTTTATCAGTGCCTATGTACCGCTTTGTAAAAAGCACCAGCTCATAGCTCTTACTGCGCAACTGGCAGAAAGAGATGCGGTCATTCAGGGAAAGCTAGATGGTCTTAATGAAACAGTTGCTCTGATTGAAAACTCTATTGCAGCGAACGAGGCCAGCAATTCAGCAGCCTATGATCTCATGACAGCCAAGTTTGATGATCTTATTGGCATGCTAGAGGATAGGCTTGAAAATCTCGAGGAAAGTTGCAAATGCAGGTATCTTATGACAGGTAGGATTCTTTTTAACCTATTGGCAAAATCATGTTAAATTATGGAGGATAGAGGAATGGATGATGTTTTGTTCAGATCTGATACTGTTTGGATAAAAACACTAAAATGTCATCGCCCAAAGCTTTATAAAAAGTGACATATTCACCCACCTCTCTAAACTTGTATAAATGTATGAAGACCGACTGGGCATTGACCGCTATATGCACTTGTCAAATGATTTTAGACCCAGTGTTCTAAAGTTTTGAGACACAACAGGATTCATGGTCAGTGAAAAATGTGAAGAAAGGGAATAAAGATGATGGATTGAGCCAATTTTGTAATTTAGGGATAGATGATCTCCCCACCCCATACTTTCGTTTCCATATAACCTCCTATCGTTTCATTTTATTTCAAGGCAATAGTGAACATATGGTTAACCATCTCATGTCTTTTGGTGTCCATAGTATATTACAATGACTACTAAATATTTATATAATTTTATTTCAAGGCAATAGTGAACATATGGTTAACCATCTCATGTCTTTTGGTGTCCATAGTATATTACAATGACTACTAAATATTTATATAATTTTATTTCAAGGCAATAGTGAACATATGGTTAACCATCTCATGTACTTTGGTGTCCATAGTATATTACAATGACTACTAAATATTTATATAATTTTATTTCAAGGCAATAGAGAACATATGGTTAACCATCTCATGTCCTTTGGTGTCCATAGTATATTACAATGACTACTAAATATTTATATAATTTTATTTCAAGGCAATAGTGAACATATGGTTAACCATCTCATGTACTTTGGTGTCCATAGTATATTACAATGACTACTAAATATTTATATAATTTTATTTCAAGGCAATAGTGAACATATGGTTAACCATCTCATGTCCTTTGGTGTCCATAGTATATTACAATGACTACTAAATATTTATATAATTTTATTTCAAGGCAATAGTGAACATATGGTTAACCATCTCATGTCCTTTGGTGTCCATAGTGATATTACAATGACTACTAACTACTAACTACTATGGTTTATATTTAGTGCCACCTTAATTTTAACGACACCGTAGTGTGAATATGTATTGTATTTCATGTACTCTTCTTTGAAGAACACCTTGTATTGCTGTACAATAAATAATCAAAAGTTACATATTTGTGTTGTATGGAAAATGCAAAAGATTATTTCGAAAGTGCAGTATACAATCTATATACATGTACAGTTACATAATTCGAACAAAAGTAACTGTAGTATGTGGAACAAACTACTGTTCGAATTATTAAACAAGAATGCACTGAAATTCCAACAGTATAGAATTATAATATATAAACTTAAAATGTAGTGTTGAAAATAACGGTGTGCTATATTCTTAAAATTACAATTTTCAAAATATACCTGATGGAATATGACGGGTGAAAAAATGCATTTTTGTTTTAGGGTTTTTCTCAACTACAAAAGCATTTAAACCAGCAGCAAAAGCAGAAACAACCACAACAACAACCATCCGACCAACAACAACAACAAAATTAACAACAAGAACAACAACAGAAGCAGCAAATGAAAGGGGAAGAGCGGGAGTAGAAACGCTAACAACAGAAATGTATGACAGTTTTGATGTTAAAAAATAATATGCATGTTATTTTCTTCTGTTTTTAAGTAGAGCATCATTGTCACTGTGGAACATTGTTGTGTGGTACATGATACGACATAGATGAAACTCTGAACAATGGTCTGGTTGCAAAACTCAAAATTGTATGATAAAATTGGGAAAATAAATATCTAAAAACACAAATACTTCTGTTAGCTGTACGTAACATGAGCCATGCTAGAATCTTTATAGGTTGGATAGTAATGCAAAGCTGAAAATACACCCTATGTATACTGGAGCGAGCAGAAATAATCGGTGCGGATAACATGGGTGTGCAGTGCGGGATAACGGTCATCTTTTAATTTCAATTTGCCACAACTATTTTGAACACCGATACTGTAAAATGCTGAGAAAATGAATAACACACTTATTCTAACAATTTCCTTGATATCGAATGTCAACTTTATATATAACTGAAACCCCAATGGCTTAGTTTAAAGGTATCATAAACAAGTTCAAATAACGATCGTTGTCTCCTCACCGCCCGCATTTATCAGCATGGGTAGTTTTCTGCGCGATCGGTCCCCATAGGTGAAATCTAAGTTATCAGATTCATCCCAAGGTCCAGGGGAAACATTTTGCTGATGACTACATACCAATTAACCCAAATTTACGTGTTGATATAAAATATTCGACTTCCAAAATACACATACGATATCATTTCAGTTCCTCCAGGTGGTTAACATTACGGTGAAATAAAAAGTGATCGGATGTAAATGTTCCGCTCCAAAGATTTTAGTCATATTGAATGATGAATAGGTCATGTAACATGTAATGATAAACAAGGTCAGTGACATAAATGATATAGAAATAACACATCCTGTAGACATAAAGCTTATTATTAAATACTATTGTTTTACGACTATAAAATATATGAACGTGAAAAGATGAATATGTTTTTATTCCCAGTCATTGATGCATCATATGTTATGAGTTTTAGCAAACAATACCTTTGATTTAATATAATTTCAAAAAAAGTCATAAGTAGATATTTTCTGAATGAATGAGTTTATATGAACAATGAATGAATGAATGAATAATGAAAACTATAATTAAAAAAAACAATATGCTCGATCACAGAAAAAATGTTGAAACTTTAAAGTGTGCCTAAAATATTGTGATTTGACTAGTTTTTACCAGTCATGAGCACTTACAATTGGGTACACGTTTAAATCAAAGTTTCATCTTTATACAAGAAAATTGTATAATCAAATTATTCTAATTAGATTTATATATTTCAAATACAAACACATACCAGACCGTAGCCAGCTTTTACCAAGGGGGGTCACTTCTTAGAAGTTTCCAGGGGTGTCACTTTTGACAATCTTGTTCCAAATATCGCCAAAATCACTTAAAAAGTTGCTCAGAATGGTGAAACATTGCATGATTTTGAAAGAGGGGGGCACTAACCTATCGACCCCTCCCCCCCCCCCCCCCGGCTATGGGCCTGCATATGAAATTTCTAAAGGTGTTTGATAATTATTCCTAGTAACAAAATTGAAAAACATTAAGAGATAAAGCCTGTTCTATGCTGTAATAAACATTGATATACGTGCTGTCTAAAATATTATTAGAGATGATTCGCAACTCACTTATCATACTGTATATAGCATGTTCATTATTCCCAAATTATGAAGCGCCTGATTACTACGTCATCATTTATTGCTGTTTTGTTGGAAATGTGTTTTCATATAGCCTGTCCACTCAGTTTGCAACCATCGGGAGACATTTAGATAAGAGAGATGTTTCGAAGAGACAATGGTCGTCCTCTCAGATTATCTACTTTGATTTGCTCTATTCATAGTTCCCAGTTCCCCTCACCACCGCAGTCGCACTGCACTTTACATGCATGTATCTAAATTGTGCCATGTTATGTATCTTTATGTATCTCACACTTTAAATCAAATATACAGTATTTCATATAACGATAAAAAATAATATGATTGATTGCATATCTTAAATGAATAATCAAACAGATAGTACCCTTCACATTCTACACTTGATGGTATATGTAGTTTGTGAAAGATAAGATTTTTCGATTTTCCATAAATATATGATTTGGATGGACACAATAGGAATATACTATGGTTTTGAAAAAATATCATTTGTATCCATGAGTGTATATTGATATCTTCACGAGTGAGCACGGCGAATGAGTGAAGATATCGATATCCATGAGTGGATATTGAAAAACATGAAAAGAAATATTGATAAAATCTAAACCATCGAGTATCACATTTTGAGAAGTGATATTCGATAGTTTGAGAAGTGATATTCGATGGTTTGGGGAATTTTTGCTATAAAATGATATCTTGATCAACATATCAAATATAACTTCGCCTGATATTCGATCTATATCATTGTAACCATGGGATAAGATTGGATTATATCTTTAACAGGCGTATAACTAACTTCCAAATCGAAAAACTTATTGTCATTAAATTATGCAACAAAAAACTTGTGTGTGGTACTCAAATAAAGTGTCTCGGCACATCAACAATGTTCTGAATGCCAATTGGTCAACTGTAAAGAGCAAAGTCTAGAACTGACAAATGGAAATAAAACATTATTGATTTTTGATTCGATCCTGAACTTTGTCTTACATCTTTATATTATAAGAACTGCTTATCAGACAGTCAGCAACACAAAGCAACACAAGAGAAAGGAATAGCTCCGATATGAATGCATCCATTCTCATCCAAGGTGTAATTATGCTGGTATATATCAGCATAATTGATGCTTATGTGCCGCTTTGTAAGAGGCACCAGATTCAGACGCTAACGGAAGAACTGGCAGAAAGAGATACAAATATTCAGGGAACGCTAGGCGATCTCAGTGCGTCCGTTTTGAGCATAGAAAGAGCAATTGCAGTTAGCAATGCCATAAATAGTGCAGCCTACAATCACATGACAGCCAAGTTTGGTGACCTAATTGACATGTTTGAGGATAGGATTCGAAATCTGGAGGAGAGTTGTACATGCAGGCATCTTACGACACGTGAGGATGTTTTTATAATCTGTTGTAGTCATGAAGCGATAATGTGATACTTTTTTCATAATTATCTAATTCAATGATAGTCCCAGCTGATACATAACATTGAATGTATTGAAATGTCATTAAACAATCATTAAACAAGAAAACATTGAAATTTCAACAACTATAAATTATAAACTTTCATTGAAAATAAAGTGACTGTAATGACTGGAATAGCATATTCATACAATCATTAAAAAGAAAACGTTGAAATCAACTGTTTGACTTATGTTGTTCGAAATCATGGTTCGCGAAATAGTGTATCAATAACATTATAGTATATTACTTTAGATGAGTGATATGTCATTTTTGAAACTGAATTAGCAATCCAGTGGTATATCATACACGAGAAATACCTGATGAATTATAAAATGAGCATGGACATGAAGGTGTACTCGTTATTTGACCATGTTTGTGTGTAAAGTGTATGATTGTGTAGTGTATAAATTAAAATTCTTAAAATAAGAACTTGATAGCTTCTGCAAAAGATCATTGCGAACATTTAAATATAAATGTTTGGGTATTTTGGGTAAAGGGGGTGCCATTTCTCCATTTATATTTTATGTAAATTCAAATTGTTTACTCTAAAACACACAGAAATTAACTTTCTGCTAAAATACCCAAAAGAAAATACTTTGTTCGGAAACTAAGCAGATGAATGCGCCAATTGCTACAACAATCAAATCAGATTGTAGTTTGTAAAAATAGAAAGCAATAGTGTGACACAGTCCCATGTAAGTTCATCTTTCTGGTTTATATAATAGCTTAAAACAACTTTTTTCATTTAATTTTATTCATTCCTTGAAAAAGACTTGTGGACACAAGTCGAAAATCTTGATGTAATAAAATTGTTTTCTTTGTGTGACATATTTTTCAGTTTAAACCTTGAGAAAAAATTTTGTTTCAGAATTTCTCTCAACAACAAAAGCACCAGAAAACCCAGAAGTAAAGATACGAGTAGAAACAGCAGAATCAACTAGAATGCCAACAACTACAACAACAACGGAAAGAACAACACAAACAACTACTAAAACAACACCAACAACAACAGAAAAAACAACCCCCACCACCGTCACAACAGTAAAAACAACCCCCACCACCGTCACAACAGTAAAAACAACCCCTACCACCGTCAAAACAGTAAAAACAACACCAACATCAACAACTGTGAAAACAACACCAACATCAACAACAGTAAAAACAACACCTACATCAACAACAGTAAAAACAACACCTACATCAACGACAACTACTACAACAGTAAAACCAACACCAACTGCAACATCGAAAGTAGAAACAACACCAACTACAACCACAACAGTAAAAGCAACACCTTCTTCTACAACAACAACAGAACCAACAACAGTAAAAGTAAAAACAACACCCACAGTGACTACAACAACAACTACAAAAGCAGCAACAACAACAACAGATGGAGAGGGAGATGGGAAGTGGAAGGGGGGTCAAAAACCGGGAAATGCAAAAGGACGTTTGGGAGAAACAACAGAAATGTATGACAGCTTCGATGTTTGAAAATGAATGTACATTTTCTTTACACATCAGTAAGCACAAATAAATGGAAACCTCGTTGGTGTTTTAATATTTATTAATCCCATTTGTATCTCAAGTGAATGATGTTTGTATAATATAGAGCAAAGAGTAAATTGGACAAAATAAATATATAATTTATTATCATTTTTCTCTTTCATATCTCAGTAATTAATGTGCAACGAAACATCAATTCAATAATGTATCCAATACTTAAATTCAGGCAATATAGCATATAATAGTAGGTATAAAACACATAAGATGCTTTACAAATGATCAAATCAACTCTCATCAACATGGAAGATAAACAAACAAATAAACAAGTAAAAAGGCATTAACATGGAAAATGTCACCACCTTCCATTTGTTACTGACACCATACACCCGAACCCCGAATCTGGAACACCGTCCGCAAAAAATTGGAAGACTATAGCATCGCTTGTGGTGGTGACATAACAAAAACCAAATCTTACCCTGGTGCATAGTTACAGTGCATGATATCCCAGCCATCTCCACAGTCGTTATAACCGCATCCTACTAGGCTGGTTGTGGCCCACACGAGGGCAGTATAGTGCCCGCAGACAGCATTGCATGATGGTCCACTGTACGAATAGTCTTTATACTCATTGTACCAAGCATCAAATGACCTATAAAATGAAATCATGATCCAATATAAATTGTGTAACATTTTTTTCAATGATAGATATTTTGTTTTGAATTGTTTTACAGAAGACGCACCACAGCAATTAAAAAAATACAAATCTTTTTTGCCTCTATCGCATTTGCCGCAGTGGTTGTAGGCTCAAAAATGCCTTCGACCAAAAGCGAACATTCCCAAGGTCACATACTGAATAGCAGCAGTAGTCACATATGTGGCAAAACCACTATGATGGAACCACTATGATGAAAATGATGATAAGTAAACAATGCAATTATAAAACTTACTGTCGAATACCATAATTTCCTGCATAGTTTTGCCCTACAAATGGATACGGCTTAAACATCCTCTCTTCATTGGTGTCATGTCCCTTTAAGCATGTATCAGCACGTCCTTGGGCACTTTTCTCCAGTCTATCATCCCATTCCTTAAAAATGTAAAGACCATTTGCTTGGTACCAAGTTAAGTCAATCCTGGCAAACACGTGCGACCCCCCCCCCCCCCCCACAAAAACATAACCAATAAAAATGAAACCACTAGATAGAAGAAGAAAGGAACTTTGAAATGCTTTTTATTTGAAGCTGAATTTTGAAGGAAATTGCATCAATTTTTGTAAACTTCAAATCAAATCTAAACTTTTTTTTGGCTCGCTCATACCACGTTCGCACCCCCCCCCCCCCCCCTGACTGAAACCCCAAGTTTTGCGATCGCACCCCCCCCCCCCTGACTGAAAGCTGGCTACGCCCCTGTCACATAATCTACATCTACATTACCACCCCGGGTGATCAATATCCTGTGTTCCGAATTTCGTTCCAGCAAGTCAGTGACCCGAGTTGTGTTTTACTGAATCCCGACAAATATGGCGGCTAATTTGACAACAGACGATGTTGATGTCGACAATTATTCAAAACTTTCTGACAGCATAAGGTAAGACTGAATATAGAGTGGCGCATTCGGTGCCTAAATATGTTTGCAACATTTTCTTAGTTGTTTATCCATATGCGTTGGGCATTACTGCTAATCGAAGCATAAGTAAACGTGACCTCATTTTCAACGCTCGCTGGAAAGTATGTCACCGAGCAGTTTTTGACCTTCTGTTAGTTAATGAGATAAACTGTTATCATGGTATAATTGCTGGGTAGACGTTCAAAGTATGTACCAACTCATACTTCCAGTGAATGTAAACCATTTCTTTGCATAAGCGTCCTAGAAGGCATAATAAGATATATTCCATAGTACCGAATAGGAATCGCCAGTGTTCCGACGCACTTCATGGATAAATGCTCATAGACTATTGAATCATAATGAACAGAAGCAGTGTATACTCACGTGTGATATCTTAATTTATCAAAAATAAGAATTGAATGCATTTGATAATATTGATACTTTGCCAACTTGACTGATTTTTTTCTAGTCTGAGTAATTAATAAATGAGTAGTGGATTTGATTAATTGAGGATTTCCCATGTTAAAATATGTGAAAATTGTCAAGAGGCCACACACATCAGAGGATGAGAGTACAATACAACATGTGTAAATTATGAGACTATGTTGCAACACCTTCAAAGAATGGTCATTTCACAATCCACATTGCACATACTGTAGCAGGCATTTTTATGATATATTTTAACATTGTCACAAAAACCAGGGATTGACAAAAAATATAGCATATCATATAGCAGGTATATGCCAGGTATTGTAATATATTTCAACGTTGTCACTGTTAGAGTAGGCATTACAATTTACCCATAAAAATATAATAATATTGACAACAGGCTAAAAAGTCTTCACTTAGTAAGCCATAAATGTCACATAAAGGCGACGGTCACACCAGGCTTTCACGATAGCATTGCTAAGGTAATAGTCCCTGGTATGACTTCCGAATATGAAGGATCCGTAGCACACTATAGCGCAGCAACATTTGAAGCAATATTTATGAAGGTGTATAGGTCTTGATTCTTTTATAATACCATTTGCCGAAAAAACTTCCGGCTTTCGGGTCGAAAAATGTATTTCATCACAAGGGGTCAAAAAACGTAAATATTTTGATTCGAACTTTTATAAATTTTATAAGACACAGACCGTTATTCTAAGCATACGAACAAAAAAATTGATTATCATAATGTCAAAATTACTATGATTTTACTGTAGATGTCGGTGTTTAATTAGTGTAATTACACAAGTGTGTTTTTCAGATTTTGTTTGATTTTTCAAATATGAGCTAAGCCGATTCAACAAAATTGTATGGAATATTTAGGTAATTTTTTTTGATTGGGAACGTATTCGTTTTCCGGGTAGTTTTCTTACCAGTTAAAACATTTTATTACCAGAATTTTTCCATATAATCGTAAAGGGTCTAACAACAAATTATTGTTGATGTTTTATAAAACATAATAAAATAACAAATAGGTAAGATTCATATCTAATTCGATGTTACAGAGGTATTTGCATGTTCATATATTCCAAGGGCATGTCTAATAATCAATTAGAGTCATATGCAGTCGAACGCCTTACAATTCTTCCTCGACGTTAGTTGTGGCTATCATCAAGTTTTCTGATGGTTGTTTCTTCTTTGACCTTACCGAAGGATGCAATCAAATTTTAGGAAGATAATGATAACGATTTTTCTCAATTATTCATGAATTCGACCAAGTCTTGATGGTTGTTTCATAAGTAACTGAGCTATTTCTAACTACGAGAAATGGAATTTTAGCTGTAGTCGCAATTAGTCAAGGGAGAGCAATAGGCCCACCTTTATTGATAATGTTCACCGCTGAATAAAAGTTCATATCTTAAAACGTATTGAGACCCATTTTGCGAAAAACTAGCATAATTTAAGCATTTGTCATTCTAATAGAAAAGTGATTCATTTGTAGCATTTATCTTATTAATACCCGAGAAACAATACAAAATGTCGATACACTGATGACATAATCTTTTGGTATTGAATAGAAAAATAACCTCAAACTTTTAGCTTAGAAACCTAAATCATATACTTAAAATCATATTTTATTATTTGCTATTGCATTGTGTACTCCAAATTGTAAAAGTTTGGAAGTTTATTTTTTGGAAATTTTTTGACCTCTGTTAATGGCAGGCATAATTTAGCCTTAAAGCCGGAAGTATATTAAACGGTTATAATAAAAATTATTAGGGGACATATGTAGGTATGCTTATGTTAGGTCAAATATCGCTGCGCTATAGTGTGCTACCAGCTCCTTTATTAGACGTCCTAGAGATTTCATACCATGGACTATAATGGCAGGATCCATGCATAATTTATTAAATCAGGCCCGCAGATAGGAGGGGGGGGGCCTGGTCAGATATTCTCTCAAAAACTTGCAGTTTTTCACCATTCTGAGCACTTTTCACATGATTTTTTGCCAAAACAACAGATGCCAGCCAGATCATACTTATAGTAGAAGGCTAGGCTCAAATAAACCTCAAATTGAGGTATTATCATTGAGATACTGATACTATACATACATACGATCGTGCTATCAAAACTGTCAAAAAGCCCCACCCCCCCTTGGCAAAAACTCCACCCTTGGTAAAACCGCTCACCAATGGTGAATCCTGGATACGGGCCTGTAAATGGTCATCGTGGTTGTACCAGACAGCAATGCAATGTTTTGATTTGCACACATTTTTTATTTTTAAAAATCTAATTGAGAGCATCCTAATCATGTGAAAAGTTCAATTTTTTTTGAATAGTTATATTCCTTCTATAAAGTGGGTACACTTTTTGGGACACCCTGTATTTGCAGTTCAATGCCAATGTGGAAATCAATATACAGGGAAATTCGATCTTGAATTTGTAAAATAATAACAAGAAAGGTAGCACCAAATTAGCTTGATGTATTCATGAATTGGATTCTCAAAAGTATACAAAATATATATAATCTTATTCTGTAGCTTCGGGACAATGGCGATTCCTATTCGGTAGAATGGAATATATCTTTCAACGACTTCTATGACGCTAATGAAAGGAAATAGCTTGGATTCAAACATAGCACAAGTTGAGACATACTAATAAGGTATACTTTACAGTTATACAATGCTCAGAGTATCCATCATTACTTACAGAAGGCAAAGAACGACTCGCTGATATCGTTTTCTGCGAGCTTTTCGAATTGGGTCATGTTGGTTTCATGCTTCGATTTGCATTAATAGCCTACACATATGGATAATCGTTTATGAACATGTTGAAAACATATTCCAGCACCGAATGCATTACTCTATATTCATTCTTTCCTTATGCTATCTGATTTGTTTGACACATTTTCGTCACCTGGCTCGTCGAGACGCCATATTCATCGGGATTCAGTAAAAACACAACTCGGGTCACTGACTTGCTGGAACGAAATTCGGGACACAGGATATTGATCACCCGGGGTGATTACACTCTATGCAGATGTAGACTGTGGGAAATATTATGCGCTGTATAAAAACGACAATTTCAAAATCTAGGTAGGGGATGGGTTTAATGCATGGGTACCGCGTCGATAGAGACACTTGACTACACATATGAGTATATTTGAAGTCCCAAAATGGCTCAGTTTCATAAATATCCACCAAAAATTCAAAAATGACAGTTGCCTCTGCTTCAAACGCACATTTCTGCCGCACCAAATATTTCCCACAGGCTCCGTCTGCATCGGGTGCATTACATGCATTAAAGATATGTGAGTGAAGATCCAATCTTAGATGAAAAATTTAAATATGAATACCATAAGGAAAAACACTTATGTAAGGGATTGAAAAAAACGAATTCATTGATGCTTTACCAACCATGTTGTAATTTTTCTGAAATAATTGTGCTGGATAATCCGGTTGATTGTGCCAACTTCGAATTTGATTGTGCCAATTTTAATAAACGTCTAAGGCATAACATGAAGATCATCAGACTTCAAAGTTTGGTAAGTACGAAAAGCCTACGCAAATGGACCAGACAGGGTATTTTAGCTTAATAAGGGTATGAGCAGCATTTCGCTTGTGGGAAATATGATTTCGGTGGAATATCCATTAGTTTTAGTTGTTTGGTTGGTCAGAGGGCTTTTTGAAGCTTTACATAACAATTTAGTTACTAGGCTAACCCTATTATATATGCATGATGCATAAATAACAAAAATTGGCATTGAAGGTCTTTCTCAGTGAATATAAGAAAAAGTCGACCGGAGATTACTTCTCAATAAAAAATAAAACTGAGAATATTTTACCATGAGTCACTATGCAGTATGCATCGTGCGATGCACATCTAAATGATGTAAAATGTCAAATCTAGCTACCATTTGTTACAGACGCGGACCGCCGAATGCCGAACACCAATCGGCGGACGCCTCGCCCTTAAGAAAAAAGCCATGGTAACCATGGTATTCCATGGTGCGCCCATGGTAATCCATGGTTTTCTATGTTATTTTCCATGGAAATTCATGGACGCCCATGGTAATCTTCCATGGATATTTACCATGATTTTCCGTGGTAATTGTTGGTTTGGTAATTAGTTTTTAATGGATGTGTCATGGAGATGTAAAATCAACAATTTTGGTAGGATTTGTATTTACCAAAATCTCCAAAATGAATGTTTTGATGATATATCCCAGTTAGACTGAGACTTATCATTGAGAAAAAAGGGTGGACTTTTCATTTTGAAGGTATAGCATGAACATTCATCGAATGTTAGAGTCAGCTTACAAATGAGAAAATATGTGAAACAGCAGAGCAGAGAGTAGGCCACAAGATTTCAAAAACAATTGTGCAAAGGTCTTTTGTGTAGAACAAGACTAGATAGAGATTGCTTATTTTTTAGGCCAAACACTTCTTTCCTTTGAAAAAGATTAAGTCAAACTAGCCCAAGCTCTGTTTTATTTCAATACTTTCTTTAATTTTCAGTTTAAAAAAATCAATATGAAGTAATTTAAGAAATAAATAACTAATTTTCTTAAATTACATTTCGTACATTTGAGAATACAATCAAAAACCATGGTTTCTTTCTTTGAAGTTGAGAAAACTGCAATCAAAAGCCATGGAAGACGGTTGATTGCAATCGAAAGCCATGCTTTTCCATGGTTATTTCTTTGATGTTTTGGAAAGTGCGATCAAAAGCCATGCTTTTCCATGATTATTCTTTTGATCTTTTGAAAGTCCATGGTTTTCCATGGGCTATTTGTTTGGTCTTTTGGAAGCAGAAAAATGAATAATACATTGTTTCTAAATGAACTTCTCCAAATTAAGTCCCATTCAACTTTTATAAGCATATTATCTGAAAAAATCCACAGAAAAGTATATACTTTTACAGAATTTTGACTTGAAATTGAGATGGGGGATTAACACAAGCCTATGGCTGCAAACTGAAATGTTATACCTAAGTGATAAAAATTCAATTTGTCTATGTAAGAATATTATATTTAAAAAGAAGTTGCATGAAGGAAGGGGAGGGGGTTAACAACACCATTTGGCTTAAAACATGAAACATAGTATAAGTAATTAAAATTGATTTGTCTTTGAATAGGAATAAATAATCATTTGCATAATTTTTAAATATTTGGTTGCCATTATTCTATGTTAATTAGGTGTCTTAACTCTCAAATTAATGTCAAAAGATTAATCTCTTTACAACAGATTATAAGAGTTAATTTGCATAATTCTTAAATATTCTGATCTTAATTGTTATTATATATGATAATCTTACTCTTTCTAATGCTCCCTCTTCAGTAATTATTATTGTCTGTGAGTGTAGACAGTGCAAGTCAAAAACTCATTGTTGATCAAATAAAACCAAATAGGATTTACTCCAAGTAAAAATGTTTATTCAGTCTGCAATAAGGGAATCCAGTGAGCTGATTTTATCATTTATTTTGTCTTTTTTTACATAAGTGCCAAAGTTAAATGATAGCAAATCCCAGCAAACAAATTATTACTTTTAATTGTGGGGTCAAATCATCAATTAAAAAATATATTAAGTAAACAGTTCTTTGTCATATGACACTATGTACAGAATGTACTAAACATATATTCAGATTGTAAAAACATGGTTGTATTTCAGGCCTGAAACCAGCTTTTGTCAAGAAGGTTGACTTTCTCAAAGATTTTGGGGTGGGGGGGGGGGTGTCATATTCTTTTATCTATGATTAATGAGACTAATTCTCAATCCAGCTTGGATTCATTCGTTAAAATATTGATTCAATTTTGAAGATTTGGGTAAAAACAAAACCTGCCAAAATTGTTGATTTTACAACTCAAGTGTCATGGTAAAAACATGGCATGTTCATGAAAAAACAATTACCAAACCACCAATAACCACGGAAAATCATGGTAAATATCCATGGAAGATTACCATGGGTATCCATGAATTTCCATGAAAAATACCATGAAAAACCATGAATTTCCATGGAAAACCATGGATTACCATGGACGCACCATGGAATACCATGGTTACCATGGCTTTTTTCTTAAGGGCGAGCCTCAATCGCCAAAGCACCAAAGACCACAAAAAGGTTGGAAATCATAACATGTCACCTCATCTGGTGGAGACATAAAAGTTACTTTTCAATGTTTCAAACTTTCTATCATTTTGCCATTCCAAATTTCCTCACCATGACAGCAATTTTGGAGAATAATCTTAATTTTCCCGACTTTTCTTAGAATAATCTCTTTGAAAAGGGTGGATTTTAAATCGTTTCTAATAAAATTATAATATTTTTTATAAGCCGATATTCGATTATGTTTCGATTACATATTTTTATCAATGACATATTTGCACTTACCATAGCAACCATATTTGCAGCCTTTGGCTGGTTTGGAGTCTCTCCTCTTGCGGTCTTTGCTCTATATTCATTATGTAAGTCGAGAAAATATTGCATTTCCTCTTTTGTCAAGTCCCTGTCGCCACTAACGTCGCCTCTGGACCACGCATAGTGAGATATTAAGCCAATAACCAGTATTAAATATTGTAGAATCATGGTTGCAGATGAAGTTTTGGGGAGGGTAAAAATGATCATCCTTTTTATATAGCTCTCAGAATTGTTAACAATTAACTTTAAGTGTTCATTTAGTGTCATAATAATTGAGTTTAGGGTTCGTTGTATTTTACAAAATTATGTATTGGATTTCTGTATGCACCAATCTCCTCTGCTAGTATGCAATATTTTTTTAATTTTTCATTTGTTTCCGATGATTGATTATGTTGCCTTTTTTATGATTTCATAATTTCAAATTAATTGTTAATTGTTGACAGTGATGCGTGAGTAACAGTCCTTTCTTATAAAAAATCCATTCTCAACACCAGCAGATGGTGAAAATGGGTGAGAGAGGGAGGGAGAGTGACTGAGCATACGATAAACAAAAAACAAACTAATGAGTTAAATGTATATAACAATTCAATATTTTATTTACTATTGACTAGTAAAATATATGTATAGATCTATAATATCTAAAATACTACAATATTATAAATAATACTGTCCATTAAAACCTCTGTTGGAAGGGACTAATTCGTCCCGATTATCAGCAGAATATAACAATACTATAATGTAACAATTATTATTCCAAATTACACAATATAATATATCTAATTATATTGATGCGTAATAAAAATTGGATAAAACAGGAGACAAACGTTAACAAATAATACGATGTATTATAATATCACTAATGAGGCATATAAGGTTATGTTGGATCATAATTTGCTTTTGAATTACCCTGTCATATAGTAATTGGTAAGCTGACTAATAATGTACGAAATGAAACAATTCTAACAAAATTGAATGCATTCTAAAAATTCATTTCGTTCGTTGTGTACCTTTACTTTACTAGGAGGTACGGATTGCACAGGACGAAAGGCTCGGAAATTGAATTAAAGTCATTAAATGTGTAAGTACAAGTGCCAAGGGGGTACAGACAAAAACAGAGATGAAATATTTAACAGTCCAACTGGTCATTAGGAAACAAAATACCAACATTCCAAACAAAAATCCAAACAAAAAATGTGTTATGGGCTCCAACTTTCCACAATGGACCATTCAAAGCGTAAGATAACCATGCGCAAAGGTTGTAGATTTTGACAAAATAAAAATTGGACGGTCAAATTGCCTGCCAGGGGAGCAACCTAATGAATCAATTTCCTCACCCAGGGAGCAATGATAAATGGTTAAATATATTCAAAATTGCCATTAGCAGGAATATACTATTCTAGTACATGTTTACAATTCAAAAGTCCCTATTCCTGGCTTGAGACGGTGGATCAACACACTGAACACATGGATATGTTACAGTTATGATAATACTACATTACATTAAATAAAACCATGGAATTGGCCGGGTGGATCTGTTTTCTAAACCTGAGCATATAAAAATTATCACAGAGACAAGATATGTGCAAGATATGTGCAATTTGCTGAAAAATTAAGCAAGTTTAAAGTGAACCTGTGGATTTCCACGTACATTTCTCAAAACTATTTCCTTATTTACATTACGCTTGACCCAAAATAGTCTTCATGATTAGATGGACGGTCTGAGTACAATAAAAGGGTAAAATTTGCAATTTGGCACACAAGTTCTTTTTAAAAATATATATGGCACTAAAACTAATACTTATAATTTCAAAATCAATATATCAACCAATAACAACCCTCAACCTTAAAAATTAAAACATAATGTCCTCAATAATGTACAGTAAAACCTTTGTAATTAGAACACCCTCCATACCTCTAAAAGTATTCCACGAGAGGTGTTCCACCTGACAGGTTTAACTGTACATTTAATACATTTTGGTTTTCTTTTGTTTTCTATAGTACAATATTGATATAAGCATTGCACAGTTAAGTGAAGCAGCAGTCCCGATTGTGATCAGCATGGCAACATCTCCTGTTTGCACTAAGGTTGTAAATATGCGAACTAAAACAAAAGCAGACGAAGAGTTAGTAAGGAAGACCTTAATATTAATGTATAAGTAATATTAACAAAATATATGAACTGTATAAAAACATATGTTATAATGTTACATAATTTAAGAAATCAATTTTCAGAAGGTATGCAGAATATTAATTTTTAAAATAATACTAAAAATCATTCATATTTATATTTTTTTACAAAGTTCCCCCAAACAATATGCAATCATTTTCAGTTCATTCAGAAAAGCTGAAATACCCTTGAAACAGAAAACTGCATAAAACAAGGCCAGTGATCTTTTATATGAATGGTTGATAATCCCCACTAACCCCTTGGGTTTTAGAGAACGAGGTGAGGAGTCTGAAGTCAGTATTCAGATTAATAGTTACTCACCAGAGGCAGTGTATGTTGCTATACCCCATGTTACAGCACTAATTGGACCGGGGTCACGGTTGACGATTATTTGACGGAGCTGAATTAACTTACTACTGGCAGCAAGGGGAGTCACTGAACTCTGCAATTAAATATTATGGTTAGTACTACTGTATGGTATTTGAAGCAGGAGTTATCAAATTATTTGTTTGACATTAAAATATTTCTAAATCTTCAAAAATTCTGTAAAATAATAGACATATTTCAATATAGGTTCATATCCAAGACACCATCAATGGCACAAGGATAGACCTTGTTTTTGACGGAATCGACAAGCATTTCATATAAAACCCTTTTTATCAACAAATGTTATGGAGTCACACTGGATTAACATTATATGAACGTTTTTCAACAAACTGAACTTTTATAAAACAATGACTGTGTGTAGAAGATATATTGTTTATTTAAATTCATATCTTTGTGTCTCTTGTTGTAATGAATACAACATTTCCGTGGCTCATATTGTAAGATGTAAAACTATTACACGAGATAGACTTGACTTACTATGAGCATATACATAATTGAGCTGGGAAGCATCCCCATAGAAATCGCAGTAGAACCTGCAAAATATCTGAAAACTAGTTAAGAATTGTTTTGGTCTTGAAATGTGATGTTTGTCTGGACTGACTTAACTGACTGGACTGACTGACTGACATTCAAAAAATTAATATTCCTAAGTATTGATGAACCATTCAAATCTCTGCCCAGGGTTCAATCTAGTGTCCCATTCCTGGGAGCAATTACACCTGGTAACTGTAGCAATATATGTACAAGTATTTCAAAAGTCCCTTCTCCTTGGACAAGGTACTATCATGTCAAAATGACAAAATCCCATCCCAAAACAGACAGAAAACTTTTTATATTCCGTATATCAGACTCTATAAAATTTATAATAAATCTGACTTCTGGTTTTTGAGTTATGGATTTTCTAACCGAAAATCAAAAACATATATGACTTTTCTATATGAAATAAGGATACATTCCAAATGCAGCAATTGTCAGTATATTGAGGTGGCCTTGGTCATTCAGCAGTATAAGTAGAAGAATCATATCTGAAATTAAATCAACATTTAGATTATACACAAGAGTCATATCATAATAAGTGTCCAAGACAAAGACATAACTGCAAATAATATTTACAATATATCTCTAACATACTATTGAACAGTTGTCCAGCTGACATTTCTGTGAAGTTTTAATAAGAATTGAGTGTCAGATATGAAAAGGTATCTGACAGTGGAGTCCTGATAATTAATAAACTTTTTAGCTGTTGTTTGTATGGCATATATGGCATATATTCAAACAGTCTTGGTCAATCTCTCCTAAAGAGATTCACAGTCAAACTCTAATTAAAGGGTATTACTTACCTTGTATAAGTAGCATAGAGTACTCAACGTAGGCACTTAATGGATATTCATTGGCAAACTGGTAGCAGAACAAGATAGTAAACCTATGAAGAAATATTACATGTAAGTCAATCAATGGTGAAATAGACCAGATATATCATATATGATACAATATGTGAGCAGAGACTTAAAACAATAGATGACCAGAGAAATGGTATAATAATCATAGAATTGGTACAATATATGACCAGTGGCGCAGTTCAATGGATTGCCAGAGAAATGGTTTGATAGATGTCTAATGACATGGTATAATAGTTGATCTGAGACAAAGTACAATAGAAAACAAGAAACAATGTACAATAGAGAGATAAGGATAATACAATGGATGACAACATAAATGGTACAATTGATGACCTATGAATACTGATCGGAGATATGGACAACAGAGAACTTGAACAAGACACACAGTGATAAATATCGCACTTTGAAGAGCAAACTGGCCACCATGCAATTTACCCAGCATGGCCAAAACCTAATCAGACCTTGGCACTAGTCTGCTCTTGCATCTGTAAACATTTCAAGTTGACAAGGTTAGCGGTTTTCCTGCAATTTTGATGACAAGAATTTATTTGTAGTCTTGAACTTTTTCAGACCTCAGTAGGTGTTTTGTAATTAAGCTGACCTAAATTTAAATCCAAAATATCAATTTAGAAAATCAACTTTTTGACCTTTTCAAGGTCACTGAAGGTGAACGAAAGGTCAAATCTGAAATCTAAGGTCAGATTTGAACTTCTGAGAACTTGTAGATGTTTTTAAAAAAAAATTTGGTCAATTTGGAGCAAGTTGAAAATTCAAAATGGCCGCCAAATTGAAAAATTCAAAATGGCCACCATGTAATTCAGCCAGCATACCCAAAACCTAATCAGATCTTGGCAATAGTCTGCTCTTGCATCTGTAAAAATTTCAAGTTGAACGGAGAAGTGGTTTTCCTGGAATTTTGATGACAAGATTTGTTGAAAAATTCAAAATGGCCGCCACCTAGTTTACCCAGCATGCCCTAAACCTAATCAGATCTTGGCACTAGTCTGCTATTGCATGTGTAAAAATTTCAAGTTGAACAGGTTAGCGGTTTTCTTGGAATTTTGATGACAAGAATTGATTTGTAGTCTCAAACTTTGAGAAACTTGGATAACATCATTTGTGACCTAGTTTAATGACCTTGACCTTCGACCTTGAAAATTTCACTTTTTCAGACCTCAGTAGGTGTTTTGTAACTAAGCTGACCTAAATTTAAATCCAAAATATCAATTTAGAAAATCAACCTTTTTACCTTTTCAAGGTCACTGAAGGTGAACAAAAGGTCAAATCTGAAATCTAAGGTCAGATTTGAACTTCTGAGAACTTGTAGATGTAAAAATTTGGTCAATTTGGAGCAAGTTGAAAAATTCAAAATGGCCGCCAAATTGAAAAATTCAAAATGGCCACCATGTAATTCAGCCAGCATACCCAAAACCTAATCAGATCTTGGCAATAGTCTGCTCTTGCATCTGTAAAAATTTCAAGTTGAACGGATAAGTGGTTTTCCTGGAATTTTGATGACAAGATTTGTTGAAAAATTCAGAATGGCCGCCACGTAGTTTACCCAGCATGCTCTTAACCTAATCAGATCTTGGTACTAGTCTGCTCTTGCATCTGTAAAAATTTCAAGTTGAACAGGTAAGCAGTTATCCTGGAAATTTGATGACAAGATTTGGTTTATGTCCCGCCCGCCCGCCCGCCCGCCTGCACGCCCGCATGCCCGCCCGCCCAACAGCACAAGACGACGACAATATAGCACTTTTTCAAAGTGCGATAAAAAGGGCACTATAACAGTACAATAGATGATGAGTGACATGGTACATTTGATAACAATGGTATCATGGATCACCAAATATATGCCATGGTACAATAAACGACCACAGACAAGTTGCAAATAGATGAAACCAAAAGTCAATAATACTTTAAAATGCGTCAGAGCGCTTAAAATACAACACATATTCATCCCCCCCAGACCCCACTTAATGTTAGTTTTTACTTCACTCAACTCACGTTCCCTTGTTGGCGTACTACTCATAAAAATAGCGCTAAGCCCATGATGACCAGAAACAGAACAATAGATTATCAGAGACATGGTACATAAATACAGTACTGTCAACCCCCAAAGATTTTCTCGCGGGACAGATTTTTTAGACCCAGTGCCCAAAATTCGCGGGATTTTGCGGGACATCTACTAAATTCGCGGGATTTTGCGGGACATTTAAGGGATTTGCGTGATTGCGCTAATAGGCCAAATTTTTTATCAAATTCGCGGGATTTCGCGGGACCATTCGAGGGACAAACACCCTGATTGCGGGACAGTTAACAGGTTTACCACCAAAAACTTCATAGAGGGACAGATTTTTTAGACAAAGTGCCCTAAATTTGCGGGATTTCGCGGGACATCCACCTAAATTTGCAGGATGTCTCGGGACATTCAAGGGATTTGCGTGATTGGGACAAATGTAAAAGCGTGTAAAAGTACTTAAATCAAACTTTCAGATACTGATTAATCAAATATAATGCACCTTTACATTGTAACTTAAATAAACGTCGACACAATTTTACAAAATACGCATAGGAATATTATTTAACTTTATTGTAATTTATCAAAAAATCAAAAATTCGGAACAATACTTTGCACTTCTGGCGTCGTGACCAACTATGAAACGCTTACCCCCATAATGTTATATATTAAAATGTACCCATTCATATACTGTAGGCATGGGCTTTCAATTGAAAGCCCATGATATAGGGGTTCGATTAATCTACATCAAATTATAGGGCATGAGGTTACTTTTCTAGATAGGGTTTGTAGAAAAACCGGGTACCGGGTAGTAAATCCTCCATGCTGGGTTCAAACTTGGTACCCGGTCGAAAAAACCGGATACCCAAAAAACGAAATATACGAATATACAACATAATTAGATCATTAGAAAACGTGTAAGATTTGTTTTGAATTTACAAAAATGTATGTAACTTCCTTCAAAATTGAGCTAGAAGCTTCAAATAAAAAGCATTTTAAGGCTCTTTTTTCCTCTATGGTCATATTTTAATGGTAATGAAGGGGGGGGGGGGGCGATCGCACCCCCTCCTGGCTACGCCAATGACATTGTAAGACGATTTGAAAAACAAGACAAATCAATCTTACTCTATTTTCAATAGTTCGTATGTTGGTGCGTAAATTGTTTTGATTATGATTTAAATCTGTAAATAGCTATCGTTGCTTTAGCAGAGAGCTGACGTGTGTTAATTTACATGATGCAACGTGTAAGATTTTGATTATTAATCATAATTTAAGTTATCCTAATTTTCGACAAAATGTCCACTGAATTGTAAGTTGTTATGTCTTACAATGTCATAGGCGTAGCCAGGAGAGGGTGCGATGGGTGCACCCCCCCCCCCCCCATAACCAATGAAAATATGGCCATGACGATAGAGGAAGAAAATAGCCTTAAAATATGCTTTTTATTTAAAGCTTCTAGCTCAATTTTGAAGGATGTTACATGCATTTTTGTAAATTCAAAACAAATCTTACACGTTTTCTCATAATCTAATTATGTTATATATTCGTATTTTTCGTTTTTTGGATACCCGTTTTTTTTGACCCAGCATGGTACCCGGTTTTTTCTACAAACCCTTACTAGATATCAGCGTCCATTTATTGTAACTTGCGTTTGCTAACATTTGCTCAGTTCTGAGATGAAGCCACACGAGTAGTAAAAAGGCCAACGTTGGAACTATTTGTGACCTACATCTCTATTTTCGTAATTAAAATGAAAGTTGAACCCTTCCTCTTTATTTTGATACCAAACAACAGCATGCTAGGTACTTAAAATTAGGTAAACTTTACTCCTCCAAAGTGCAAAAACTTAGCTTCTTATATAAGATAAGATAATCACAATATAGGGGATTGCAACAATTTCGGAAATTCGCGGAGGTCAAAGCCACAATTGCGGGACTTCGCGGGACATTGCGGGACACGCGAATCAGCCTAATTTTGATCAAATTCGCGGGATAATCCCGCCATTCGCGGGACACTTGACAGCTCTGTAAATACATGTAACCACAAAAATGGCGCAATATTACAAGAGATAAAAATTACAAGAATCATAAATTTAGAAATGGAACAACATTTTTTTTTCTGGAAATTTTTGGATAATGACGGTATGGTAGTGATTCTAAGTATAGATCAGAGATGTGTTTAGTTACCTTTTTGTAAGGCTGTCTCTGTATTACTAATTTATTGGTTAGAGGATTGGGGCCTCGGGCCCCTCACTATCATTCATAATTCAGTTATTAGACATTCTATCTACACCTGACAATTACATAAATTGGTGAAAAAAACTAGAAATAAGCTTTCAAGGGTTTTTTCACCAATAGATGACAGTCAGGTGTTGATACAGGTACCTGTGCTACTCCGTATGGAAAAGACACTACGGAGTCAAGGTGCAAAATTCAACATTTTGCGACATATGTGAAAGGGAACTGATTTGGGATGTGTTTATTGAACTTTTTAAGTCTTCGTGTTTTAATCTAAGAGAGGAATAGAAGATGAAACCCATTGAAAAACGTACGCCCACATCTCCAACATCAAGCTGGTCAAACTCAGTCCTTTGGTTGTCCCTGACTTCACAACAGCGATAATTTGAGGCACTTTCATGATCAAACATAATGCTACTACACTTCCGCCAAGTAAGTACACTACAAACGTGAGTGTGGCATCATCTGAAGACATGTTTGAAGTTGAAATGTGTTCAGAATTTGTTTCACTTCCTTCATTCACGGGCGCTGACATCTTGTATATTCGGAGTGAATTGATCATGACACACCACATGTTATTTTTTACACAGCACGAAACGATCCCCAATCTTGATAGCAAAAGTGATCATCAGTGGAATTCGGAACGTCCTATATAAGTCCCATAGCATCTTTCGACTAGGCTATTCCTATCTTGCCATTGAATGTGTATGACTAGTGCAGAATCAAAGTTTGATTAATCAGAGGCTGGCTATCCCTCTATTAATCAGAGAGAGCTCACCTCTTATATATAGTGTGTCCCAAAAAAAAGGAAACCAGCAATAGATTGCTTATTTCTCAAATATGAATAATGATAGGAAAATTTCACAGCTACCATCTGATAGATTATGATGTCCTCTTTCTTATGATACCAAAGTTGTCTATTTTCCTTCACGGATGACTGAGTTATAAGGGATTTAAGTGACCATGTCAGAAATGAGTTTGTACCACTTTCAGCCAAGTCAATTTCACCATCATAACAAAGTGATAAGTAACAACAAACATCAGGATATCACTCTTTTACTCATTTATTCCAATTAAAATTACACATATCATATTTAATTCCCCTTTTAAATCCCAATGTCCATTCAAAGTTGTTTTAACCCCAGTGTCCTTCAACATGACCCCCATTCCTTTCAATGCAAATGTCTGCCCTTGATCTCATAGCACGGCACGTACTGCATCCCTGATGATGTCTCTCTGTCCCCTTAGATCCTCCACTGCTGCGACAATCCTGGCCCTTAGATCATCAACGTCTCTTGGTGATGTTGTGTAGACTTTATCCTTGAAGAAATACCCCCAAATAACCATCCTGGCATAGCCATTTTAATCCCTCATTGTTCAGCCATTCATGACAGAAAAAGTGGCACAAACCAATTTCTGACATGGTCATTGAAATCTCTTAGAACTCAGTCATCCGTGAAGAAAAATAAACACCTTTGGTATCATGAGAAAAAGGACATCATAACCTATCAGATGGTAGCTGTGAAATTTTCCTATTATTATTTATATTTGAGAAATAAGCAATCTATTGCTGGTTTCCTTTTTTTTGGGACACACTGTAGATATTCAACCAATTTTACATATCTCTGAGTCTATGCTGTCATTGAATGCAGCACTTCAACGACTGATAACCCTATAGTTATTATCACCCTCTACCATACACCCTCCCTCAAATGAGGCTATTCAATAAGTTTAAGGCAAGACAGCATCTATGTGGTGATATAGTATTGCTTTGGTGAGGGATGTTTTGGATCATTCTAATACTAGTAATTGAACCAGACACCTAAAATGTATAACGTCTCTGATCGACCCTTCCTGTCCGCCATCTTTAATACTGACCAGTGTCTGATGGAACATCATTATAAATTATAAATAAACATAAGAACTTAACTTGTCTTCTGAAATTTATTGTACAGAAACGTACACAGGAGGTACATATTTAATAATACATGTACTATAGTAATTATTTCACATTCAAGTGTGTAAAATCAACAATGATGCATCCTTTACTTCATCATCAATAGTACATACAGAAACGGTACATATAGAAACTATAACATATATTATATACTACATAATAACATGCTAGGTTTCTTATGCACATACATTAATACATATTCAAATCTACTAAGCATTTATCGAAAATAAAAATAAATAATTTTTTAAGTCCCAATTATCATCCAAAATGTTTTTTAAACTTAACAACTCAACAAGTAGCCTATATTCCAATTTGATATTTTTGGATTATCAACTTTGGCATAAGTCTGTCTGTATTTACACCATGTATGTTGTAGTATTTATAGTCAATCATCACATCCTAATGTTCCTTTCAATAGGCCTAATATTGCATTGAGTCACATAGCTGTTGTCTACACACTAGGCCAATGACCACAAATGCAGGTCCTTTGGATCTTATATCTGGTGTTGTCTCCGTTCTATATGTCTCTATAGAGGATCATGAAATAATAGTCTCAAATACTCAATGTCAAGTCTCTCTATTTGGCCCGAGCCTCTTGATTAGCTGGGACACTTAAATTGTACAGCATTTTCTTGATTTCTCCAATAGCCAGACCTGGGTTCAAGCCCTGGAAATGAAAGGTTCATGGTAAGATAAATCTTAGATATTTCAAAGAGATTGTGTGACCTAAAGCTCTGTCTCAACTGTGGTTATTAACTCACAGATATTTCAAAGATACTTTGTGTGAAATAAAGCTTTGTGTCAACTTTGGTTTTTAACTCACAGGTCAAAAGGCCAAAACATCAAAAAGTTTTCTTGCACTTGTCTGGAATAGATTAGATAATACTAGGGTCACTCAATAAATACTAATCCAAATGCTCCCATTTTCACTTTTATCAAAGAATCAAGTGGAAACTTTCAGTGATTGCAGGTAATATGCATGCTTAAGTTGTTAGTAATATGCATCCTTACAGACCAAATATTATGAGTTTTTTACTGATGTTTGAGATGCATGAGATTTATATATGAGAATGAGGGTACCCAACATAGTTTTTATACTATATAAAATCTATATCAATGTTAATAGCTGTTTTTGCAATTTTGTGTTACAGCAGTGGGTCACTGAAAAGCTCAAAGGATGACCTAAAAGTTGAATAAATGAGCATATTAGAAAAATGGAGTTGTTGGTCTGATGGAACCAAAATGATGAGATATGGATTAAGAAATGGTCATATTGAAGGCCGTTTTAATTTGACGGATTTGGCAGATTGATGAAAACTGCCAAATTTAAGTCTCCTTCAATTTTTAAACAAATCTCCAAGGATTCCCTTTTACCAATGGGTAAAAAAAATTACAGTACATGTACATTTAGATTGAAATACATTATTACAGTGAAATATGAAGAAGACTGCTTTGGGTACCTTCTCCTCTATATATTAAATGTGCTGTAACTTTAAGGGAACTTAGAATAAATCCAAAACCCTGTCACCTCAAAAAATCCAACTTGATTCCTTTATAAACAAGGCAATGAAAGCATTTGCCATAGCTTTTATTGAACATCCCTGGTTGACTCAATAATATCATGAACCAATCCTTGCTTATCTGTGGCTAATGTCACCACTTGACTGACAGTCATAATTCAATTCAATGATGACCCTAAGAATCTTGAATATTAAACTTACCTTGGGACAAGTCTTGGTGCAATTCATGATGGTATGACACCTATAGACAGACCATTTATCCTGCAACCTTGATAGCCTCTCCATTGTGAAGTCATCTCTCGAGTCAATGAGCCACCTATCATACAAATTTAGTTTTTTGTAATGAACACTCATTTTTATTTGTGCATGTGCCACAAATGATTTTTTAACATAACCAAGGCAACTGATTTTAAAAATTAATATGACAATTGATTCATTTTTTGACTTGTTGTATTTAAACTGTAATCTACAGATTATCACATTCATGTCTGTATATTTAAATAACTACACACTATTTTCAATAATACACCTCATATTTGTCAAGGGCTTATGTATTTTGACTTTAAGAAAATATATATATCACTCTAAGAATACCTGTAAGCCTGCATTAGTACTGCTGGTCCTAGGTATTTGTCACCATTCCACCAGTAGCTGGGGCAAGATGTACTGCAGCACGCACACAGGATGCACTCGTATAATCCATCCTGCAAGTAGCAATGAAAAATGATTTGATTACTTATGGTGGGTTTTAGGTCCTTTCACCAATTCTGGTAGTGTCAAATAGGTTTGATGTAGCGGCCATCTTTGAATCAACTCAAAAGGGCAACCCCCAGTAAGTTTCTTTCAATTATTCTTTAACTATGTAAGAAAATACTGAAAATGTGTAGTCAATCTGTAGTCAATTTCTCATTACCATAGAGAAACATTTGAAACTTACCAGCTTTGCTCTGTCTTCTGGGGATTGAGAGTATGGGACTTTGCCAATATCCTTCTCGTCAATATCCTTTTTCTTTAGATATGGTTCAATGGATCTATACTGGGCATAGAAGTTACTCATGTCCTGCAACAAAAACATTGTAACCCTTCATCTACATGTCAAGTGAAGTCTATCCATGTGATTGTTCAACAACATTCGTAGAAATTCTAAACTAATAAACATCTGTATTGATATTTCAATTCCGGCTGTGCACTTTAAAAAGATAACTCCAGACTGTAAACTTTCTACATATAAGAAAACGCCAGATAAAATGACAGATTTGAACTTCAAAATGTACTTACGGGTACCAAGTCTTTAACAACATACATGTGTGGTAGTGGGTAGATCTTCATAGCTTTACTGGTGTTATCATCAATTTTACTGGAAATGAGATAACTATTGTAAGAGCAATATTAATCGCATTGATTCCAGTGTCCATAATCATGACTTTAAATAGTCCATTATAAAGTCACTACAGCAAATATAATTACAACAAATTTTAGATGTTCGCAGAGGAAAATACAAAATAAGACGCAGGTGTTATGCTGTTTATTAAAAGGATATAGCACTAAATGATCTTATCAAGATCTTTGTATTAATGAAAACATCAATAAACTGTTTAGGAAGTGAATTTATACTTCATTAATCTATGCTAAAATAATACATCAAAAAGCGTCTTTTAGTCGACTCCCAGTCCATTTTTTCACGCAAATTGCACCACAAAATTTTACAGCATTATGGTTCTTTAAAAGACATTATCTTACCATAAACAGGCTAGTGTGTTGCCGCCATTTATATTCATGGAACAAGAACCGCAGATTCCCTCACGGCATGATCTACGGAAAGTGAGAGTTGGGTCGATTGTGTCCTTTATCTTAATCAATGCATCAAGGACCATAGGTCCACATCTGAAATAGAGGAAATACATTATATGATATCTTATTGCAATTAGGTAATAGTTCAATTCAGAGAACCAGGTTTATTTATAAGGAAGCCCACTTATCAAAAGTTACATGATCCTTTGTACTATTCCAATGTACAGTAAAACCTTTTGGACCTCATAGAAGTGTTCCACTTTGGAGGTGTTCCACTTATAGAGGTTCATTTAACATTAAGTCAGTTGGTCTCTTGGGACCACTAACAGAGGTGTTCCACTTCTAGGTGTTCTATTCTACAGGTTTCACTGTATTTAAATGTGCAGTTAACATGTTAAATAACTGTTACTACATATTGTGGCTTAATGAAACCCATGCCCCATACCTGAGCACTAAAAGAGCATTAGTTTTACAATGTGTCAAACGAGGTCAAGATTTTCATTTAACTTTTCTGAATATCAACAGCTCTGACTTGGACTTACTTGTTTAGATCTACTTCATAAGTCTGTACATGAGGCTTGTCACCAGCTTTATCAGGGTTCTAAAACAGACCATAATGTTTAATACATGTAAATTACATGTTTGCTTTGCTATGTTTGTTGGAAAGATATTAAGTTTTCATTTCAATAATGTAGCAGACTAAATAATTGTACCATGTCCAATGCCACGCATCAAATTCATTATCTAATTGCAAAGAAGCTCTGTATTCATAGAGCAAAAATCAATAGTGGTAAAGCTATTGTGATAATTAAGATCTTTGTCAAAATTCTGTTTCTAATACATTCATTTATCCTGACACAAACAAAGACATTCACATGAAAAATTAACCATCTGGTTGCAATTAGTACTTAAAAATTCTTAGAAGTTGAATTCCAAAATTGAATACCATGCTAACCAATGGTCACGAAAATTTGGCAATTAACAATACAGTATATCATGACACCACTTCTTAGTAATCATACTTCAACTTACCCATCTGTAGATAGAGAATTTCTTTAGTTTAGGCTGAACTTGAGTCGCTGCAGCAGCTGTAGCCAAACTGCGGTTCTGAAAGTCAACAAATACCAAATGTGAGGGTATGACGGCTTAAAAGATCTTGATGGTCACTGTCCGCCCTTAAAATTCAAATCATCCAAAATCTTATCATAAAAAGTTGATATCATTCCACAAGCTCTTTGTCTGAACTTAAGTTTCAAATAATTTTTTTTCAAGTTAAAAATGAGGGTACATGGACACTGTCAAAAACTTCAGAGCTGTCAAACTCTCCTTTTATAGAAATCATGCATATACCTTCTGATAACAATAATGAGACCTGACAGATTAGCTTTTTCTGTTTCAATGCTTGAGCATATGTACCCCATGCAGACAGATCAACTAAAATTAAATTTGTATAATGTGATACACGACATTCCCAAGGAAACTAGAAATAATTTGTCACCCATGTAGCAAATTAATTTTTTACTGCTTAATAAATGGTGAATAATAGCCAAATTAAGTTTTATAAGTATGAGAATAGCATGATGTCTTGATATTTAAAGGTAGCCTCATTTGAAAAGTGATGGCAGTGATTGAAAAAACGATGTAAAGACAAAGCCGCAACGAAATATTTGTAGATTTCTTTGAATAACTAAAAAATATACATCACATATCAAATTTACCGAAATACAAAGAACATGTATAAATTGTAAGACCTGCAGGTCCGATTCCCCCTGGTAGCATTAACATTGGTCTTGTTTACTGTATGTCACACAATTAATATTTGAAACGCAACTATTATTCAAACTTATGATCAGCATTAGTATGATACTAGAGTTATAGTATTACTTTATGACCTTGAAGTACACATCATACTTAATATGTCCGATTGGTCATTATCAAAATTATTTATCAGAATTGTTTATATGACCAAAGGAACTCCGTAAATGGCAGTTCTGGGAATTCTAAAAGAAATTGACAACCAGCTTTGAATCTGATTGGCTGCCTGGTTCAAGGCGCGTGCAGAGTATGCCGGCACTCGTGTGCAACTATCAACTGAAAGGGGTTTCCTTTGATTGCCGCAATCAAACTCAATCATCTGCCAGGTGGTTCTGATTTTTTCAGTAAATCAGCAATCCCGGGTCAGCAATACTATAACCATATGTTGGTCTCAAGATATCTAAAGTAGATATTATGTAAGCAATTACAATGGGACATTAATGATTGTCTGAGTGAGAAACCCATTGCATATCTACCTTATACAATTCCTTACATCACTTCCGAAGCAGTTGATTGACCAAAATGAAATTAGATCTAGTCTACAGTTTTCATGTACCGCCAGGCCTGCTCACCGAAACTCCCACTATTATTTCATAGCTATTTGCACAATTTTTAAATGTTCAGCTTAAAAAAGTGTGAGTAAAGAGCTAACACACTACTACACGACTACTAACTGAATTAAAGTAAAATAAATGTGATTCTTGCTGTGTGACCTGATCTGACTCAGTGACTGACCTTCAAAGTTTTGTTTTGAATTTTTGATGGACTTTTTCGTATCATTGAGAAAGAATCTGCACCATCTGATAGATCCTATCAACACAAACATGTACATTAATCTATAATTACCTGGACTGACTGCACCAGTGCCCTGCTAGGCGCAGAAAACTTGATTAAATGTCTGACATTCGCCATCCGAAATTTCTGAAATAATGAAAGTTACGAAACACAGTTGCGCATGCGTACTTTGAGAAGCTCTTACTTAATTTCCAAAAATATGGTTTGCGGACTCGCATTCGCATTGGACAATCGGTCTACATTACATATCAATAATCTGATGTTATAAGCCCGGGGGGTTCACTCTAAATAATTTGGGTAGGTATGTGCAGCACAGGCAATTTTGGCTTTGAGCATAAAACATGGAACTTGGCCAATCTGAGAGGAAAAAAATATGGAAAATTGTCTCAGAAAGTACTCTTTTTAAGTCAAAATTCATTTTTCTACAGAAAATTATATTAAATTTGTTAAATCAGTTGCTGAGGCCTGGAACAAATTACTAGAAAAGTTGATTTTTTAGTCATTTATTAGTCTCAGAGGAATTAAACATGGAAACCTTCAATTTTGAGAGGAAATTGAAATGGAAAAAATGCTCAAAATGGGGGTCTTTGGGGCGGCACATAGGTATTAACAAGTATATTGGAGTGAACCCCCGGGGTTATAAGCCCATTTAAGCAGATTATATATATAGTTTAATCATAGTTTAAAGTGATCGAATTTAAAAAGAATACATATTTAAAATATAAAATTCAAAATGACCACCCATTATAGATGGCAGAATATTTTTGGAAATACATAAAGATATACTACTATTTATTTACCGGGATGTATTTCCTAAGAAAAACTCCGCCATCTATGCATTATGGGACTGATAACAGCCAGACGCCTACTTGAGCGGATTGTAGTTTTTTCCAAGAAAGAGCAACAAATAAATTATAGAACTAGAGTATCATGCTGAGACTAATATACTTATGGGATGAGACGACCTAACCTGCAATGGTAGAATATTTTGGATACGGGTTTCCCTGGAGTCTTGGGTGGAAAAAGCTTTTGAGTTCTTATTTCTAAAAAATAGCCCTAAAATAATGCCCAGTCAGGCCAGTTTGTTACCTAAATTGCCCACTGAATTTATGTGCGGATAAGCAGATTTTGGGCCCTGAACATTTTTTGAGCTTCAATTTTTGACCACACCCATGGAAGGATCAAAGATAGATTAAATAGCATATAACGCTGGCGGATCTAGGAGCTATCAAGGGGGCACACATTTCAAATCAGAAAAAATGTCCGACTATCTGGCCTAAAAAGGCCAAAAAAGGCCAAGTTCATGTATTCCCAAAAAGGCCCAATAATTGAGGCCCTTCAAAAATATTTCTGGGCCTAACCGATGGGGCGGACCCAATCTCCCCCTCCCGCCCCTGGATCCGCCAGTGTATAATGCCCGGTATAATGTTACATCACGTCCTCTCGCCCCGATCATTTCGCTCCAAAGTGCACAGTAAACCGTTTACTACCCGTGATTTCTAAGGAAATAATGAATGCTCCTCAAAATTCATGACGTCATAAAAATCCAATATGGAAGTAAAAAGTTGAAAGTGAAAATTATCACAGCATTTTCACTGAATGTGTTTAAATGGGAAGGTATACACATCATCTTTTATGTAAATTATGTCCATGTTGTGTCTGATTTCATGCTGAAATTAGCTATTTTTCTTAATCGCTCGGATAAGTCTACAAATTCTCTACCTTTGTGTTGATCTCACACTGACTCGAAACATTTCTCGGGATAATTTTTAGATTTTTGGCCCGCCTATGTCTCATTATACTTTAAATAGTCAGCTTATTCCACAAGGACCAGAATTGTAGAATTGACTGAAAATATCTACACTTCTAGGGGCGTAGCCAGCTTTCAGTCGGGGGTGCGATCGCCCAAAAAATTCGGTTTTCACTCAGAGTCAGGGCGCTGTGCGATTGCGGCATAATGTAAGCAACGTCCCTATTTTTATTTGTTATGGGGGTGTGATCTATCTACCCAGTGACTACGCCTATGTCTTCCAATCGGGTGAATTTTCTTTTTGGGACAATTATGCATGCTATAGTAAAGTGTCCCCAGTGCACATCTAGTATGTATCCAACAGACTGACTAGAAGTCAGTCTGTTATGATGTACCACTTTCCTGTGGAAATTGCAGTGAAATTTTTTGCACAAAATTATCAATTGGAGGAACCATTTCTCCAATAAAATAAACATAACAAAATTTCAATTAAATAGTAAGGTACAATTAAATGCAATAAAATTTAACACAGCATATTGTCAAGTGGAAATAAAGCTAGTTGAAGTAACAAATGTGCAAATTAATTTTACCCAATCGGCCATTTTGAATAGTACTTCCTATGTAAACAAATATTTAGAATTACCAAACTTTAACATAGGTGCCTTATAGTCTGAATATAATTCAGACTAAATAGGATATAGTCTAAGTGCACATCGACAAGCCTGCACTACTGTAGAAGTCATATAAATCTGACCCTCGTATGATGTTATTTGTTGTTATTTTTTCTGATTTGGATATTTATTTTTCTTGCATACGAGGGTCATACACACTCCCCGCATCTATATTGCGGGAAATGCTTTCCTGGCCTGTCTACCTAACCAAATTCACACAAATGATAAATAAATTTCTTTGCGTCAACTATAAGTATTTAATCTTACCTTAGGCACTAAAACGCTTGGTTATTGAAGAAATATAAGCATGCCGCTTGAATTTTAAAATTTTTTCATTTTGCCATACCAAGGTCACTTCCAGGTTAATCTGAGTATAGATGTAAAACTATATCAAACTAAATCATAAGTATTTGTTACACAAAGATTCAGTTGAAAGGGAAGCAGTGTCGTTAAGAAGGGAAGTTATTTGGAAAAGTTATTGTTTCAAAATGAGAAAAGTAATAAGTATGAGAATCGATCTCTGTGTAATGAATAATTATGATTCTGTTTCGATACATGTTTTACATTTAGACTACCAGAAACAACATTTAGCAACATGGCGATAATGAAAATATGAATTCAATTGATTATATTTCGTCAATTATCAAGCGTTTTACATGTCTAAGGTAAGATTTAACACTTTGATGTTGGAGCTAAATAATTACTCGATAATTTTTGTGACTTTGGTTAGTATGGTAACTATGGTTACCCAGACAGGCCAGAAAAGCGTTTACCGCAATTTGTTAGCAATTATATCTATGACCTTATATGTTTAGAAAATGATAAAAAATAAATATCCTAATAAGAACAAGGAATATCAAGAACAGCATACAACGGTCGGATTTATATGACTAGCACTACTGGTAAATAACGCAGTAGCCTGACAGTCTCCACTGGTGCATCTTCTCCGTCTAATTTTCAAATGAGTTGAAACCAAACCATAGATCTATTTTAAGATGTTATGTTTAAATTGTATTCTATTCAAAATATATCACTGTTAAATTATATATCTGCTTTAAATGGGCTTATTAGCCTTTGCAGATTATTGACATAAACATCTGTTCCATTTCTATCTCTATACATTATAACTACATGTATATAAATACATAGATCAAGAGTAGACTAGCTGAACATGTATAGCTTATTAAGTTTTATATTTTATTGCAGATGTGACATGAGCAAAAAAGATCCAAAATGAACATTAACTATTCTAGTCAGACAAAGTATTAGCCCAAGTCTTATGAACCTAGTCTATTCCTTCCACCAGTACACAGAATATGGCAGAACGAGACAATGAACCAGTCGTGGAATCTACATATTTAATTCACGAGCCATTATATGGACAGGGTATTCTTGCCACGCTTAATAAGTACAGAATCTCAGGGACTTTTACTGACGCAATCATAACAATTGAACATGAGGAATTTCCTTGTCATAGAGGGGTCCTAGCTGCTAGCTCCCCATACTTTATGGCACTATTCTCCAGTGATTTAAAGGAGGGGAAAGAGGCAAGAGTTGTATTCAAAGACATGTCAGCTTGGACTGTCAAGAGACTTATCGAATACGCATACAGTGGTAGTTTAGAAATCACCGTAAACAATGCCCAGGAGATACTGGCAGCAGCTAATCTTCTAGAATTTCCTGTAGTCGTAGATGCATGTTGTAGGTTTCTAGAGACTCAGCTTCATCCAACAAATTGTCTGGGTATTGAAAAATTTGCTCAATTACATTCTTGTGATCATTTAGCGAAAATTGCTCACAAGCAAGCTTTGGAAAATTTTAGCTCTGTCGTGGAGTCTGATGAGTTCCTTAATTTGAGTGTTGACATTCTATCACACTACATATCAAGTGATCATATAGACGTTAGGTATGAAGAGACTGTATATGAAGCAGTCATAAAATGGATCAAGTCAGATATTGATATTCGTGTGAAATATCTTCCTGAACTTCTGCAGCATGTACGCCTTCCAACTGTTGATCTGAAATATCTCGAAGACATTGTGGAGAAGGACTCTCTTATTCAAAGTTCTGTTGAATGCCGAGCATTTGTCCAAGATGCCAAACTCTACCACGAAACAAAAACAGATCAAAGTGGTAAGCGAAGACTGAGTATGCAAAAGACTACTTTACCCAGACCATCCACTGTTGCTAAGGAGTGCATTGTGATTGTTGGTGGTATCGATGTCTACATTCAAACCAGTGTAGAAATGTATGAGCCACATAAAGATAAATGGAGTAAGCTGCCTGATCTCCCCGAAATGGTATCTTGGTATAGTGTGTCATCATTACACAATAACGTTTATGTACTTGGTGGAATCGTTAATGGTCGTATTGTGCCAACTGCCTGGAAGTTTGACTCAGCTAAACGACTCTGGTCAAAAATAATGCCTATGATTACAGCGAGAGCTAAGCATGTTTCGACAAGCATGGACAACAAGATATTTGTGTTAGGAGGGATTAAAGCAGATGATACCACAGATGTCGAAGAAATAGAATGTTATGATTATGCTACCAAGCAGTGGAGTCTAGTCGGTAGATCACCTAGCCCCAGGAAGCAGTCGTGTATTGTGCCCTATAACCAGACACTTATTGAAGTCGGGGGAACTGTTGGATCCAAAACAACCGAGAGTTACGTTTATAATGGCAAAACGTTAGTCTACAGTGGAGAACAATTTGTACTTTCTGAATCTATTCAATTCGCAAAGATTGTGGTTCTTAATTCAGTGTTCTTCATTATATGGGAAGATAGCAAGCAAGTTATTGCAATGGACCCTGTAAAGCGAACATTCCGCCGTCTTGCAGACATGAATTACTCTCATGTTCACAGTGGAATATGTGTAATTGATAACAGGATTTACATAACTGGTGGGCTAATGGACAGTAAACCAAGCCAGGTGATAGAGGTATACGATTCAGAGTTAGATACTTGGACAGTTGTGAAATCTATGTATCTGGCCAGAGCTTGCCATGGATGTGTTAGCATTCAGATGTAATCTCTTCTCTGATTGGTCGACAAAAATTGGTGTGTTCGAGAGTTAAACTACACATAATAGTTTATTAACAGTGAATACACATTGTCATTTCTGGTAGATTAGATTATGTAGAACAATCATAAAGGACCTTAGCTATAAATTGTTCAAAACTGACCGTTTCATACGTCATATGGCAAGTATGTACTCAATTAGTCTCAATCAGTTCTGAGAACAAGTCAGTATTGTGCAAATGTAATATGATGTCACCACCGCAAATGCAACATATTGTTATAAACACCAACTTTTTGTGGACATTGTACATCAGTTGGGGTTCATTCACAGTTTGGTGTCTATAACAAATGGCAGGTGGGGACATTTTGCATGTTTATGCATTGTGTTTCATGTCGGTAGTTTTAATAATCATATTTATTTATTACTTTAATCATTGTAATGATATTGTTTCATGTTTACACCCAGTATTAGTATATTGCAATATAATATTTATTATAAATAGTCATAATATCACATAGATTCTCATTGAAAATAACTGTAAAGACTGTAGATGCTAGATATATTCAAAACAGTCAATTATATCATAAATTGCTTAGAAACTTTGTATCTAGTAGTTTTAAACATTGTTTATTAAATGAGGATTTGTTTAGAAATGTTTTTTGTTGTTGTTGTTATAACATGCTATAAAATCAGGAAAAGTGGACAGATGGAAATTCTGTTAACCGATATGTGTTGAGCAAAATTCATTTATGTGCCTTGAAATGAATGCCCATTGATTTCAAGGAGGATTGGCTCCCATGCCCAGAGTGCAACATCGATATTCTGTCCAATATCTGGGCATGTTGTGATACAAAATTCAAATTCGAACATTCGCCATTCTGTTCACTTAAACATTTGAATCGTGGATTTTGGTCTTATTTCTAATGAAAAATTCCAAAACTCGCAAGAAATGATCGAGATATCGGTTTGAATCTTTTGAACTGTTTATTTTGAATTTATTAGTCAGTTATAATTTCAGATAATAATGACATTTCGACGTTTTTATTGTTTGAAAATATCGAGTTTCGATCCTGGGAGCCAATCCTCCTTGCATGGATTTGAAATGAATAATCGAGGGGAATTTATAGAGGGTATTTATTCTGAGAAAATCAAACATTTTTGTGATATAATGTATTGGTAACTCTTTAATGTTTCTCATCATAATTCCTGTTCTTACAGTACATGAAAGCAGATTCAGTGTGTAGTTCCGGTATGATTCAACCAGGCAAATAGATTTTATGCCATACATATGCATATGCCATGCATATATTGATAATTGACTGTCCTAAGCCATGTAAGCATAACATAGATGTACTTTTTTTACATTTTGTTCTTAAGTTCAGATCATCAGTAGATGTTCTGTAACAGATTAAAACTACTTCAATATACTGGTATCTACATGAATATAAGTATGAACCAATTTTGACAATCTAATTAGAATTGTACATCATAATAAATAAATATTACAGTTTTTGAAATAAATTATTATTTAATACATTTTGTTCAGTTTTTAGGTTTAATATTGGACAATATATGGGCTGCAGTGATCTCCCCGGGATTTTTTCTCAGATGGGACCAAAATTGGTCAAAATATGCCAATTTTTCATGACTTCTCATTTTCAAGTGGGTGCAAATGGATTTTCAGGTGGGTGCAAGCCTATTTTTAAAATCTCAGGTGGGTGCTGCGCCCACTTATTTTAATGCTGGGGAGAACACTGGACTGATATCAGTATTAGAGCATTGAGGTTAACTATGAAACTGCATATGCTCCTCTCCCCTTTCATATATTTTAGTGAGTGATATGTCATTGTGACATCAGAGAGTCGATAAAACTAACATTTGAATATCTGAACTAAGAGGTTTTGGGTTACATCTTCAAAACTGGGCCTAATTTTTCAATCTTTGAAAATGTTAATAATAGAAAAATTGTGGGAAATTTTGATATGATATGGCCTTTGCATGACCTTTACTGTATTTCATTTTCCAATACACGTAGTTTCATTTTTCTTTTCTAAAAGAGAGCTTCATCTACCTGGTAATCAATGTTCTAGGCTCTGGCTCTCAGATTCTTCTTTAGTTCCCTGCACAGGCCCAGGGCCACTAGTTCAAAGATCACCCCCTCCCAATCACTGTATTCTGCTATAGAAGACAGTATTAGAGTTTTCAGTGAGTGGGGGAGGTGAACCTTGAGCTATTGTTCCTGGACCTGTGGTTCCCTGTGCTCTACAAATGGAATTATTTGGAATTATTACACACACTTAAAGATAATCTGCCTGTAAATTATCAGGATTTAGGGTCATGATTTTGGATTTGATCTTGTGTCAATACACTTTAGTAAAGTGAAACTGCACATTTTGAAATGGTAAATCAATACGTGGCTGGTCATGACGCCGAACCAATCAAATTACAGTAGCCATTCATTTCTTGTGTCCCGCCGGAAGTCAAAATTTTGAAAAGAAAATGTGAAAACTCACTCAATATTAGTCTATAATAGCTAATTTAAAGATCTAGAACAATGGATATCGGGTATGGAACACTATTATGTATAACAGTTGTACTTGGGCTAATAATCAGGTTCCTGTACAACTTTGGTAAAGAGATTGGCCTTTCCAAATTGATAACTCGTGAAAACGGGAAAAATCAAAAATCTCGATCAAAATTTGCATCAAGACGAGAGACACTAACAAAGTGGCCAAGCAACTCAACAAAACACAACGTCAGTTCCTTGGATTCTTCTACATCAACAACAACCAGTACTCCTAAATCAAACAAAGTCAGAAGCCGATTTGGGAGTTCCAACTCTACTCTACAAAGTGAATATTCTCTTGCATATACATCTCCATCGGCACTTGGAGCATTATCACCGATACTACCTGCATCTCCTGTTGTACCAGATCAGTCTACTCAACAATCTACAATGTCGCACCAACCTCATACAATGATAACAAGTCCATTTCCTACAAAGTAAGTTAAGGTCTCATGGAAGTTAACAGGAAATGACAAAACAAAAAATGACAAAGCCATGCTGGATTTTGAAAATTTTTTGAACCAAGATAACAGAGTTCTGTTTGGACCTCCAGTCAGTTTAACTAGTTCCACATATCATTTACATGACTGGGAACACAATTGAAATGGTCAGAATGACCATAAACATGAAAGAATAACCTTTTCAGCCCTCTGAAAATGTGACTAAAAAATAGCTAAGAGTCTGTGCTCAGGAAAGGTCACTGAACAGAATCTTTTGACTTTTTCAGAAAATGTGCCCAATATATTGCTCTAAATGATACAATTTAAACAAATTTGATATCATTCTTAGAAAAAGAAAAAATTAAAAAAAACTGAATTGAAAATCGATCTATTTTCCTTTTTACAACAGCCATTATTGTTTCAGACAATATTTTAAATTTCAAAGATTGTGTCATTTAGAGCAATATATTGGACACATTTTCTGAAAAAATCAAAAGATTCTGTTGATTGACCTTTCCTGAGCACCTACTTTTAGCTATTTTTCAGTCACATTTTCAAAGGGCTGAAAAGATTATTTTATCATGTTTATGGTCATTCTGACCATTTCAATTGTTTTTCAACTTTTTCAACTTTTATATTCATTTTATGATATATGTATGAACTTAATCTGTAAAGCAGTATTAGGGCTGAGCCATCTAGTCAGAATTTGTCCAAACTGTAGACTAGTTTGAAATGCCAGTGTTAAAACTCTGGTGGTTATCTAACCATTTTTTGTATCAATGTCAGAATTTGATTAGAATGAATGATAAAGATGTTGTTGAAAGAGAACTGGCCAACTCTTTATAAAATGTCTGATTTTGATTTTTTATGATGTTAACTTCCTTCACTTTTTAAAAATAATATTTATCATTGCTAGGCAGGGAATAAGATAAGTGAATTTAGGTCATACCTGACAGTAAAGTCTTCTATGACAGATTTTATGGGAGTACAGTTTCCTGTATGACTATGTTTCATACTTTTTTGTTTGTCATCGAGATATACCGAATTGAATTAAACAAAATCATGTTGTAAACCTGAAGTTTCCAGCATAAATTGTGTGGAAGTTTTCTGCGCTTCTACTTGATTAAGAATATTGTTAATAACAAAACAATTTGAAAACTATTGGAAATTCTTGGTCATATCAAGGTGATTCCAATTCTGTAGACCACATTTTAATTCTAAATTGCTCCAAACCAGTTCTGCAACAGCCCTAAGCAGTCATTCACATACTGTTCTCTAGGTATTTTTCGCATGCAATTTCATTTCGTGCTTTTCATGATTGTGTTAAAATCACGGAAATTAACCGTCACAAATTTCACCAATTAAAGGCTGAGGTGCAGCATGTCATTGACTAAGATCTAGAAATTGTAAATCTTAACCAAATATGACATTGGGTAGGTGTTATTAATATAGATAGGGTGAATTAGTTTACAGAGCTTGAGGATTCAGAAAACAACGGAATTTAAACTTTTGAAATCCGCGAAATTTAATGGCTGCGAAATAGGCATTTCTCAAAATTCGCGATATTAAAACTTGCGAAATAAACTAGGAGTACAGTATGTTTTGCTTGCTGTATTACAGAAACCCCCTTATTAAAAACTGAGCCACATATGCATTTCTGTGTTAAATTTCAGGTTCTTCGGGAAGTCTGCTATCACATCAACTCCAATGGTAACAAACAACATGCTACAATCAGGCACACATTTGCTTCAACCACCCAACATATTCCAACAAGCAACTTCACAACCTCTTAATGTTGTACCATCTGTTGTTTTGCGTAAGCCATCTAAACATGCTTTGAGCAGTGCAAATTCTAGGATGGTGAGAAGTCCCTCAACTATAAAGATTCCTTCATCATCAGAACATGAAAAATCATCATATTTGATGTCATTGTAAGTAAAGAAAGTATTGCTGCATCAGGCCAAAAATAATTATACATACATATTTTTTATCTTTAACATTTTCACAGATCATTTTACCATTATCTGAATGTGGATTGAACTGCAATAGTAAAGGCAATTGAATAAATAGAAAAATGTTCCAATTTTTATTGGCCCACCCCGTGTGACTTATATTTTAACTAAATAAGCCAGGGCACAGGAAAAGGGGTCTTATCATAAATTTTTTCAATATTTTGATTTTTGTTTATCTTAAAAAGCATATATAGACCTTTTAAAAGAGCCATAAAAAACTATTTGAATTTAGCACATTTTCCTCTTATCTTGGGCACATTTTTATCCCATCGAACGAAGTTCGGAGGGATATAGGGAACGCCTCCGTCCGTCCGTACGTACGTCCGTCCGTACGTACGTACGTCCGTCCGTACGTCCGTCCGTCCGTCCGGGCAATAACTCAAATACCGTTGGCCCTATTTTGTTCATATTTTGTACACATATACCCTATGGGGCTAGAAGTTCTGCTCGAAAGCCGATTTTCAAAATGGCCGCTCATTTCAAAATGGCGGCCATTTTAGTGCCGATTTTACAGTAATTTAGGTGCAATATGTAAAACTGTAATAGCAATATGTTTTAAATGTAAAAAAATTATAAAGGACATTAATAAAGCTACAAATGAAGATATTAAAGAAGCACATGGCAGCCATCTTGAAAAATGGCGGCCTTTACTCGTTATTTACGATTTTTGCTGTAACTCGAAAAGCAGTGGAGCGATTTTGTTCATATTTGGTATGTGAATACTATAAGCATTGGACACTGTCTAAAGACATTTTTGGTAGAAGGCGGCCATTTTGAAAAATGGCCGCCATTTTAACGTATTTTACTATAACTCGAAAAGTAGTGGAGCGATTTTGTTCATATTTGGTATGTGAATACTATAAGCATGGCACACTGTCCTATGACACTTTTGGTAGAAGGCGGCCATTTTGAAAAAAATTTTGAAAAATGGCCGCCATTTTAACGTATTTTACTATAACTTGAAAAGTAGTGGAGCGATTTTGTTCATATTTGGTATGTGAATACTATAAGCATGGCACACTGTCTAATGATACTTTTGGTAGAAAGCATATTATTTCTTCTGATGACAACTTGGCAAATGAGCAACCATTTTGAAAATGGTGGCCTTTCTGGTGTGTTGTTTTATGATATTTGCTATATATTTTGTTTGTAAAAATGTCAGCCATTTCTGTTCGATGGGATTCGCTACGCTTTGGCGTTGCCGTTGTTCTGGTTGGCTCTGTAGCACAATTTTAATTTTTGTGATAAGACCGGTTTTCCTGTGTTGAAGCTCAAATATGTAAATGTTGTTCCTTACAGAGTTCGAAATAAGCCAGAAACAGAAGGTTCTCCCCTGGCCAGGTCTACTGTCATCACAGCTCTCAAAAAAGCAAGGGAAAAGAGGTATGACATACCCTGTTGAATGAATATTTCTTTTTATTATTCTTAGTTGGTCAGCATGATTATAGTGTAAGATGTCAAAGTATCTGCTCTTCTAGTAGACTTGACACTTAGTCTTAAGATAATTATACTGCCAATATAATCAAAACACAATGAAAACTTTTTTAAAAACACATTAGTAGTAAAATATGAATGGGGAATAATACAATGTTTTCATTAAACTAGAAATCCAAGCGATTTTAGTAAGTTTTTACAATTACAAGGAGATCAATTAGCGAGCATTGGCTAATGCCATGTGTTTACGGTTGCCTTTTTACTTGTTTCTAGGAAACATCCCAGCAGTAAAGACCCCAGTGAAAGGACTGCAGATTATGTACAAGAAAATGAAGGCACACAACAGAAAAGAACAAGGTTAGTGAAAATATAAGGTTTAAATGCTCAATGTTATGTCACCACCAAAACATGGTGACATGGCCCACCCTTTTTTCGATATATCTCAATGACCTTATATCAAAAATCAACACCACTGGATATGGCGTTGGCATTGGAGGGACATATATAGGTATTCTAGCATATGCAGATATTATTTTGATCGCCCCATGCTCAGATAATCTACAACAACTACTCAATACATGTATATTAAATGAATGGTGCAAAAAGTGGAGAGTAGAGATTAATAAAGACAAAACCAAAATAATGCATTTCCGCCCAAAAAATGTAAATAGATGTCGGAAACTATTTAAATGTGGTGAAATAACACATGGTAGACGTCTGTAACAAATGTCACATTTTACATGATAATGCTTTGATTCAAGTTGACTTCACTTTTGTACAATGTTTTATACTCTGTGTTCTTATATCGAATGGTGTTTTTGTTGATTATCTCTCACCTTACAGATACAATGTGTATCATCAAACTTGCTACAAATATTTAACACTTCAAGTTTTTCCAATTTTTTTTTAGATGGGAAGACATAGAAACTACTATGGGGAATTACATACCACCTCAGTCCATCAACTACCAAATGTTGACAGACCAAAGTCAATATCCTGTATATGCTCCAACACAAATCGAAAGACGCGTCACTAATCTTAAGCGACCAGCTCTACATAACACATATGAGGACTGTACTATCGAGGAATCTGACCGCAAAAGATGTATAACTGATAACACTATAGATCAACACAGAGGAGGTATCAGGCAGTCCAAGAGGAATCCTATTGCAATATCTCTATCCTCTAGTAACAGAGCCAAGGTTAAACAGGTGATTACTATATACAAATTCTACATGTTCAACACATATTGAAATTACAGATTATTGTAGCGCTATTAACACTCAATATTTACATGGCTTTGTTTCTCTATTTTAAAACACTTATTTTATTACACATTTGTGTGTTCGTGCATTTCTCTGTTTAGCATATAATTACAGATTTGTGCATTCCCGCACTAAAGAAACACATGATAACAGAGTTGTGCATCAACGCATCAAACATATAATTACAGATTTGTTTATATGATGTCTGTATTTGTGAGAATGTGGATTTGTAAAAGAATACTGGATGTTACAAATTGACAGGAAATTATGATTACTGTATATTTAAATATTGGTTTTCTGTTCAAGGTACAAGAAAGAGAGAAAAGAAAACTGAACTCAAGTGTATCAAATAAAAGTGCAACAGAATCGGAGGCTTCAAATAAGAGGACACGTAACACAACAGAAACTCAAATTAGTGGAGAGACACGGCTGAAAGACATCCCCTTTCCAAGGTATGACTTATATGAAACTTGAAAAAATTACTTTTAGTTTTGTCAGTACTACTGCACATTGTCAATGTGCTTTTATTGGAATAATTTGGTAAGAAGGGATTGAATTCTGATTATTTGTGTGATTTAATTAATAAATGCATATTTTTGTATTTAGTGAGGATGTCATTCAAAATGGCCTGGACTTTGACGGAGATGCAGATATGAGTCAATCAGAAAGAGCCTTTGAAGCAGTAAGTGAATTTTATAATATTACCACAACAATGTTATGGTCTCCAACTTTTTTGTGGATGGTGTTTTGGTTCAGCGTCTGTAACAAATGGAAGGTGGTGACATTTTGTATGTTTATGCCTTATTACATTTTATACCAATAACATATGTTCACAGAGTGTTAGTCATGCTATACATATATTTTTCAGAAAAGTTCGAAAATATGCAATGACAAGGAATGCTGGTAGAACTAGAAATACACCAGAATTGTATAGACCATAGCAATTTTTCTCCTCTTCAAATGACTAGTTTACCAAGATATTTTGGCTTAGAAATTAGTTTTTATGTCACCAACAAAAGTGGATCTTCTTTGTTGATGGTTCAGTGGTTGGTGTTCATCATCTATAACAAATGGCAGGTGGTGACATTTTCCATCTTGTCCCAATTTTCTCAGAGTTAGAGGTCTCAATATTTCTAGTAACGTTTCCTTTAATTTCAGGAGCAAAAAACGTTTGATGAAGCATCAAAGATGACTCCTAAGAAGCAATTATTCCCTATAAAGTCTGGATCTTCACAGATGAGGCGGACCCCAATTTATTCATATAACAAAAATACACCAAAGAAAAAATCTGTAAGCCAAAGTTTTGCAAAGTTTAATGACACTCTAATTAAACGTTCAAACATGTTATATTTAAAAGATGTATTGCTTGCCTTTGACTGTATGGTGTACATGTATATAGATATTTAATTGAGCAAGAAAAATATATTTTGAATGAAAAATAAAAATTTTGTGTTTTAGGTAGCGGAAGTTATGAAGATCACAGAGGCTGATTTAGCTAAAGACAGGGAGGCAGAACAAAAGCGTATATCTGATATTGTCTCATTGATTGATGAAAAGCCTAAACAAGATAAAGGTATGAAAATTTTCTGAAATATTTGTAGGACTATTCTGTAAATTGCCTCGTTGAATGCATTTTTAAAACCCATATAACTATCACTATACATATCATCATACATAAGCTTTCCTAAACATCTCACTAGTAGCTCTATTTCAGAAGCTTATCTCTGTTGTTTTGTATACACAGGTCACAGTCCACAATTGAGGCATGGTGAACTTAGAATATAAATTCAAAAGTACATCTTGACCTTAATATGAGATATGTCAAGGAGATAAAAGAATTGTTTCTTTTTATGTGCATGTGAAGTTAATAATTGAAACGTATGCCAGGACACGTGGTACATTTGTAGTCCCCTAATGGTGTGAATAATTATAAAAGTTGAATTAAAAATCAAATACTGCATCATAATCAAAGTTGGAGACTTTACATTAGAATGTTCAATGGATTTTGGTTTATTAGCAGATTTCTGGATGTTGGTACCAGAGTGGTGTAAGCATGTTGATTATTTTCCTAAACTGCATATATTATCGTATAACTTCATAGCAATATGAAATGAAAGAAGCAAATTGATAGGCAATATAGAATGGAATGATAAGATATATTTCTGGTATTTGGGAAATAAGAAGAGATCATGTGAAGCACATTTTGAAAAATAGAATTGGTGGTTGTTCTAAATACAGTGAAACCTGTATATCCAAACACCTCTCTTATTCAAACACCTCTCTTATCCAAACACCTCTCTTATTCAAACACCTCTCAATGTTGAAAAAATTTTCTTGGTCCAGGTTTTTTATCTCCCATTGACTTACATGTTTATAAAACCTTGCAATGTGAACACTGCTTATCTGAACACTTTTGGTCTTAGAGGCATCCATATGTTTTAAGTGTTAAGATGTTCTGGGTGTAATATTCCCAAAACATGTTTCTTGAACAAGAGTTTAGACATATACATTTAAATTGTTTTTCACCTTCAGGTGCTGTTACAACTAGTGTGGCTTCAACTACAGTTGTAACAAAGGAGACTGCATCCACTGTAACGAATTTGAGCACAGCCTCTGGTGCCACCCCTAGTGCTATTGCTACACAAGCTACTTTACCAACTGCTAGTGTTAACCCTTTACTGACTACCAGCACATTGGGCGGATTTAAACTCCCTGGTGCAACGCAATCGTTAGGTGGAATAAAACCTACAGTTGTCACGACATCTACCACAAGTAGTAGTAGCAGTTCATATTCATTTAAGCCGTTATTTCCCTCTGACTCTACTGCAACATCAAGTGCAGTTACTTCTGTTGCATCGAGCTCCTCATCTAATACTGGAGTCGCCTCAGCATTGGCCTCACTGTCTAGCCTAACTAGCTCAACACCATCATCACAGTCAGTAGGATCTGCAACGCTCCCATCATATTCCCAATCACAGGCAGCACCTGCATCAACAGCAGTTACCCTGCCCATTTTATCCAGCCTCATAGGGGCATCCACAGATTCAACCCCAGCCACTAGCTCTTTAGGGACGAGTGGAACATTACAAAACAATTCAGTAGGGTTCAATTTTGGATCATCCCAGTTTGCCCAAAATGCGACCTCATTAGGCTCTGTGAGCTCGACTTCCAGTGGATTATCTTTTGGATCTGGATCAGCAACAAGTGCGGCCAGCAGTCTTGGTGCTTTATCTGGATCAGCTACAAGTGCGGCTAGCAGTCTTGGTGCTTTATCTGGATCAGCTACAAGTGCGGCTAGCAGTCTTGGTGCTTTATCTGGATCAGCTACAAGTGCAGCTAGCAATCTTGGTGCTTTAGGAGGCTTTGCTCCATTATCAACCACAACTAATTCTACAACAGGAACTCTGTCTACTGTAGCATCAACACCAACCACTGGGTTTAACTTTGGATCAAGTGCACCCTCAACCACAAGTAGTTCTTCATCTGGATTGTTTGGATCAACACCTGTATCAAGTAGTTCAGGATTAACATTTGGGGCAGTGTCCTCAACATCAGCACCTTCCAGTTCTTCATCATCTGGATTTAGTTTTGGAACTGGTTCAGTAACTACAACCACCAGTTCATCTACAACAGGTGGGTTTGGTTTTGGAGTAGCCACAGGATTTGGTGCATCGGTAGTCCAAGGTCCACCTCGAACTGGATTTGGAGTGGCAACTGGTTTTTCATTTGGGACTCCAATCAAAAAGAAAGAAGAGGGTCCTGCCACCGCTGCTAGCTATGGTGTCACCCTTGTTAATGACACTCCAAGTACAACAGTATCTGCCTTCGGAGGTAACCCAACTACTACTGCTCCAAGTGGAACATTTGCCTTTGGGGCTGGTGCACCTTCAAGTGGCACTGGAGCCCCAGCAGGAGGATTTGGTCAAAGTACCACAAGTTCATCAAGTTCATTTGGACAATCTAGTAATATGTCAACCGGATTTGGTGCATCTACAAACTTATTTGGGCAAGGAGGCTCATCAAACAGTGGTTTTGGACAAAGTCTTGGAAGTAATGTTCCTTCTAATTCAACATCAACTTTTACATTTGGCACTAGTAAGCCATCAACAGCAACAACAGCATCATTTGCCTTTGGTGGACCCAAGCCCCCAACTACAGCAAGTAGTGGTTTTAGCTTCACAGGAAATGCCCCATCAACTACATCTACTACTTCAGTATTTGGTGGTAGTTCAGCAGTGGCTACAACCACTTCAAGTTCAGCATTCTCGTTTGGTGCAGCAAGTACAGCAAAACCAGCACCAGCATTTGGAGCCACCACAAACTCTGCCGTTCAAAATCAAGGATTTTCATTCGGATCCCCCACCCCTAGTGCCACTTCATCGGCACCATCTGTTTTCGGCAACCAATCGGGATCAACTACCCAAAATGCATTTGGATCTGGAAATCAATTTGGAGCACCATCCACCCAGTTTGGGGTTAGTTCTCAGAGCAGTGCCCCCCAATTAGGAGGCTCGGGTCCAGTTTTTGGGCAGAGCACCGCCCAGTCTTCTGGTTTTTCATTTGGAGCAACCTCTACCCCACAACAAAGTGCAGGAGACACATCTTCAGGATTTAACTTTGGTGAGTACACATATTGTCCTGATAAGAAGTATGTTCTTGTTAATAATATATGCTTTTTAAGATCTCCCAAATATTAATATCTCTTAAAAGATTTGTTCTATATTAAAAGATCTTATCAAATAATGAAGTTATTTAAGTGCAAAAATGGGTAAATTCTTCAGAATAATAAATGTTGAAAAATTACTTAAACAATCTATAGTTTTTCTTGCGGTTAAGGAGCAAAGAATGGAGACTGGGGTTTTTAGAAAATAGACTTGTCAAGGAATGATACTTATGAGCCTCAATTTTTTCTGACATTGAGACAAGTCTTTGTAAAGATTGTGCTGTATATCTTATTTTGCCTAAAATTATGGAACTAATTGAATGTAATGCATGTATGACTGAAATCTGGTGTTACTTTGTCCTGCCCCATTCTGGATACGGTTCGGAGAGATCAATTGTCCCAGTCTATTGTTACATAGCATTTATTACTCATTTTAGGTGCATCAACTAATGCTGCTCCTAGCACATTTAACTTCTCTGCTGGAGGTCCCGCTGCACCTGCCTTTGGAGCCAATCAACCAGCCACATTTGGATCTACTCAACCAGCCACTCAAGGTGCTGGAGGGTTTGGATTTGCAATAGGAACAGGTAAAAAAAATATGGATACATAGTATAATAAGGGGAAGTGTTAACCTGAAGTCAGAGTTACATCACATCGGATTACACATCCTGTGAATACTAGTTTTCAGTAATTCCGTACCATGGACAGAATCCGATTTTACTGTTGAATTCTTTCCTTATTCCAACATGTTTCAGTTTGCTAAAGTGATTGAAAATTCTTTCCAAGAAATTAGAGACTTTCCGCTTTTCCGCTTTTGTTTATTGCAGTATTTGAGATTTTTTGAAAATTTGAGCAGAATTTCCCTTTTCATGCAGAATGATTTTTGATTTTTTTCATACATAAAACTAGTATGTCTGATTTCATTGCAGTGCACATTGTAATTTATACCTGATTAAATCACAGTCAACTAAATAACAGTACAGTGTTCAGAAAAACCTGAATATCAGAACCACATCTGTAATCAGAACATTCGTCAATGTGAGCAATCAGTCTTGATCCCAATTATGTTATCTCTCGTTGATTCATATGTAAAGAAATCTTTAAATGTGAACTCCTAGTAATCTGAACAATCTTGATCAGTCCCAAGGGTATACAGATTAAACATGTCGTACAGTTCAGTAAAACCTGTCAAAGTGGAACACCTTTGGAACCTCTAAAAAAATGTTCCAATTGTGAGGTGTTCCACTTTAGAGTTTTATTTAATGTTAAGTCATTTGGTCTTGGGGCTCTGAAAAGTGTTTCACTTAAAGAGGTGTCCTACCTCTAGAGGTTTTCCTCTTCACAAGTTTCACTGTACATTGCTACTGATCAAATGACCCAAAAAGTAAAAACTTTCAACTCATAAATAAGAGTCTAAAAATAAAATAAGCCTCAGCAACCTCTTACTGACACTATTGCTGTAGTATGGTTCAATTTTTTTTCCAAAAATATTGAATTGCGAAAATTGCTTACCTTAATTCCTACCAAGCAAAGTTACAAATAGTTTTCATCTTAAAAATTTGATTTGATTTTGCGGATAAAATAACAGTATACATTACAGTCCACATACAACTGCAACCTCATTTGTTGTTGAACTGAAGGATTATTCAGTAAAATGCCCATTAGTACAAAAACAGGTGGTGTTCTAGATGAGACTATGGTATGTGTTAAACAATATTTCCTTTTTGTGATTCAGATAATAAAGCGGGAAGAGCCACCCCTACCCATAGAGCAAGGAGGAAGGGGACACGGAGGTGATAGCTGACGAGTGAAATTGTTGTTTCAACGAAAAGCTTCAAAAGTACTTGACACTATTCCTATATTGTGACAGTGACAAGTATAGCCTGTGTGGAACAATAAATATGGTGAAATACAGCATAGCCAATCTGCTTCTACAGATGGCTACGAATTGAAGATATAGAACACTGTGATTGGTTGAACACTGATATTTGCAGTTAATTATCCATGAGGTAGATGTCATGGTGATCAGTTTTAAATTGAAAATAGTGTGGAAAGCATTGAAGCTTGAATAAGGATAAATAAGTATGAACAAGGATAAATTAAAAATCTACCATGCAGTGTTTATTCATCCTTCAAGATCGGTCCTTCACTGCTTTCATAGCAGATCATGTAATGCAATGAATTACTCTTGGGCCAAGGATGTGTTTATTAGATTGTATATAAATGCCAAAAATCAGGTGACCCATATCATTTACTCCCTTGGAGGGAATGAAGTGGAAAAGGCATGGCGTGAAAGGCATATTATAGCCATAAGATAGATATGAGTCTATTATATCATTAACACATTGTCCGGTGAATATAGGTTACTTGAGTCTCTAGCCAATAACTTAGCTAGAAATCATCTCATGTGGTATATCATGTACTGAGGAAAAGTTTGATTCAGAGACAGATTATTTTAAGAATATTTGTGAGAATACTCTCTGTACAAAAATTGAAATTGAAACAAACAATATCCTACATGAGATATAGCATGATACCATTATTAAAATCAATGGGACTGCTATTCTTAAATCTCCCAAAATTTTCGACTTTATTTTGCTGTAGCAAAAAAACAAACAATAGACTCCTATGCTCGGAGAAATAGGTACTGAAAAAATGTATTGATATATCTGTACTGATGTCATCAGTACAGAGAACAAGACATGTCATACTCAAACTAGTCTTGCATTATGCCGTTGTGATCCCCCTCCCCACTTACCTCTGAAGGTGAAATAGAAATAGACAAGAGGGACTGTGACCTGATACAAGATTTACGTCATCCAATTTTTCAGCATCTACTTATGATTGTGGATTTCAAGTGACCTTTGAATGTTTGTCAAATCAGTGTCCCATTTTTGCACTCTTGTTCAAAAATGGGCAAAAGTCAAATTGTCAAAATTTAGAAAAAATTTAAATTCTGACTTCCTAAAGGCAAGAGAAATGGTTTGGCCAAGGAGGTTTTGAAAGGAACAGATAAAAACATTTAATTTGAAGGTAACACCTTGATCATGATGTCAGACATTAGATTTATTAAGTCTAAGCATGAGTTCAAAGTTTATTTCATTTGATTCCAATAAGCAATGCATAATGGTGTATTGCCAGAAATCTTTTTAAAAAGTAAGTAATCAACAATCAACAATCAAAAGTAGTAATCAACAATCATACACAGTTAATTTCATGAAGGATACTAGCTATTTTCAGACTTCAGAGAGAAAATGTAAATATGCTTCATATATTTATCAACTTTTCAACATTATGAGGAGACTGAAGATGTAATGTACATTGCTTTGTATGAATGTATTTTAACAATTTGAATAAAACAAATCATGTGTACTCTAAGATATAAACATATAGTATGTTTCTGAGCTTAAAAGGCCTACCCTCGACTACTTGAAGAATCACTCTGAGGATACTGTATTTGTGTTTTCTTTGGTGGGCATTTGGAAAAATTAGCAATTTTAAGAAAAATCACAAAATTAATCTGATTGTCTTTCCAAGGATCCTATTTAGGTAATTTTACATCTTGCAAAAACACCAAATTAAATAGACGTCAATGTGTCGAAAATGCAAAAAGGTTAAATTGTAGTACATGTAGCTCCGAAATGAAGAATACAGTATATTGAGTGATATTTGAACAAGGAACACAATACAACCCCCTCTCAAAAGCATACTCTGACTTACGCTACACTTTAGTACTATAATGGCTTTGGAGAGTATCATCAGATGGTGTAATTATACTCATTGGGTAATCATGAACATATTGGTATAGTCTTCAATTTTTTGTGGACGATATTTGGTGTTCAGCGATCAGTATCTGTAACAAATGGCAGGTGGTGATAGTTTGCATGTCTTGCTGGATGCCATGCCTTGTTTCAAAATAGGTATGGCATGGAATGATGACAGTGTGGGATTTTGGTTTTTCCTCAGGATTCAGAGATAAACCTATCCCCATGTAAAGAGAACCCTTTACATGTAAAAAGAACCCTTTACAAGTTAATCTTTACTTCAATAGGTTCATCTACAATTCTGGGATGTGTCCTCATCTTGTAAAATTGTGACAATATTTCCAGAACTTCTTATTCCTTTAAATGGCATTTTAATGGTCACCAATTGACAACACATATGTATTTGATTTAATTGTTTTAGAAAACAATTTTTGTTTTTCATTGCACATTGTTTTCATAGTAACATAATATCTAAAAAAAAAAGATAAAATAAATATCCTCAAAAATAGTAAAAATTAAATTATACATTTTATTTTATTAATAAGATAATTATTATTTTAATTGAATCAAACTTTCCTTTGTACATGTATAATTAAAACATTGAGAGACTAGATATGTTGTGTATATGTTGTTTTGTTCCAACGAAGTTTTGATAGATGTTTCATTCATTCCAAACACATGGTACCAAGAATAAAATACAAAACAATATACAAAAAGTAGATATACACATTTTCAAATTAACTTGTTACGATTCAAAAGATGACCATTTCAATACATTGATGGTGTGCACATTTTTCAGAATTTGTTGACTGATTTAAGAGAAAAAATGTGTTCAGTTTAGTTCACCATAATGCTACCAATCCCTTGATCTTGTCCTTCTCTGAATTATAGTGTTAACCTTCATGACTCCTGATCAAGAATATGATTTCAAATGCATAATTGGTGGATCATGGTTTCATTGGTGAAAGAGTGTTGATTTTTATTGAACCCTATTGTGATTATTTAATATTCAAGTGAAAGATGAATCAACATTATGAAAGGTTAGGTAAAGGATCAGACCATAATTAACTTCGTTTTTCCATGACTGTTGATAATTGGACATCATCACTTAACATATATGGTTTTGAGTTTATTGTGTCTCTTCCCACAAGCCTGCAACATGCTGCCATCTATATCACACCGGAATAGCCTGATAAGGGTAAAGTCAGATACCGTTGTCACAAATGGCGGACATAACCGTCGCTTCAACTCTTTAATCACTTGGTCCTCATTTCGTGGGCTTTTATCGTCGCTAATTCTGTGCTTGTATTAAGCTCTTTTGATGATGTATCATATGAAATCCCAATTTCGATCAAATTCGGTCGTTAATCGCCACAATATAGCATCTTTGATATCATCAATGACAACAGAATCTGAATTTGAAATAATATTAACTGTACAATGAGTATAAAGACACTTGATTGTTGTTCCAAAAGAATTTAGTCTAAGTGCTCTATTAAACATACAGTTCATGAAAATCTAATTGAAGCGACGATTATGTCCGCCATTTGTGACAACGGTATCTGACTCTACCGTTGTCAGGCTATTCCGGTGTGTATATACAAATGCACCTGAAATGCATACTGATGTCTGAGGGTAACAGTTTTGTGTTTGTACAATTTTTCAAAAACTATCTCTGAGATCTAAGGGGATAAAAGTGGGTTTTATGAGATGGAGGTTTAGTAATTTTTCAATGTTGCATTGTGTAAATTGTTGATTTTTTTTATAATTGGATATGCCGATAATAAATCTGCCAGCAAAGAATGATTTGCATATAAGTATGTCCACGGGGGATAAGCAAAACGAGGGCGAAGCCACGGACTGCGACTCGCGTAACTTTACACCGCAGCCCAGCGCCAAAATGGAGGGACATCCGGCAGTGCCTTCTGCTTCTTCCGACAAAATAGAGAAATCCAGGTATTTTAAATGCTATCGTAGTGTCTAATCGGTGACCAAAATATTACTCTGTATCTACTGTTGGTCTGTAGATAAGAAAATAAGCAGTTGTCCAGATCAAGCTAAAACAGTAGCAAAGTTTTGATTTTACCTGTAAAATATGTGCATATTATTTAATTTACTATACATTTGAAAGGAGTTTTAACACGTTTCTGATATCTAAAGGTTAGTTGAGGCTCCGAGTATAATTCGTGAAAATGATTTGATAATAGAATGTGTTCATGAGGAGAAAATTAGATTCAAACTGCGCATTCATAGTGGACGCAGTCCAGTAAACAAAGCTATTTCAACAACGCAACACAGCCTCCATTGATATTCTAAGCAACGCAGTCCAGCCGCGAACACGAAATAAATAAGATAGTGTAAACTATATTCCTACGCTATTATTGTTTCAGGAAAAGAAAGTCAGCATCCAGATTATCATTCAAAGTTACGTTGATTAACATATATCTATTACCTGAATCAATGTCCCAAATTGCTATATTGTATCGTTTAAGACCTAGAAATATGGCAATTCAATAGCGTATTTGGCAGAACAGTCGAGCGCAAGATGACAACGTAATATGTTTATTACAAACCAATTTGTGAATAGGGTTAAATATATAGATAATTGGATAGTGGTGAGACTTTTTATAAGAAGTAGAAATGCGAAACAATTAACTTTTTGATGATGCCATAAAAGCTGTTGGGGAAGGGTACATTAACTAGTATTTAAGATATCAGGAAAATATCAAATAATTGGAGAGTTGGTGAGTAAATGTAATTTTGGATGATCTTTCCAGCAGTCCATCAATATTGCTAGCTACCATAAATTCATGATTTCAGCTGTATTTGACAGCTTGTATATATTTGCAGAATGGATTGAGACACGATGTAGGTCTATTAACCTCTTGAATACCCAGAGTGACGGATATATCCGTCACAAATGAAATAAGACTGGTGCCCAGAGGGACGAGAAAATCCGTCACAAAATTTTTCACAAAAATTGCTCTCATTTGAACAATTTTCATCCAATTTACACAAAAATTGTTTTAAAACGTGTAGAAATGATCTCCAATTTTACTAAGCTGAGCATCTAAAGTTGTATAGGTATGTAATAAAATGTCAAAAGGTGGCAAAAAACGAAAAATTCTCTGGTTTCATGACAATTTTAGAGCCTGGGATTCAAGAGGTTAAAATAGCCCGTTATATTCAATTTTGTCCAATGTTGCTCCATTTTGGCCACACCTGTACACACATTGTGCTATCTACCTTTGGCTGTGATTGCGTTCAGCTTCAGATATAAAACAACACTGAGTCGCGGACTGCGTTGGGCAGATGGATGGACTGCGACTATTATAAATTCCAATTTTCTATGTAATTGTACGTTTTCCGCTTACCAAATATCACACGAAGATGTAATTGTAACAACAGAACATGAATAATTATATTAATTCGATGACATTTCTGATTCCTTTGTTTAAATCGGTATATTAGGGACAAATATTGACAAAATTACATTTTTTGTGGCAGATTTCGAATTCATTTGTGTTCAGGCTGAACTATTGGACAGCCGAGCACCAAGAATGCCATTGCAGGTGGAGTATGAATATGTTGATCACCGACTGGAACATACTAGCTATTCTGTAGAATATCCAAACCAATAATCTACCCCAAATCCTAACATGCCTTCCAAATTAAGTTTGCACTTACCGCCATTGTTCAGCTATAATGCGTTGTAACCTCGTTTTGAATTACGCGAGTCGCAGTCCGTGGCTTCGCCCTCGTTTTGCTTATCCCCCGTGATGTCTTTAAACGTATCAACGAGTTAGTGTATACGTCATTGAACATGGGATGAGTAAATCCTAGATTACTATTATTATTAATCTGTATTCTGGATATCTCAGAACAACCTCTGTCTTCAATGCCCCCACCCATTTTGCACCCTTCTATGTCATTCCTGATATTCCATTATACTCCTTGAACAATCATGTAATTCACTTGAGTTACAAGATACAGGACAAATAAAATCCAAAATGGGGCTCCCGAAGGGTGAATTAAAATAGAAATATAACTTTTTCGATTTTTATGAAATATATCATGATGAATGGTATAAACATTTTGGAGGATAAACTATAGAGAGGGAATGACTTTCCTTGAAAAAATAATCCAAAATTAATGTTCAATACTGAGATAACATTTTTTAAAAATACATATATGACTAAGTTAAAGGTTTTGTAATTCAGTTTTGGCTCATGAAAAGTGGCCTATAACTCAGTGTTACGCGGTATATGGCATACATTCATGGTTGCGCAGTATTTGTGATACGGGTGAATATGCCATACTCCGCAGGTGAGTATGAGATATTCCGCAGTGAATATGCGATACTCACCTGCGGAATATGTCATACTCACTTGCGGAATATGCCATATACCGCAGGTGAATATGACATATACCGCAGGTGAAAATGTGATACAAAAAGCCTTGATTTGATTGGTTGCGAGAATCGACTCTAAATGTAAAACTACGCTGGATAACCAATATAGTTAGTTCATCGAGTACTAATATATGAATCCTGGATTGGTTGAGTAAGTTTATTACTTGAGATTGGTGACTGATACTTCTGCTAAGTTAATAAATTCGATAGACAGTTCTGTTGATTCAGTAATCATTATAATAACTTATATCGTTTTACATGTTCGTTCAATCTATGCAATTGACAATTGCGTACTTCCGTATCACATTCTCATTGTGTATGCCATATACCGCAGGTGAATCTGTCATACACCGCAAGTGAATATGCCATATTCGTTGCGGAATATGACATATTCGTTGCGGAATATGACATATTTTTGTATCGTGTTTACCACGTAACATAAATGACCATGAGAGATACTATGTCCAAAATTCCCTATGGGTGTTGGATTTTGCAAAAAACATTTATTAATGTGCCATATCAAGGTAGCTGTAACTTCATTTAACCTTATAGATAAATGAGACCAATTGTTGATAACTTTTATTGAAGTTTTCCATTGATGTATTGACTGAGTATATACTAGCATACTCTACTTTCGGCCACTATACATGTACCCCTCATGCCATTGATCATGTGACTGATATGATACAGTACAGTAAACAGAGGGTCTTAAGACCAGTTGGGTTGAATAATCTGGCTTTTATGTCACCATGACAAATGGTGACTTTTTGCTACAGTGTTCCAACTTTTTTTTGTGGTGACACTTGGTGTTCGGTGGTTGGTGTTCGGCATCTGTAATATATGGCAGGTGGTGGCATTTTGCATGTTAATGCATTGTCTAAAATTCCAATTCAGATATATACATGAAAAATATACTAAGACTACACCTTTATGCAAACAGCATCAACCAGACATAAACCCACTCTATACAATGTTCTGATAAAGCAATGATGCGTAATTGAAGTTGCACTTCTTCATTCTAGTCTCCAGGAGGGGAAGGCCTGGTGGTCTGCCCCCTTGGGTGGGCCCAGAAAAAAAATTGGGCTTTAAAAAAATTTTGGGTGAAAAAGGCCTTAAGGCCCCAAAAAGTGGGCATTTTTTGGTCATTACTGGGCCTTTTAAGCCCTTATTTTTTAATTTCAGGTCAAAATTTCAAAATATGGGCCCACTTTTGGGTGTTAAGGGCCCAACATTTTTTCTCCAACCTGAAATTTGCGCCCCCTCCCCCCTTGTTGGCTCCCAGATCCGCCTCTGCCTTGGAATTTTGTAAGAAACTGGATAAACTTCAATAAAACAAGGTACCAGTGAAGAATGCCTCTGAACGAAAGGCCTATGCGCAGAAAATATAAAAATAAAGAAATAAGCATGTCGTGTTTATCATTTGGGAGCCCCATCCTGCATTTTATAACATTCATCTAACTACTAACTACTATAAAGTAACTACTATAATTTATTATCAGGCTACTAATCATACTATAGCCCCACTCAGCCCACCCCCTCTGACTAATTATCCCCAAAAAACTTAACATTGCCTATTATATCAATATGAAATTGCATGCAGGTGTCTCTGCTGACTGCTCTTTGATCCTACTGTTTATGCAAATCAGGTGTTTAGGCTGACAATAGAGGGAGGTCTGAGTAAACAAATAGACCGAAGTTTCCTTATTGCATTTACATGATTTTCTACCACTAATATACCATATAAATCTATGCTGTAAAAAGCAGAATTAATGGCAGTATGTCATCTGTAATATGGTATAAGTTTTGTTGTTCTGGGATGATTGGAAGGGGGTGAATTTGAAAGAAAAACATTCGAGTACTTTGTTTGGTATCAGTGATGACGTCACGAGATCGAGGAACCACATGCGACCTCGAAACCTCCATGAGAACTATCTTATAATTGTACTTCTCTCAAAGTTTAGATACGCTAGCTATTTTGTAGTGATCACTGTATAGGATTCATGATTTGGATATCCGAATAATAGCGTGGTTCAGCTGAGGAATCATTGTAAAAGGGTAAGTAGATTGACCGATGTTTTCATGCCGATTCATTCAGAAATTATTGAATTTGTTTTATGTTGTTCGTTTTATACTTTGTCTAAATCCTATGAATTTTATATTTCCTGATATCTCCCTTCTTCGTAGACCAAATTCTTTCAAATTTCGTCAGGTTCATATTGATATCATATACCATCGAACGAAGGGAAGTTTTAGCAACATTATAGTGTAAAAATTGAGTTGTTTTGATTAGGTAAAGCCGTGATTTTATCGAGTTGAATTTGTCTAATTTCGCTGATGATCCTGCGTGAAAGGCAATATTATTGACCATAATTTTCTCTGAACAACAGCCATGTTCACATCCGACATTTTACATGATACTAAGCTGGCGTTATAGCTTTCAAGACGGCTGCTCATCATCTAAAGAAGTTTGCACGATTTTAGAAGACATTTCATGTAACATTGGAGTTCTCACCTGAGACATTGAATTGTCATTTGTCAGGTATTTCAAAGGTGAATTTGGAATTGGAATCTTGGATGAATATTGGTTTATAACAAAGGAATCAGTTTCATTCTTGGCTTGTCTTTGGAGTAAGTATTAGTTTTTGGAATATTTCTATTGGGTTAGTGATGCATTATTTCATGTTCTGTGAGTACATTTTGTTTATGTGCTAAATGTACTTGCTGTACAGCTACTGTACATGTACTTTGAAGATTTGAACATGTATCAAGGAAAATGAAATAAAATGTTAATGCACTTTTGGTGTTTTGAAATATATCTAGGCCGTACTTTATAGAAATACGATAAGCATATATGATAATATATTATCTCTTATTATGTTTTCATTTTTAATTAATCAGAACATAATATGAATGTAAAGGACAGCAATTGTAAGGTTATATTGTTTTACCTCTCGATCTAAACACAAAGTAAATCTGTTTCTGCTTTCATATTTCGATACTCATGTTTTTATACAATTCATAATTTACAATGTAATGTTTTTATCCCGTTTTTATTGATTGTATATTATTATTTATTATAAATTTCGAATTATATATGGTTCTATTGGCATTTTACTACTGCTTAGAAGTGTTATGCTTTGACTTCATATTACCTTATCCTTTGCAAGATATATTTAAATTAGATGATACATGTATACTAACATTTATAACGCATATGTAACTAGCACTTTATTTGTAACGTATGCATTATCAGTTTTCAGTAGCTCGTTAAATAATGGTTTTCTGTTATTGGAGTCACTTTGGTACGAACAGTATTCACTTCATATAGGGGCACTGTGTATCCCCAACTGCTTTTGTCTTTCTCAGTAATATACAGCAAACATACTTTGTTTAAAAAACTGTTTGATTCAAATTTCAACTGCACATGTTTAGCCACACCTGCCGTAGTGTATCAATATGTATAAACACTGATGGCATATTATGCAAATTAACATTTTCGCTTTTAATGTATTTGAAAATACAATGTCAGCTTGATTTTAATTTTAAATCAGTGGCGTCATTGTGAAATGAGCCGGAGATCAAGTTGAAAACAACTACTTATTGTATACCACTCACACATTTTGTATTCATGATTTTACAAGCATTGCAAAGAAATGGTAATAGATATATAATACACAACTCACTTACTGTCAATAGTCTTGCAACAGATAATGGCAAATGTAAACCAAACATGATTATTCGGAATTGAATTTGTTAATGAATATAAGTTATGTGACACTTTTATATAAATCAGTATTTATGCATCTTGCATAATGGAAAATGACAGCCATTATCATCGGCTATCCATATGGTCCTAGGGGCATCACATTCTCCAGCTTCAGTTTACAGAATCAATTCTTGTTTGCTTATGATATTCTTGCTGAGTTCTGAACATAGCATTATAGACACACTTGGGTATCATTAAGTCAGCGTTTATATATATGGAAACCTTGAAAGCTTATTAAATGGCTTGGCATAGTGCAGCATATTATAACTGTATCGTTTCACTTCTTCATGGTATGCTAAGAAATAACTCTTGTAACTAAAGGAAATGTAAGACTCTTGTCTGTAATTATGCCAAAGTGGAGCTCATATTTTTAGTGTATGATATATTCGCCATGTTGCTTCTTATCATTCACAGGAGCGAAACACATGGCCTCTTACTCTTAAACTTCAATGAACTCTAAACCAGTTTCTCATTCTTGGAAACTTACATTTTTGGTTTTTGTAACTTATGTACTACATGTACTACAGTACCATATTTCTAGTTCTATATTCAGACCCTTTATGAATGTCCCTTATGGCTCTATGATATTATTGGGCTAGATTGACTAGATCAGATGGTCCTGTGAAATATCAGGTCAAAAGTTGACATAAAGGAAAGAAATAAAATTATTCTTTGTCACACTGTTCATTATAGCCAAATAAGGAATTGGTTAATTGTCCAGGACATTTCAGCATTTCATAGGGCATTTATAGTCATTTGTGTTTGACTTTAACAATAGAAATTATAGGCAGATTTATTTTTGTTAAATCCCATTAAGCTCTTATTTCATTCATGTCTTGGTTTAACATTGGTAGATGCATTAAACTGGTTAAAGGGATAAATCTGTTCAGTTCGGGAGTAAATATCTAAGTAAGAGAACAGTATTGATATTTAACCCAAATGTATATGCACCTGTATACCTTACTGCTTGCAAGCTACTTCAGACACCTTACAAAAAGGTCACAAAAGATTTTGTTTAATATGGTAGACATTTCGTTTTGAAATAACTGTTTAACTGTCATGATTAAAAAAGTTTCAAAACTTGTTTTTAAAAAGTTGAGATTTGATATGCTAACCTTAAACCCACTCTCCAATGTTTAGTAGCTTAAGATTTGCCTAGCACTGTGTCAAGATAAAAACTCTAGATGCATATTGTATTTATTTAGAATAAGTAAGTGAATTACAGGATATGATTATAAAATCTGTATGTTTTATACTGAACTGCTTGTATGCATTACAATAAACATTTTACATCATATCAAACCTTTTACATCATATTAACATGAAATGGTAATAAATAGGGATGGGACGGTTCGTTTCGGTTCGGTTCGGTTCGGTTTTTCGGATCATCAGCCGTCGGTTCGGTTTTTTCGGTTCGGTTCATTCATTTTAAGGATTTGTATTGATTGACATGATTTGTATCAATTATGCCACGTTATAACAATATTTTATAGATGGAATTTTATGTTATAGTATTTCATGAACAATACATATTATTTAGAATACACGACTAAAGAATATAGTACCAGCAGGGACCACATGATTGATTACCGAGGGATACGAATATGCGGATACGAAACGAATCTAGTAAACGAGTGAGTTAGCAACAGACAAGACAGACAAGGTAGAGACTAGGAATATCAAAAATGTTGCTGTAAAACAGTGTTTTTAACTGTTTTATTGATACTTGACCAATGAAATATTAATCCGAAAACGATCCGAAAAGCTGATCCGAAAGTAGGGCTGTGATCCGAAAACCGATCCGAAGGCTATGAACCGCGGTTTTTCGGTATTTCGGTTAACCGTCCCACCCCTAGTAATAAAACAGATTCCTCTCTGGGCTATGATAACACACTCTGTACTCAAAATCAGACCTGACCATATTTTCATTTATTTTTTATCAAATCAAAATCTAAGATGTCATACAGTATAGTAACACAATAACGATTTTGATGAAGATCTAGTTTGTTCTAAGAACATAGATTTATTTATTAATTATTACTTTTTAAGTTGATGGCATTTGATTTAAGGTCATAGGTCATTTTCTAAGCTAAATAATGTTTTGTTGTTTTGTTTGTAATGTTACCAGGGATTTTGATATTTTTTAAATGAGTAGTTGAAAGTGAAAAAGTTGATCAATGTTATATGATCGTGAAATTATTTGAATATAATGATGATTTCAAATAGGTGGTGCTAATCTAAGCTAAGTGGTGCCAATTATATCAGAGTGGTAGTACAATAGTATCACCACTTAATATTGTCTCGTATTATGGAAAATACCATAACTTGCTATCTTATGATGATAATGTTATTTTTAACAATGACTGGATCAGAATGATCTTTGTATTGATTTGACTTTTAAACATGTTGATTCAATATCTCGATACCAGTGGCAATTTAGGTTGAAGTTATACTTGCTAAATGATTCATTGCCAGCTTTTTTTGTTTTAAGGAAGCTATTAGTTCATCTGTTTTATTTCTTATTCGTGGCATAATTCAGCTTATTTACAGCACAAATATTTTTGCTTTTCTCGTTTTAACTACATATTATGACTGACTATTCTTTGACTTATTAAGTCCTCCCACTCTGAATTGTAAAATTTAAACCATTCTTATAGATTTTTATACAATTGATAAACCTATTATAGAAAGAGAAGTAGAAGTAGGATAAATCATGACACTTTAAAAGAGTATTTTTTAGAGTACATGTATGTTTGTTTTCCATCTTTAAAAAGAGCTTTTGTGGTAACATGCTGCAGTTAGGCTCTTGTTACCATAAGTATCACAGTTTAATACATGTAGATGAATCTCTCTTTTAAGAAGCTTATTAAAGCAACTGAACTATATATATTGGAAGGGTGCTCATTGACTTCATGCTATAGTAATATTGTTATATCTTTCATCTTCAGAGGTGGCCTAAAGCATTATACTATCATATTTCGAAACATCACAAAATTAAAGTATGTAAACATGTTTGTCAAATAATAAAATGGTACCATTGGAAAGAGAAATTCAAAAGTGAAGCAATTTAATCCAGAAGGGCCTTAAATAACAACACAGTATTATATGTATACTATGTCATTTGTTTTTCAGCACTGGTTTGTAAAGTGACCGCCTAACATGGACAAGGGGGACCACCCCCCTACCAGCCCCACCCATGGTTCCCATGGTTACTTTGACCCTGCAAACCTTCTGGGTAAGTGAATTTCTTCTTTCTTGTACATTTTCTTGATTATTGTTTCAATTATGGTGATTTATAATATACCTATTGAGCAGTGTGAGTAATGAATTCGCAAGTACTTAGACAAAGAATCACCTCAGCTAGTACTTAATGATCAGTTGCAAATGTTGTAAGATAATTGTCTGAAATAATATATGAATTGATATGCTATGATATTATGGCCAGATAGTAGTGTCATAAACATAAAATCAGTTTCCTACAACTTGAAGTAAATTACATTCTTAATATAATTCTGTCCAGGCCACTAAGATGAAAGATCATAACAGGCATCTTCAGATTTACATTGATTAAATCCCAGATCTCATGTGTTAAATCTCAGATCACATGAATTTAATTTCAGTTCACATGAATCAAGTCCCAGATTACATGAATCAAATCTCAAATCACATATATCAAATCCCAGATCATACTGATCAATAAAATACATGATCATTGTAATATTAGGATATTCGAGATAAAATCTTCTGGTTTCAAATTCATTAGTCCAAATATTCAAATGAAATCATGAATTCTTCTTTATTGTCTAAGAATTGTAGCATTAGATTTTTAAAAGTATCTCTTTGATTTCAAAAGCTTATTCAGTTTTATTTTATATCAGTTTTTGCATGATGTTTGTCAGTTTCCTTTATATTAATTTGAAATTGATTTTTACATCTGCTCATCTGCTGTCTCATTCTATTCCTCGTTGTAATATAGATCTTCATGTTAAACTACTGTTTGAAATCATAACCCAAGCATCACTATATATCTATTCAATACAAATTGTTTTCTTCAAGCATCACCATATATCTATTCAATACAAATTGTTTTCTTCAAGCATCACCATATATCTATTCAATATAAATTGTTTTCTTCAAGCATCACCATATATCTATTCAATACATATTGTTTTCTTCAAGCATCACCATATATCTATTCAATACATATTGTTTTCTTCAAGCATCACCATATATCTATTCAATACAAATTGTTTTCTTCAAGCATCACCATATATCTATTCAATACAAATTGTTTTCTTCAAGCATCACCATATATCTATTCAATACAAATTGTTTTCTTCAAGCATCACCATATATCTATTCAATACAAATTGTTTTCTTCAAGCATCACCATATATCTATTCAATCCAAATTGTTTTCTTCAAGCATCACCATATATCTATTCAATCCAAATTGTTTTCTTCAAGCATCACCATATATCTATTCAATACATATTGTTTTCTTCCTTATTATAGCACCACCACAAGTGGTGACATATTGTTATAGTCTCTTTTTGTGAACAGTTTTCGGCATTTGGTGTTTGGCAGTCACCGTTCAGCAATTGATGTTTGTAACAAATATCAGGTGGGGTCATTTTGCATGTTAATGCCTTCTAATATATATTTTTATTGACTTATTGTATCAGTACATGATTATATCAATCACATATCCATTATTGAGATTTATATATTTAAGTCATCAATCGCAATATTGGAATAAAAGGTCGGCCATCAGAAACATACTATGCATTAAAAATGAGTAAAATCCTTTATAAGATACAACATTATAAAATTAGTGCCTTTGCCTTCATCAATCCGTATCATGCTATCTTGATTAAAGCGCAGAATGAGGTGCTTATAAATCATGGTATTATGACGATTCACTTCTTATTGTTTATAGCTCTCAATACTTCAGTAAAAATCCTGGTTTATAAAGTGAATCAATATACACGAAGGGATACTCTATGTCTACTTCCTATTACCTCTCAGTTAAAGATATTCTCATTTCAACTAGGCTCTGCTTAACTATGGGTTCAATCATATTACAGATATATGCAGAGATAGAACATTTACAGGGACACAAGGAGGGTGATTAACAATGGGGTCTGAAAAGACTACACTGAAATCTTGGACTTTTTTTAATATTGTGCCTAATTTATGAAAATATGTGGATTTGAAAAGATAAGGCCTTCTTCCCATATTTTTTTTAAAATGAGGCCAAAATAGGACCCTAGGGCCAGATCGAGATCTTTTTTAGTGTTATAGTAAAGATAAATGATAAATATGAATAATGTCAATAAGAATTGTTAACTTTTTAATTTTATCAAGAACTTCAATTATTTTTTTAATGTTTAATTAATAACTACCTAAAGTTAGAATGACATACAGATACTTAAAACTGCTGTTTTGCATTGTGTATATGTTATAACAGTTTACACATCATTATTAGGTTAACAGATACATAGCTCATAATTAGTAATGCAATCTGGAAGTAGCAGATAAAGTTTGAACACTTCCACTTATGTATATAGTGTATATTGAACGGATACAATCAAACTGTCGTCATATTGTTGAAATAATAGTCATTTCTTAATAAGGAAGTGATTTGCAGTCTGTTTTAATTATATTTGATCCTGTAACAAGAAGAAATGCTGTCAAGCTACATGGCCGCAGGTAGAGAGTTTCGTTAAGTTTACAGGTTAACAATTTCCTATCCAGAGGTCGACAATTCCCCCAATCAACAGTCAGGAACATACAAGAGGTTAAGAAGTGCCAAATGGGAATTGCATATGAGAAAAATATAAATTGTTAGCTATTGAACAATGATAAGTGGAAGAGTTCCATGGCATGTGTAGCTACTAGCTAGCTATTACAAGTTGCTCCCTGTAGGTAAAAATCCATGTTTCAAAGGCTGTAAGATTTACTGATAAAGATGGTTAATATATGCAGTAGGTTTTGCTGGAAGACCTTACTTGAATGTATTAATAACACCAAGTTTATTTGATTGATTCCCCAGTTGTGCAGGGAAAGCTCTGGAAAAAGATATAGATTTTCTCTTGTGGTCTTTGTGATGGGATATTAGCTAGAGTCTGTGTAGGTTTATCTTAGCAAGGAGAAATGTAGTTACTTCCTTACAGTTATAGTAATCTGCTAGATCCGCAATGCTTCACATGTTTCATTCCATGTTAATTAGCCAATTCTCTTTCGATCTTAAGGTTAATCTACATGGCGAAAATTTCATTGTAATTTTCATGATTATAATTACAAATGATGAATGAAACAGGTGATATTTTTCGCATTTTTATGTGGAAAGTTACACACTGCTAGATTATATTGTTCAAAATCAAAATATTTCGATTAAAACGTTCAAATGGCATTTCCTGAAAATATGTTATGAAAGTGCGAAACTACCTTAAAGTATTTGTATGTGGAGTAGGAATATTGTAATATCAATGTAAAGTGAATTCCAGCTCTCTTAGAAAACCAATATATGTCTTATACCAGCTTCCCATAACTCGATATGTCATATGACTGAAATGATTTCTTATAGCTAACGTGTCATTAAAAGTGTTTGTTGTATGGTTTAAACAACTGATGTTGAGATGTAATTGTTAGTACAGTTTACAATGTCTGGCATCACTTTTTATGTCCTATTTGTTCTTGTCATTTGTTATGATCCCTAGTATTGACTTATTTAAGTAATAGATCAATTAAACAGTTATTTCACGTTACTGGAATATGCAGAATTTGTAACAAAAATAGAAAAAGATAATATTATACATGTTTGAAGTCTGAACATATACTGTTTATTTTTTATTCCTTGTATAGTTGTTATTCTGGTATTAGATTCTTTTTAAAAAAAATAAAACATGTTTCAAAGTAGTTATTATTAATTGTTATATACATGCAATTAAGAAAACCTACTATGAGAACATTTTGATTAATTGGTAGTTGCAGCCTTATGAATTTGAAATACTTGTACACGTACTTATTACCTCATCCATAATCTTTCTAAAGCATATTGCTATGCTTCTTTATTGTCATTCGGTTGAGGTCGAAGCTATTGTGGTGAATTTAGCAAGTATATGATCAATGAAAGTGTTCAGGAGGCTCTACGTCAGCAGTCAATTGGCTTCTAATTATGCACCACACCGCAAAAACATCTGTTCTTAACTGTTTGCTGTTTTCAGTATTTTCAACCAACTTGACATGAACATAATAATTAGCCAAGTCTTTGTTATAAAGTATAGCTGAGAATTGCATCAATATGAGCATGCACTATCAATAAGTTATCACATCTATATGAAGAAATTATTATTGGGGCAATATTGTTTCTGCCGCCAAGATCGAGGCTTCTGGATTCTTAGCCAGAGTAAAAGCAAATATCAATAGTACAGTATTCATTTGTTTGTGTTCATTGTCTCCAACTGGGAAACTTTGATATGTTTATCTGGATTATCAGCCCAATTAAATTCACTCTGCACCTCGTACATATTTTAGTTTTACTCTCGATCCTGGAGGGAAACCAAAGTATGTGTCATATTCCTGTAATATTACAAGGACATATACCCGAGTGCTATGCTGAACTTTAATTATACATATTCCAGTAAGTAAGTATGTAATAACTAGAAATCGCTCGAATCACATTCTTCTTCCAATTAATTGTATAGGATTGCAATTCAAGGTATTGAAGGCAAGCGAGTTTGCTCTAAAGCGGAAAAATATTGACTGGTTTGATTAGAGTTATTACAGATGTAGATCTGAATCAGGGATGAGGGTTCCACCTGGAAATCTTGATATTACACGGTCAGATGCTGACCTAAATGTAACAAAAACTGGTGTTCCTTATATGTATTATATGTAAGGAGTAGGGATTTGAGGGATTAAAAAAAGAAATAATCACATGTTGATAACAGGAACATGTTTGTAGAACAAAATGAAGCTTTTGTCATTATTTATATATTTACATCTTAAAAATCTTATTTTATACTGTTGTTCTTTTTCGTAGGATGTAGTGCTTTGATGTCTAATTTCAGCATGGTGGTTCTTATTGCAGCAGTTTCATATTGTGTAAAAAGCATTACACATTTTTATTATGCTAGTCTAGTATTTTGTATATGCATTGTTGGATAGATATTGTTCCCAAGACAGAAGACCCCAATTCAATTTTGTCTTTAACAATGGGTATTAGGTTCCC